GCCTTCGCGTCTCCGACTCGCATCAAGTGGCAATCGACCCGTATGGAATTGGAAATCTGGAAACGGTCTCTTAGAGGTCTTGTTCTCGTCTTCCCGGGAAGACGAGTTAGCGAGCACGGCCAGACCGATTGGAGACTATAAGTAGACCGATGTAAGACGAGTGCCAGACGAGAACGCGGTCCGTGCAGCCGTCTTCCTCTGGTCTTCCTGCAGTCTGACCGTGGTCTGTCTGCCGTCTGGATTTGGTGCCTTTCCAGACCAGATCCAGACCAGATTCAAACGAGATTCAGCCGCCTACATAAAAACAAACACGCGAGTGGCGGACACTGCGTATCGAACACAGACTGTCCGCGTCGGAAACCGGTGCCCCATGCCGCTGGGCCAGAGCGACATGGTTGAAGAGGAGGTCGAGCGGAGCCGTAGTGTATCTGATTCGACCGGCTGGGTGGAAAGAACAAGTGTCGCCCGAACTGTGAAGTTCTTCCCGTCTTCTAGTCAACAACACTACGTACGCACTCTATTCAGAGGTTCGTCTGTGTAGGAGGGACGTAACAATATTTATTTGAGCCGTAGTAGTAACAGCGATCACAGATATCATCGGATATCATCGCGATGTAGGGAAATTTGGAGACGTTGTTTTAGAAGACGGGAAGAACTTCACAGTTCGGGCGACACTTGTTCTTTCCACCCAGCCGGTCGAATCAGATACACTACGGCTCCGCTCGACCTCCTCTTCAACCATGTCGCTCTGGCCCTGCGCCATGGGGCACCGGTTTCCGACGCGGACAGTCTGTGTTCGATACGCAGTGTCCGCCACTCGCGTGTTTGTTTTTATGTAGGCGGCTGAATCTCGTTTGAATCTGGTCTGGATCTGGTCTGGAAAGGCACCAAATCCAGACGGCAGACAGACCACGGTCAGACTGCAGGAAGACCAGAGGAAGACGGCTGCACGGACCGCGTTCTCGTCTGGCACTCGTCTTACATCGGTCTACTTATAGTCTCCAATCGGTCTGGCCGTGCTCGCTAACTCGTCTTCCCGGGAAGACGAGAACAAGACCTCTAAGAGACCGTTTCCAGATTTCCAATTCCATACGGGGAATCCCGCCTTTGTCGCCCCGCGCGCGCATCGCCGCCAAAACAATTTCGCAGCAGGTGGCGGCGCAAGGCGGGGCGGGGCGGGGCGGGGCGGGGCGGGGCGGGGCGGCGGGCGGGGGCGGGGGGGCGCAGGGCGGGGCGGGGCGGGCCGTGTCAAGGCCCCGTCTACGAGGGGCGCCTCGGGGTACGCCCCAATACCATGTGACGACCAGTGCTATTGGCAAGGCTTGTCTACATGATTCGCCTAGACGCAATAAACCAGGGGCAGGCAGTCGAGGCGTCGGGGAGAGATTCCACCCGGAAGAGAGAGAGAGGGGGGGAGGGGGGCGCACCTTAGATCGTTGGAGGGGCGGGCGGACGCCGGCAGAAATAAGAAGTGGTGTGTGTAAAATAAACAGAGAGGTGCGCGGGCAAAAGCGAGGGGCAAACGCGGGCAAACGGCAAAGAGGGCGACGCCATGCGAAGCGGGCCCCTCGCGACGACCTGGCCGGTCGCGCTGGCATGAATGGGAATCCGGATGAGAGAGTGGGCGAGCGAGAGAGAGAGAGAGAGAGAGAGAGAGAGAGACTTGAAGTGGAACAGATGGGTTTGGGGCTAAATAATCCAGTGTGCCAGTGCTGCCGGTCCTCCTGCATGGCCCCGCCGTCCTCCCTGGCGTCCCGCCCCGTCCCATGAGGACTGGGGACTAGCCCCCCCCCCCCCTCCCCCTCCGTGGAGGCGGGGTGGGCGTTATGCAAGAGGGAAAATGCTCCTCAGAGTCCGCGCGGCATGACGCGACAGAGACTGAGGCGACGCACAGTGGGCCAGAAGCAGCCAGAAGACCGGTGGAGGCGGCCAAAAGTCTAGACGCGTTTTCAGCTCCAGAGTCGCTAAACGGGACTCGAACCGAGCGTGTGACCCCACCAAGGGATTCCTCGTTCGGAGAGCAATCCATGGGTGGGGTCACAAGTCCAGTTCGCGTCCCATTCAGCGACTCTGGAGCTCAAAACGCGTCTAGAGTTTTGGCCCTCCGCCGGTCTTCTGGCCCACTGTGCGGCGATGTAAAGGCTCCCCGTACTGCCACGCAGAGGGAGCGGCATCCAGACCATTCGGCCGCTCTGCTCTTGGTTCTGGGTTCGAATACCGACCGCATCCTTTCTTTTTGTTTTTTGTTTTGTTTTATTTTGTCTGCGCTGCTCGTTTTTCCTCTCCGTTTTCCTCGTTCCCTCGGCCATCACGAAGACAGCTAGCAGGTCTGGCGGCTAAGGTTGAGCACCTCGGCGAACACAACTTTTGATGGGCGCACTCAACTCAACTCCCTTCGCCTCGCCGCTGGTTCGTTCGAATAATACCACAGCGGTATATTTCTTTCCCCTTTACGGACGCGTAACAAACGCCATATACGGGCCGAGCCTGGAAAATAAACTCAACAAGCGCGCCGTCACTGCAAGTGGTGGAGGCAGACAAAAACCCAGCTGCCCCGAGTAACACTCGTGTAAATGTAGAGCCAGAGGGGGGAAGAGGAAAAGAAATGATTCACCCAGCGAGCATTGCCAGCTGTTGAACTTAAGAAGTAGGTTGCTGCTGCAGTGCCAAATTTTCCAGTTTTCCAGGCCGAATTGATTGCAGCTCCAAAACGCCCGCCGAGTAAACCAACACTCATTGGGGCAGGAGACCGGTACAGGTGGCCAAAACTAAGACGCGTTTTAGCTCCAGAGTCGCTAAATGGGACTCGAACCGAACGTGTGCGCCCACCAATGGATTCATCGTGCAGAGAGCAATCTATTGGTGGGGTCACACGTCCGGTTCGAGTCCTGTTTAGCGACTCTGGAGCTCAGAACGCATCTAGAATTTTGGCCACCTCCACCCGGTCCTCTGGCCCACTGTGCAACAGTGACTCTACCTCCTTGCTGTCATGACAACGCTCTCCTCTCCCGTGACCCGGCTTGCGTTGCTTCCCTTCGTCCCGGGATGTGTTATTAGAAAGCGACCCCCATTTATAAATTAGGGTCCGAGGGGCGCGGGAAGAAGAGTATAAATCATGAGAAAATTACGGGTCGTAACAGGCTGCAGTTTGGTGCCTTCCCTCCCCAGGCGAGCCTCGGCGAGGGAGAGGCGGCCTTACTCCCCAGCCTCTCCAACGGCGGAGAGCACTGCAGCTCTCCAGCAGAGCAGACTGAGAGTCGTTTCCCTCGCTCTGTCTCTCTCGCACCTACGGGCCGCCAGACAGAGCGACGAAAACGGAACAAGTCTGCAGACGCTCCAGGCACTCTAGGCGGCATTCCAGGAGCTCTGGCGGGCTCGTTGCCCACACCTTTGCTACCTGGAATTCTGGCAATGCGCTGCGCGCGATGACACAGGCGGGCCGGGCCCAACCGCGGGGTTGGCTCCACTCGGGGACCGAGAAGAATGTGTGCCAAAGTGGATCCGCGAGTGGCGTGCCGGCACGGCCGCGGTGCGCCCCGGGGCCCCGGGGGGCGGAGGTGGGGGTTCATTTGCACGGTACGAGAAAACCGCGAAAATAAGAAAACTCCTCAAAGTGGACGAGGCTGACAAACTACGCGCATACCGCATACCAACGCGCGGTCCCCGTCGCTCGGCAGGTATTTAAAACGTGCTGCTGGTCTTTTGGAGGAAGCTCTCTCTCTCTCTCTCTTCTCTCCTCCTCTCCCCTTCTTTTTCCCCCTTCTCTCTCTCTCCCCTCCCCTCTCTCTCTCTCTCTCTCCCCCCTCCCCCTCTCTCCCCCTTCCCCCGCCTGGCGTCAAATCGGGGATCGGCCCGTCCTGCCCTACTTTTGTCATTCCAAAAATAACGACTAGCGTTTACGAGAAACGGCACCCCGGTTCAATTACCTCCCCTTCCCCCTCGGTCTCCGTCGTTCCGCCCTCTATAGCGACACAGCGGCCGCGCGAGCGGTTCCGAAGAGTCGTTATGGCATCGCTCTGTCTCTCTCGCACCCGTGCGGACGCGCCCAGAGAGTGCGACAGACGGAGTGGCGAAACAATTCGCTCGGCCTGCACTGCACGGCGCTGCAGGGTGGAGAAATGCAGAGAAACAAACCTCAGGAGGCTGATTCTACCGAGTCGAGTCGTGTCTCTCTCTCTCTCTCTCTCTTCTTTTCCCCCTTCTTTTCCTTCCTCTCTTCTCTCTCTCTCTCTCTCTCTCTCTCTCGTGCGGGTGCGAGAGAGACGGAGGGACGACGGAGGGACGCTCGGCTGCATGGCGAATTAGCCGGTGCGTGTATTTGCGGTGCGGGCGCAGCCGCCGCCACGCCTTCTCGCGGTGGTGTACTTCTCGGTCTGCTTGGCGCGGTGCAGCGCGCGGCAGCGCGGCCCTCTTGTTTTCGCGTTTGTCGCGCCAAACGCCGAGCGCTCGGGGGGCAGGGCGGGGCAGGGCGGGGGCGGGGCGGGGGGGGGCGGGGCGCGGTGCCAGCGAACGGGTGGCCCAGCCGCCCCGCCGCGAGCACAATCACACGCACAGTGGACCCCCCCTCATCGGAGACGCAACTTCTCGACGGGCGCGGTGGAGGCGGCGGCGGGACTTGAACCCGGGCCAACCGCCATCTGTTCCCAGAGATAAGCACACTGGCAGAACCAAAGGTTTGGGAGGAATCAAGTGTCATCGTGTCTGTGTACCGTTGCTTTCACGCTGTGTGTGTGTGTGTGTGTGTGTGTGTGGGGGAGAGAGAGAGAGAGAGAGAGAGAGAGAGAGAGAGAGAGAGATGGTGTGTGGTGGGGGGTGTTTGCCGTTTGTGCCTGAGACGGGGGACAGAGCGAGCGGGGGGAGGAGAGGGGAGAGAGAGAGAGAGAGAGAGAAAGAGAGAAAGAGAGAAAGACAGACAGACAGACAGACAGACAACCGGCTGACGAGGGAGGCGGGCCCGCATCGCCGCATCGCCGCATCGCCGGGCGCGCAGCGCAACCTACCTTTGAGGCGACAGGGTCAGGGACTCCCCGTCCCGGTGGCTAGTTCGCTAGTTGGAGAGGCTGCATGGCGTCTGCCTTGCTGGCGGCCGCACAGTCGGCTGCATCCGCTCGCCCGCCTGCCTCGGGCAGCCTCGGGGTGGGAGTGGCGTCGCTTGACTCGCTTGTTGCCGACGGTCCCTGGACGGTCCGCACCGCCCGGACGCCAGCCGACGGCATGGGACGCCGAGCACACCGAGGAGCACGGCGAGCACGGCACGCCGAGCACTGCAGCGGGCCCACCGCGGGGAAGTCCAGGCACTGCCGGCACGCTCGGCACCACACTGCTAGTCCGCAAAGAAGTGCCGGTGGCGGCTCTAAGGCCGCGTCAAGCTCGCCGTCAGGCAGCTTCTGTCGGCGGCGCTGTCACCACACTGTCAACACACGGCGCGGCTCGGCGAGACGCAGCGAGACGTCGGCGTGCTGCGCGGAGGGTACCGGTGCGCGGCTGCGCGGCGCAGCGCTGCCAGCCGACACGGACAAGCCGACACCCCGTCCTGTCCTCCACGCGCCCTCGAAGCACACTGCGCCGCCCCGTCCCCCCGCCCCGCGCTCCGCCCTGGCGTCGAAGCGTGCTGGGCGTGCTCGCCGGGCGGCGGGGTGGGGGGTGCGCCGCGACGCCCCCGCCCCTCCCTCTCCGCCGCGCGGGGTGGGGCGCGGCGGGGCGGGGCACGCCACCTGCCACCGACGACAACACAGACAACACAGGCGGCGGCAACGCGGCAAGGGCTGCATTCAGAGACGCCAGCCACACCTGGCCGTGTTTCGCTTGCCGCCTTTCTCCTCTCTCTGTCTCTCTCCCTCCTAAGGGCCCGCCAGGGCCCGCCCCACAGTGGGCCGGAAAACCGGCGGAGGCGGCCAAACTTCTACACGGGCTTTGAGCTCCAGAGTCTAAATAGGACTCGAATCAAGCGTGTGGCCCCACCAATGGACTCTTCGTTCGGAGAGCAATCCAGGCTATGACCGGCCGAGGCCACCAAAACTCTAGACGCGTTTTTAGCTCCAGAGTCGCTAAATGAGACTCCACCTCACCAATATGGATTGCTCCCCGAACGAGGAATCCATATGTGGGGTCGGGGTGCGTTCGGCTTCAGTTCCAATTAGCGACTCTAGAGCTCAAACGCGTCTGGAATTTTTGCCCCTCTTGACCTTCAGACGCCCGCGTGGAAGGTAAGCAAAACGCTACACTTCATCCCCCCGTAAGTAAGTTTTAAGTGTTACTTTCTCTCCCCCCCCCCTTTCCCTTCCCCCAGGCAGCCTCTGAATCCGTCACAGAGAGCGCCGTGCAGGCAGGCAAGCCCGCCGCGCTCCGATGCGCAGCGTCCGTTGGGTTGCCTACCTACACCATTGCCATTACCACTAAGGGCTAGACCAGCGGTTCCCAACCTTAGGGTCGCGACCCCAAAGGGGGTCGCGAAAAAATTTCGAGGGGTCGCGGCGATGTGGTTGGGGTCGCCTGGGGTCGCGGCTGTTTCCCGGCTGGCAGAATTGTTCAAAACGGTCGAAAATGCCTTTGAAAACTCGTGTTTTAGGCCGACTTTAAGCAGCAACTGCGTCTGATCCGAGGCGGTATGTCGTCCTCCCTCAGCGGGCATTTGGTCTTTGGACCTTCCTTTAGAATGACTTTGTTACGGAGCGCGGTTATCGGCCTTAGTTTGGGAGCAGTATTGTCTCAAAGTGGATCAAAATGGCATTCAAAGGCATTTTTTACTGTTTTCATCAACTTTGAGACAATACTGCTCCCAAACTAAGGCCGATAATCGCACTGCGTAACAAAGGCATGTTAAAGGAAGGTCCAAAGACCAAATGCCCGTTGAAGGAGGACGAAATACCGCCTCGGATCAGACGCAGTGGCTGCTTAAAGTCGGCCCAAAACACGATTTTTCAAAGACATTTGTGACCGTTTTGATCAACTTTGTGGCAATACTGCTCCCAAACTAAGGCAGATAATCACACTCCGTAACAAAGGCATGCTAAAGGAAGGTCCAAAGACCAAATGCCCGTTGAGGGAGGACGAAATACCGCCTCAGATCAAACGCAGTGGCTGCTTAAAGTCGGCCCAAAACACGATTTTTAGAAGACATTTGTGGCCGTTTTGATCAACTTTGCGGCAATACTGCTCCCAAACTAAGGTGGATTATTGCACTCTGTATCAAAGGCATGCTAAAGGAGGGGTCGCGTGGGGTCGCGAAATTTTTCCTGAGGGTCGCGGAAATTTTTTGTTACAAATTTGGGGTCGCGAACCGAAAAAGGTTGGGAACCGCTGGGCTAGACCACACATGATCGTATGCCATTTCAGACCCGACACATTCTCGCCTGCACAGCAAAACGGGACATAGTCGTCCTTACTGGCGCTCTCTCTGCAGACTGATTCCGAGTCGTTTTCGTCGCTCTATCTCTCTCGTACTCAGCTCAGAGGCATCCTCCGTTATTCAGACAGCGACGGAAACGACTCTCCATGCCCTCCAGGCCGTGGACTCGGAGACCCAGGGAAGGCCCTCCCGTCCCGTTCAATATCCCATTAGATTGAATGTGGCCGTGCATCGTGCGAGCGAGCGTCCTGCACGGTTTGCTCCGGCTGCAGACTGATTTCCGAGAGACGTTTCCGTCGCTCTGTCTCTCTCGCACCATCAGGTGACGCCCCATGAGTGCGAGGGAGACAGAGCGACGAAAACGACTCCCGATCAGTCTGCTGTGCGTGATCCGGCCCGATGAATAAGGGAAGCCCCTCTGCTCCGAATAGAACGGATAGATTAAAAAAAGAATCTATCCGCTCGGCGGGCCTGTGTTTGTCTCCGTCTGTAGGCTCTCTCTCCCTCCCTCGGCAGCAACCTCTTCAGGTATTCTACCCGCCTGGAGAGACAGAAGTCTGCGTGCGTGCGCCGTTAATGATGAGAGTGCTTTGAATGTAAAGTTCGATGCCCGTCCCCACGTTGGGGGCTCAATATTTCGTCTATCGCCGTGTCACGAGAAACAGCGCACAGTGGGCCAGAGGACTGGTGGCGGCGGCCAAAATCCCGGACGCGTTTTGAGCTCCAGAGTCGCTAATTGGGACTCGAACCGAACGTGTGACCCCACCAATGGATTGCTCTCCGAACGAGGAATCCATTGGTGGGGTCACACGCTCGGGTCGAGTCCCATTTACCGAGTCTGGAGCTAAAAACGCGTCCAGAGTTTTGGCCGCCTCCACCGGTCTTCTGGCCTACTGTGCAGCGCTCCATTTTCTCGGTAAGGGGAAAACGCCATCTAGTCCGACCCCAAAGCGGTGTTTAGTCTCGGCCCGGAGAGATTGATCAAGAAATGGCGTGCAGGGGCATGTTCGAGAAGGGGAGGGGGGGCTCCACTTGCGCTGCGCGCTGGGCCACAGTTTTACTGTCCGCACTAAACGTCCCAAAGGGGCGCCATGAAACGCTTCCCGCCAGCAAACTGATTCCGAGAGTCGTTTTCGTCGCTCTGTCTCTCTCGCACCTGAACGGGGCGCCACACGGGTGCGAAAGAGGCAGAGCGACGCAAACGACTCTCGGAATCGGTCTGCAGGAATGCCTCGGATTCCGACGGCGTTTTGTAGGTCGTGTGCAGTGTGCGCGACCTGGCGTGCGAAGTGCGACGCGTGCGACGCGTGCGACGCGTGCGACGCGTGCGACGCGTGCGAAGCAAGCGTGCGACACGCCTTGCGGCGGGCATCGTCGCTTCAGGGCAGTGCCCGTCCATTTCCCGCGGTTTTCCAGATGCCCATCCTTGCAGTGCATCGCGTTCGCAAAGAGTCAAAAGATCGTAAACCAGCCTCAATGAAAAATCCATTTATTGGTATAACAAGAAACAAGTCTTGGAGATAATGGCACGGGGTTTACATTCATTGAATGTGGTACAAAGTCTTAGAGGCAATAAAATAATTTTACTTTTAAAAAAATTTTTAGACCCATGCATTAAATAGATGAGTTAGCTGGTGGTTGAGAACGTATTAACTTAAATGTATAAACTTGAGGCAATCTAATACAGAATTGCCGCGAGTTCCAAACAATGATATGTTTCTCACACAAAACCGATTCATTTACTTTTACTGCCTGTCACCTCACAAAACAAGAAACAGGTCAGTTCTCACTTAGTAAACACACTCTTTCCTTCCAATAAATTATCAAAAACAAACATTTATTCAGACTTCATAGAATTTATCTTCAAACAAAATATAATCTAATCTCTTTTAACTGAACTTATTAAAAACTAAGTAACCATTTTTCTATTACATGAGACAGTACATAAAGACCACATACTAAGCTGGAAGTCAAACACATGAACAAAATTACAAATAATAGAAAAAAAAACAGTCAAAGCACAGTACAAAAATTTATACAAATTAACCTATTGAAGAAGCACTTAATTTGCTTCCCACACAAAGTCACAGGTTTACAAAGTCCAGATAATGCAACCTTAAAATTTTAAAAAACCTTTGAAAAAGTTTAATGGCAAAAATGCATGACACCAAAATGTTATGACCCAGATTCACTGGAAACACCGTAGCTACCTGTACCAACATTTAAGATAAGCTAACAAAAAAGACAAACTGAGAAATGAGTCAGATGAAAGGATAAATGTTCATAGCTGATCTTCAAGCGAAACAAATCCCGCTTCTTGATCCTTCAAAGTATTAGGATTGACTAGTGAAACACAAGGTTTAACCCGCTTAACTGTTTCACAGGCTCTGTTAATTTGAGGAGTGGGGTCTATGATTTTCTCAATTCTTATCACTGTCCCATTATTACCACCAAGTTTCTCCCTTAATATCACATTTTCAATCATTGACTTCTGCTCATACTTGCGAATTTTCTCCCTTAAGGTGTAGTTTTCAAGTAAGACTTTTTGATGATCTTTCATCTTTTCCTTTAATAAGGAATTCTCCCCCAGTAATTTGTCACACCTTTGAAGTTTTTCATCCAACTGTTCATGCTTTTTGACTAACTGTGCCAATGAATTAATGAGCCTTTGCTCATATGTATGTTCTGATGCATTAAGAAAACTTTTTAAATCATCCAGGTCTTCCATAAGGCTACTCTGATAACGAGATTTTGGTAATTTAACAATAATAGAATGTGAGGGACAGCTTAGAGGCAGGATTGACTCCTCGGCAGACGTTTTTTCACCACTAATGGCATCAGCTGCTGAGGTTTGAGAACTAAGGGGATCTTCTGTTGGGCTACTAACATTAACAATGGAGGAGGGAGCTTCAATTACTTCTTCATTAAATAAGGAGCTCTGTGCAACTTCACTTGGGGGTTTGCTAATGACAGGTAACTGAAATTTAGTCGTGGCAAGAGGTGCTTCAATACTTTTACAAATTTTATCAAGCTTCACCACTCTTCTGATAACATTTGGAGAAAAGGCTACTTTGGCTTCTGGTTTCGGTTCTTGCTGATCTTCATTTCCTTTTCGCTTCACAGGACCTTGAGGACGCTCCCTAAGCTTGGAAATTGATCGAACCAGTTCCAGCGTTGTAGCCACCTCTTCTGGAGTGAACATGTTTGGCACACCTGACCACTTCAGCTTTCTGGTGCCATCAACTCGAATCTTTTCCCATTGATCCGGACCAAAATGGAGCTGTAGAGAAAAAGCATTCAGAGAGGATAAGAAAAATGATAGTATTGTTTCTATTCACTTGGGAGAACTATGATCCACTGTATTGGTTCATATCAATAAGTGAAGGCATTGTTTCCTACCTCGCAAATAAACTGCATGTTCGTCGGTTCAAGACCCACTTTCCGGACACCTTGCACCCAAGAGTTTCGCCTCTCTGGGTCCTTAGGATAACACAACAGCATCAGCCCCTGCTTGTAGCCTGTCTTGCAACCAGGAATAGAGCAACGCTGGGGCATTTTCTGAAACATTTAATTTTATTCCAAAAACAACACTGATGAAAGTTAATTATACTTATGGCGCAAGATGGGTTTTGAATATAACTCTGGACCGTTCTCGAAGAGCAAGTCTTATGGCTGCCAAGTTTCATAGGTTAAATGAAAAAGGAATGAATGGAAGGTAGAACATCAGAAAATTATTAACAGCAATCATCCTTTTGAAAGGGTGACCCAGTTAAAGAAGGAAACTCACATTGGGTACAGGAAAGTGATGAGTCTGTAAATCTGTCCGCGAATTCCCTTTAGTTTCTCTTGAGTTTTTGCCCAGCAGGCGAAAGAGCACAAAGCCAAAGCAGTCGTCTCGTCAACTCAATTTCGATTCTGCAATGTTTACGTCGCCATTTTGTGTCTGTGCAGCCGCACCAACTTCCGGAAACATCCGGGGAGAAAACTCAGAAAGAACTTGCCAGAGATAAATGCGTGCGCGCACAGGCCTCGTCTTGTGGCATTTTCATAAAGAATTTCCTTATTTGATTTGCTTGACTTTCTCTAAAATCACCAGAAACTATTCAGAAAGGAATGCTATTTTATACTAGCAGTTGGTTAACCATGGTCTTTTGAAACACTGGCCGCTGACAACGACACACAACAACAGAAACCCTCAGCCAGAGGTTGTAAACAAACTTTGAAAGAGCTGCTGAGTTGTGAGGAAAAAACAGCTGTTTAATTGAAGAATGGACTGGAAAAGAGTTGATTCTTGCATATAAACCAGAACAGCTTGAATGCTTGGTACGGAAATAAAACTTGACATTATCTTTGGGCACTTTTTCAGTCAGTATTCAAATAAGAACATGGGCAACAGTGTCTCCTGTGTTTACCATCATATGTACTGTTGTTTTCTTCCTTTGTTTAGAACATGTTGGAAGTGCCCTGGTGCCATTGCTGGCCTTCACAGCAGTACCCTCTGCACCAGTCTCCTCTGCCTTGTCGGATGAACTGAGTGACTCACCGAGATACACAATGCCATCACTGTTGGAAGATGAGTCTGTTGAACGCTCTGATTCATTTTATCGACCAGCAATGACACCTCAAGAGAAAGAAGCGTTCTATCGTCCCATTGTGCGACCCTCTGTGAGAGATGGAAAGAAATCAAATAAGGTTTTTATAATTTTCACCACATGTCGTGTCGCTTCTAGCTACCAAGCTGCAGCATAAATAAATAATTATCTTTTTTAACCAGCAGGCTCATGTACGTTGCAGCAGCACAGATAATGTTATGGAACACTCTCATGGTAATAGGGGGAGCAGGCCCCATCGCAAGAAGAGTAGCAGCCGAAGCAAAAGCGAAACCTGCAAACACGCTTGCAGACATCGTAGAGCAAAGTCTGAACATCCTGTTGACAGACATTCTCAGTGAGTTCCATGACTTTCATAAGATTGAACAACTCAGGCACTTTTTTTGTAATTGACTTTTCTTCCCCTCCCCCTCTTTTCTCTGCAAAGAATGGATAACAGGTGGTCTAAGGAATCGAAACCTGGTGTATCTAGTTTCCAAGATATATCCCATGCTTCTCAGCCTGACCGGAGCACTGTAACAGATTCTGGGTACCAGCAAAGTAAGCTGGTTCTTTTTAAAACAATCTTTATGGGTTATTCATCATTTTTACAAATCAACTCTAATATATTTCTATGGATTACAGCTATTACTGAGGAAAATTCAGCACTTAAGCAGCACTGGACAGAGCTTCAGTCAATGCAGATGCAATGTCAACAGCTTGAGTCAGAGCGTAATGCTCTTCAAGATGCATTGGCTGATGCTCTAAATCAGCTTCAAGAATCGCAAACCAGCAACACAGAGGTTTTAGCCCTACGGAGACAGAATAAACAGCTAGAGGAAGATGTGTTGCTTCTTAAAAGCACTGTCTATAGGTGCGGTTACCTTTTTTTTAACTCTAAAAATCTTGGTTTGCCTCATTGATGTTTTTTTTATAAATTGTTAAGGGAAGAAGCTAAAATTAATTCAATTGAGTTTTTTCCTAGGCTGAATGCGGAGCTAGAAAAGTATCAAAATCGTCTGAGAGCTCTACGCAAAGTTCAAGAAAATTCTGGTCAAGTCATGGCCAAAATTTCTGACCCACCCGAATCTGAAATTAAGCCAACGCCAATGGCATCCAATATGCTTGGGCCCTTGCTGGAGGCATACCAAGAAACAATTATAGAGAAGGAGTCTGCTCTTGAGTCATCAAGCAAAGAGCTTGCTACCTATGCTCAGCAATGTCAATCTGCAAAGCAGGAAGCAAAAGAACTGAAGAAGAAACTTGACAGTTGTACTCAACTCAAAGTATGATATTTGTTTCCCTTTTTCGATTTCTGTTGTTTATTAAAAATGCATGCATTTAGCAGTAATGTAGCTTGCCTGCAATTTATATACAAAACCTTTTGCCCATAGAATGAAGAAATGTCTGATCTTCAAGAAAAGTTGGAGGAAGCCCAATCCAGGAGTGATTCTCTTCTTCAGAGCCTTGAGTCAGAGAGAGCAAGACTGCAGGATATGCAAAGGAAACACAGTCAAGAAGGTGTGGAAACCTCTTTTTTTCACAAAAGCCTAATCCTGGTGCAATTTTCTTTCAATAAGTTACATTTTACAGTGTCTGTTTTGGACTCCCGAGCAAGAGGACTCGAAGCAAAACTCACTGAGTGCCACACAGAACTTTTAACTCTCCGGGGACGCTACAGCGTTCTCTCAGAACAGTTTGAGAGATTGCAGCAAGGAGCAGATCGTCTCATACCACTCTCAGTCCACAATTCTGCAGTTAACGAGTGTAAAAGGCATGTAAATCTGCATGAGCTCAGTTGCTACCTTCCAAATATATCCCCTTTTAAACAAATGTTTTGTTTGTACACTTTTTAGGCTGTTTGAAGAACTGAAAACTCAGTATGAACAGGAGAGGGACAGATATGTTCGTAAAGTTGCTGCTTTGGAAACAGATAAGCCCCGTTTGGAAGCTGCACTTGAAACCCACACTGCTAACCACTCATCTCTGGAGGCCACAAACCGTGCCCTTGAAAAACTTCTGAAACACTGTCAACAGAAGAATGAAGATTTATGTGCTCGTCTTGTGTCTGCCCATGTATCCCGTGATTCTGCTAAAAGGCAGCTTCAGAGGTCTCTCACAATGGTTAAAGAATTAGTCACAGAACAAGAAAGACTTGTTCGGGCTCTACAAGAGAGACAGGAAGAGAGTCACTCAGTGGCAAGACTAGGAAACACTCTTGTTTCAAGAGTGGGATCCCTCAAAGCACAGTTGGAAGTAGGTATTGCGTCTGAAAATATAGGTTCCTGCTCATAGTTCAAACTAATTTCACCCCTTTGTTGTTCCAGAATGTGCAGCGTGGAGCTTATGAGGAGCTTGGTGCAGTTGAAAAAATTATGAGAGAACGTGCTGAAGGTGCAGCCCGAGCGGAACATGTTTATCAGCAAGAGGTGCAACAATTGAGAGGATTGTTGCGTCAAAAGGAACAATTCATCGCTCGTTTGCAGAGGGACAAAAAGTTAGTAAGGTTTCTGTTTTTAATAAAATTTGACCTCTTCAAAAAACTAACTTATTTTATTTTATTTTTCAGCAAAACTGAAGAAAGTCTTGAAATAGTGTGGCAGGCTGCCACTTCAGAAAAACCTGTTTTAAAGGAACGGTTTGCTGTCAATGTGAATGATGCAAATCTTATTCGGAATGCCACAGTAGACAGTTCGGAATGAGAACCCCTTGTTCATGAATTGATGGTGAAAAACATAACGCATTTATGTTTTATTAGAGGTATTATTTTACACTTAACAATAATTCCCAATGCCACCCCTAAAATATAAACTCTCTAGTCAGTTTATTAGTACAAATTAAGTGGTGGGGCTGTTGCCAAGTTAAGAAAATATATCAGGGTAGGAATCAAAGTCAACTTTTATCTAGTCGGTTTTCTACTCATGCTTTCATTAGAAGTAAAATGTAATGCGGGTCATACTTAAACTATGTTACTATATTCCAGTTTGTGTAGAATGTAAATGTCAGTTTTAGTGAACTTTTCAATTTTAGTTTTCTGTATCTAAAGATATATATTGATTGTGGTCATTGTGTGTCCATGGTTGTGAACAAGACACAATTTTGCTAAGCCATGATCAGCTAAAAAATTTGTGTGTTTTCTGCGACATTTCTAGTCACTTTAATGTGTTTTTATTACACAGTGTTCATGTATTTCTTGTAACTATGCCAAGATAGTTTGCTTGATGAATCTTTGCTGGGCAAGGATTCAACTTGGTTTGAAAAGCTTTCGATATTCTTTTGTTTTAATTTTGTGCTGTACTTGCTTGTTGTGTGCAGAATTGTTGCTTTCATTGAAAACTATAGCAGTTGGACGTAGTCAGAGTCCCTCATTTCATTAAAAAACGTTTCTGGAAAGTTTCTGTTTCTTTTCTCACTTACCGTTGCTGTACAAAATGATGCACACATTTATTTTGTATCAAAATCTATCTTTAATTCACTCAAGATCATTCATACAATAAATTAGACATTCACATCTACTCTACAGACAATAAATTACTAATCTTAACAATTAGACTAATAAATGCACTCAAAAACGGGTGTCATCATTTTTAAAAAACAAAACAAAGCTCTGAATTGAGCAAATTTGAACCAAATCACAAGTCCCTTCCGGAGACACCGCCCGGTGCATTTCTTAGCCCATTTGGCACAAACGCGTTTCTGCTCCCTTGGAAAAGTTTCCCGGACCCGTGACGTCACACCAGGGTGGTGGAGGGGAAGGGAAGGCCATGCTGAGATCGACCATGCACCCTGGCGGGGCGGGGAGTCACAAAAGCGGCGTCAACGCCGCGACGCATCGTCTTTGTTCGGTGCGCGGTTGTAAGTGACTGCCTCACAGTGACGTCATCACCGGTCCAGCGTAGCCTAGGCTCGCGATGACGTCATCGTGAAGGTGGACTCCAGTGCGAAGCGTGCGAAGGCACGCACGGCGCCTCAAGGCCGCTGCGCCGAGTACGCCATGTCGTGCGCGTCGGGCTGCCGGACCACTATCCTGGTGCCGTCCGCGGCGCGGTACACCCCGCTCTGCACGCCCAGGCTGCCCAGGCTGCCGGCCGGCACCTGGCCGTCGAGGCCGACGCCCTGGCCGTCCACACCCTTTGCCGTCTCGTAGCTGCGGCCCCAGAGGTTCCAGCCGCTGCCGCCGCCCGCGCCGGCGTCGGCGTGCTCGTCGTGGCCGCCGCCGCCGCCCCAGCCGCCGTGGTCGTCGTAGTGGTGCTGGTGCTGGGCGTGCTCGTAGTAGACGACCTGCAAGCAGTGCGCCGATCGTCAGTTGCCCGTATACTTGCACGAGGGGTCGCGTCGACCTGAGACCCAGCCACAGTGGGCCAGAAGACCGGAGGATGCGATCCAAATTCTAGACGCGTTTTGAGCTCCAGAATAGGACTCGAACCGAGCGCGTGATCCCACCAATGGATTTCTCATTTGGAGAGCAATCCATCGGTTCGAGTCTCATTTAGCGACTCTGGAGCTCAAAACGCGTCCGGGGTTTTGACCGCCTCCACCGGTCATCTGGCCCACTGTGTCACCGACTAACTACCGTACGAGGATGCACACGATGCACAACGCCGACGTCACTGTTAAATTCCCCAAACTAGTCTAGATTACGCAAACAACACTACTGCTAGCCTACGGTGTCCCTCCAGATCCTCTGCCAGCCTCGGGAGGGGCATGGGGTCTGGGAAACTTGGACAGCCTGCTGAGCGATTCAGGATAGTCGTTCCGTCGCTCGGTCTCTCTCGCACCCTTATGGACAGCCCCATGAGTACAACAGAGGCAGAGCGACGAGACGACTCTTTTTGAATCGGTCGGGTGCACAGTGGGCCAGAAGACCGGTGCAGGCGGCCAAAACTCAGGAGCTCCAGAGTCGCTAAACAGGACTCGAACCAAACGTGTGACCCCACCAATGGATTGCCCTCCGAACGGGGTATCCCTTTGTGGGGTCACTCGTTCGGTTCAAGTCCTGCTTAGCGACACTGGAGCTCAAAACGCGTGCGGGATTTTGACCGCCTCCACCGGTCTTCTGGACCACTGTGGGCTGGTGCGTTGCCGCCAAAGTAATTTCTAGTGCTCTCGGCCGCGTGCATGCCGACAGAGCTACAACATGCGCGTTACGGGAAAGGGAAAGAAGGGACAACATGAACCACAGCTACCGCCAAGGAACATGGCAACTCCTGGCGATCCAGAACCTTCAAATCATCAACAATAACAACAACAAGAGAGTAATGGCTACGTCGTCCATGCTGCATGCACGATGCAGGAATGATACGTCGACGGACCTGCTGTCCATGGGGCTCCTGCAGTGACTGCAGTGACTGCAGCGGGGCTCCACCAAGCCTCCTGTGGTGCTCTACGATCACCTGCTGCCCGACAGCCATCGTCAGCCAAACAACGACAGCAACGCGCGCTTTTCTGCTTCAGCAAGGAGGAAAATACAAACTATCTTACCTTCTGCGCGTCGGCGTTCTTGGACGCCTTGAGGGTCGCCCACAGTGAGATCTTCTTGGTGAGCAGGATGAGGAAGACCATGACCACGAGCTTGAACTGGAACAGCGTCTGCAGGGCCATCATGATGAAGGCCAGCTTGAGCTTCACCACGAGCACCAGCAGCACCAACTTCACCAGCGCGATCAGCTTGTGGATCTTCTTCTTCTTCTTCTTGCCTCGTCCTGCGGCACCAAGAACAACAACATGAGCTTCACCACAAGCACTAGCAGCACCAGCTTCACCAGCGCGATCAGCTATTGGATCTTCTTCTTCTTGCCTCATCCTGCGGCAACAAGAACAACAAGAAGAAGAACAACAACAACATGAGCGCAGTCCAGCGGCGCGGCGAGAGGACGGCGAAGACAGAGGGAAGGATTGGAGGATTTTCCGTTTTCCCGGCTCCGTTGTCGTCCCGGTGACTTGCGGACTCGCCTCGCCGCAGAGCATCGCGGGGCATCGCCTCCGAGTCGGGGGGGAGAAAGCAAATACGGTTCAGGCGTTCCGGACATTCCGCGGGACATCCGCGGCGGGGCGGGGCGGGGCGAGTCGTGCGATGCGCATACACGGGCAACACAGGCTTCCTTCGTGATGAGGGTGTGTGTTGGTTTAATGTGTTATTGTGCGTGCGCGGTTTCTGTCTGCCCGCCTTCCTGCCCGTCTGTCCGTCCGTCCGTCCTGTCTGTCTGTCTGTCCGTCTGTCTGTCGTCTGTCTGTCTGTCTGTCTGTCTGTCTGTCTGTCGTCGTCTGTCTGTCTGTCTGTCTGTCTGTCTGCCCGCCCGTCCACCAGTAAGTCCACCTCTTTTTCGGCACACGAATTCACGTTTCCTTCCGGCCGTTATTCCCCGGGCGGCACGATGGTCTCGGTCGATTCATGAACGGACCCCCCCCCCCCCTAAAGATGCTCTCCGTGACTCTCCCCTTTCCCCTCCCCCTCTCCTCGTCGTCTGCAGGGAGTCGTCTGATCCCGAGCAGCGCTCTCCGTCTCTCTCGCACCCCGGCCGGACGGGCCGGACGCCCCACGAGTGCGAGAGAGACGGAGAGCGCTGTCCGGCAGCATCCCGCGGAAAGGGAAAGGATAAAGGAGGCTGGCGTGCGGAAGGGCCGGCGGGACCGGCGGGACCGGCGGCAGGCCGGGCAAGCTGCAAACTGCCGCGCAAATGGCCCCACCGGCCCCGCCGATGCAGCCAGGCAGCCGCCTGGAACCTGGAACGAGGAGCCTGGAGCTTGGAACCAGGAACCTAGAACCTGCAGCCTGGAACCTGGTACAAGGCATCAGGAACTAGGAACCAGGAACCAGGAAACAGGTACCAGGAACCTGCAACCTGGAATCGAACCTGGAACTTCGAACCTGGACCGACGAGGAGGAGACGAAGACCCTCTTCTTGTCGGAGGGCAGGCAAGCCGCGTTTCGTCGTTCATCTCTCTCCTCTCGCACCCACACTGCGCGCGCACGCGTACTGCTGCACTCCCGGTCGACTGGTGCAGCAGTGTGACTTCTACTCCCACATTACGTATGCCGACGCGAAGAGTGAGGGGAGGGGGCGCAGAAATGGGTCAGTGGCCCCTGAACGGCCGGACGGGACGCCCGGGACGGCCTGTATGGCCCTTGGCAGTGGTCTGGGCCGCCTGCCCCCCTGGCCCAGTGCGGTGCGGTGTGGCCCCGTGCGCGGGCTGCGGGCGCCGGTGTGTGTGTGTGTGTGTGTGTGTGTGTGTGTGTGTGTGTGTGTGTGTGTGTGTGTGTGAGTGTGTCTGTGTGCGTGGAACGTGGAAGGGCCGTGTCCAAGCCGCCGAAAAGCGTGCCAACGCCTTGTGTGCGACGTACCTCGGCGTTCCTCGGCGTGCCCCGAAGCACGTCAACGCCGCTTCTTGCCGGGGAAAAGAAGACAAGACGAAAACAAATCTACCGCGAGGTGAGGGAACCCGTCGCCCAGAGCAAACAGTATTAGTTGTGTCGCTTCTCGGACGCTAGAGGCCTGCTGAGGCCTAACAGCGCTGATGATGATGAGGAGGAGGAGGAGGAGGAGGATGGGTCGCTCCTAGGGTGGCTGGTGACTTAGACGCTGGAGCTGTCCAAGAGGTGCTCTGGGACTTCCCCCCACCGCTGTTTACCTCAAATTAAAATAATAAAAACTGCGTTTTACAGAGCGGCTGCAAGTAAACCGCGCGAGTGACCTTTCGGCCGGGAAGAGTTTGCCCGACCATCTCATAAGGACTCTGCCTGTCCGTCTGGGCAACTAGACAGTCGGGCAGTCTGGCAGTCTGGTCCCCCGGTGGCTGCCGGAGGACCAGGACCTGGACGCTAGGACCGCCAGGGTTTTCTGTCTCTGTCTGCCTCTCTGCAAGTCCGCGGGTAATGCTAGAGCTTGACGGGCATCGTGGCCCCGCCCCATCCCACGCGGAGTTGGCGGTACGGAACGCAGAGATAACCAATCATACATCGCCCGCCGCGCCGAGCCTGGGCGAGAGTCGAGGCGAAGACTGAAGACACTCTCTCCCCGGACCCGACGCCCTTTTTTCACGCGAAGACTGGAGAACCGATTCCAGATTTTAAGAGGGCGGGGTGAGACGGTACTGCAGTTTGGCGGGCGGGCGGGGCGGGGTGGGGCGGGGGGCGGGGTGGGGCGGGGGGGCGGGCAAGCCGCCTGGCAGGCCGCCCGTCCCGTGAGGCGCGCGTGCGTTGCGGAGCTGCCTATCCCCGACTTGACGGGCGGCATAGCGCTGCGCGCTTTGGCAGCAGACCGATTCCGAGAGTCGTTCTCGTCGCCCCATCTCTCTCGCACTGGACGCACTCATGGGGCGTCCCGTCCAGCGCGAGAGAGACAGAGCGACGAGAACGACTGCTGGGCGGCGTCCTTCCTTACCTTCCTCCACGAGGCCCTGCGAGTCCTCGTCCCGGATGCCCAGCTTCTGCTCGAGCACGGAGGCGGCGGCCGCCACCATGACCTCACTCAGCTCGGCCACCTTGTCGACCACCTCGGGCTCCAGCGCGGTGTCGTCCGCGGCGGCCCTGGCCTCCGACATCTGGGCCAGCATGGCGTCCACGGCGCTCTGGCTGCGCGCCTCCACGCAGTCCAGCGGCGCGGCCGCCACGGCACAGCGCACGATGGCTCGCCAGGACGGCGCCGGCAGTGCCCTGCTGCTGAGGGCCTCGGCGTCCACGGTGTGCTCCCCGAGAACCTCGTTGTCCAGGATGCGCGCGTGCGCAGCGGCCAGCAGCGCGGCCAGCACCAGGAAGCCGCCTCCCCGCCGAAACGCCATCGCGCTGGGTCTCGGACTGCGGGGCACGCTGCAACCACAAAAAACATCCGGTTAATTTTCGTTTGCTCTTTTTCTCTATCGGCCTCGTCGACGTTGACTGCCGGCCGACCTCGTTGAAACGCACTGGCACCGCACTATGGCAAGCCATGTGGGTAACACTGTGTCCACTACAGCGCCCGAAAATATCTGGAAATCTGGAATTGCTGCCCCCAAAAAGGCAAAAAACACAGGCAAATTTTTGGTTTCAAGTCGGTCGAAATCTCTGCCCTTGGAAATCTAGAGTCCCCAAAAATCAAAATTGTAAAATCGGTCCAAATATCTTGTGAAATAGGACGAAATCTCTGCGCTAAGGAAATCTAGTGTCCCCAAACATCAAAATTAAGTGGTCACCCTGTCAAAAAATATGTCTTTATCATTATTATTTTATAAAAATATTTCACAGGGTCATGGCGCTTTGCCAAACCAGACGCCTTGCACTTGTGAGCTGACTGCTGAAAAATGCTCCGCCAGTGCATACAAGGCGTTCGAGGCAACAATGGACGGACGGGCGAAGCAAGGCGACGCAAGGCCAAGGTGGCGCGATGATGGACTGCTCGATCGCCTCGGGGAGCGTGACAGAACGCCACAATGAATGGCCTGACCTAGTGTGCATGGTGGATCTCCGACACCGCGATGCAACGGGTCTTCTTCGCGTGTCTTCGCGGCCTGTCCCCCCCCCCCCGCACACACATCCCTAATATACGACCGCTCAAACTCCCATAACGCACTGCCATTGCATTTCGGGAGTGTCGAGTCCCGTTATACTCCGCAGTCTACACTCTATGTCTATCCCAGACCCCTATCCCCGTGTCTATCTATGGCATCTATCGCTGTCGCTCTGCGCCGAATCTATCTCCCCCCCCCACTACCCATGGGTCTTCCTACAACAACAGCGACGACGACGACGACAACAACAAAAACAACAACAAGAGGTTTCCCGTCTCCAGCGTCCCCACCCACGCCAGCTCCCTCATGAGCCCTTTTTCGGGGTTTAGCTCGGTTGTTCTACTTTTATGTCAATGTGGTCGCCGAACACACACACGCGCGCGAGCGAGTGTGTGTGTCTAATGATCTCGCTTGCACCCAAAGAGGGAAAAGTGAAAATTCCGCCCGTGGGGAGGGGTGGGGGTCGGGGGGGCTGAGAAGGAGAAGAGCCCGTTGTTCCCCCGGCCCAAATTAGCATGTCTGCCGGTTAGGCGTGCGACAAGTGGGAGGCGGGGCGTGGTCGTGCCCCTCCCCTTTCCCCCTTTTTCCAACGGCGGTGGGGTCACACCTGTGCGAGTCCATGAAGTGAGAGTGAGCAAGGCCCCCCCCCCCCACACACACACACACTCAACCAACGTCGCGTACGGACGACGCCGACGCCGTTACCGACCCGGGAAACGTATCGGCATCGGCCCGACATACCAGGACGTGCATCACTGTTAAAAGTAATTTTCAGCAACAACATTAAATAAATAATGCATGTCTAGAAGGAAGTTTGAAGGATGCGGCAGTCTGCTAAATGGGACTTGAACCGAGCGTGTGACCCCACCAATGAATTGCTCTCACAAGGAATCCATTGGTGGGGTCACACGCTTGGTTCGAGTCCCATTTAGCGACTCTGGAGCTGAAAACTCGTCTGGAGCTTTGGCCGCCGGCGCCGGTCTTCTGGCCCACTGTGCAGCACCACTAATGCTGCTGGATTAGCCGGCCGGCCGGCCGGTCTGGCTGCCACGCTGTAGGCTCGCCACGCGCCGATGGCCGATGGCTCCGTGTTTCCAGCATGCTAAGCGTAACAGGCTGTAACAGGCCGTAGGCAGCCAGACAGCCGTAGGCCGTGCCGTAGGCCGTGCCGTCACTCTAGCCACGCCCCAACTCGTTGGCCGCCGCCGCCGAAACAGCGCCAGCCCGTCTAGTCTAGCCTAGCCAGGCTTGGCGCCCGTCGAGTCCAGGGCAGGCCACCCGGTGCGGCAGGCCGTGTGGCGGGCCGGCCCGCCCCGCAGGCGATTGCGATTGCGACTAATGGCTCGACCACAAATGATGCGCTCTCGCTCGCACTCGCTGACCGAGTCTTCCCTTCCGTCGGCGCGAGAGAGACAGAGCCTCGGCGACAGCGCACCCGCCGCTGCAGGGCACTCGTCGAATGCGTCAACCCGACGTCAACCGTTACGAGCAGACTCATTCCGAGAGTCGTTTTCATCGCTCTCGCACTCACGGGGCGCCTCGTATAGGCGCGAGAGAGACAGAGCGACGAAACCGACTCTCGGAATCAGTCTGCAGGGAGTGCTCCGCAAAGCCGACTGTGTGCGCTGGGTAAACTCGAAGAGTGCTCTCCAAGCTTGCCCCGGTGGGCGCGTGGACTTGTCACTGGAAGCTGAAGTATGCCAGCCCTGTGTACTTAGACGGTCGAGTCCCCTCACCTTTAATCCCTTTCACACGAAGACCGATTTTTGCGTTCGATTTCTGTTATCGCCTAATGTCTGGAAGTGGGCCAGCAAGGATCAGATGAGCGTCTCGTTGAGCGGAGCGGTCCGAAGCCTTGTCGTGCAGCGGCAGGGCGCGTGGCGCGCTGCGCTCCGAAGCCCCGGAAAGAAGCTCCAGACATGTCCGAAAAAACGAAGAAAAAGGAAGAAATTCCGGTGGGTCGAGCTGCGCGCGTCAGCGCGTCATCGCGGCGCAGGAACGGGACCATTCCCCGAATGAGCCATAAAACGCGGTGTCCGCTCTTCATTTCGGCGGCGTTTTCGCGGCGCTTTCGCACCGTTTTCGCGGCGTTTTCGCTTTGTTTTCGCGGCGTTTTCGCGCCATTTTTGCTTGCTTTGTTTTCGCGGCGTTTTCGCGCCGTTTTCGCGGCGTTTTCGCACCGTTTTCGCGGCGTTTTCGCTTTGTTTTCGCGGCGTTTTCGCGCCATTTTTGCTTGCTTTGTTTTCGCGGCGTTTTTGCGGCGTTTTCGCGCCGTTTATACTTTGTTTTCGCGGCGTTTTCGCGGCGTTTTCGCGGCGTTTTCGCGGCGTTTTCGCGGCGTTTTCGCGGCGTTTTCGCGGCGTTTTCGCGCCGTTTTCGCGCCGTTTTCGCGGCGGCCGGTCCGCGGCGTGGGCAGCGCCACCGTAAAGGCAGGTGGTGGTTGCCGGGAAAACTCTCGGCGCGACTTTCGCTGGAATTCTCGTCCGTCTGCCCCTGATCCTTCTCGTGCCGTCTCTCTCTCTCACAGACTCCGGACCCGGTCTGGTCTACCCGCGTCATCCGGTCGGCAATGGCACGGGCTACCCGCAGTTCGACGGCGCCGACGTTCTCTTGTTCAAACAAAAGCAAATCGAAATACAAACACAAAAAAGAAAGAAATGGAAATCTTATTTTTTGTGTTTAATATGATTTTGATGAATGACACGAAACGGGAAAGGCGACTGGGCGCAGCTATAGCCAGTGAGAATGCAATTCTGGTTTCTATACGTCAAATGAAATGAATCCTGGCCGCGACTTCGGTACACCGCAGTGGGGAGGGAGGAGCCCGGGAGGGGGGGGGGACGGGAGGAGAGAGAGAGAGAGAGAGAGAGAGAGAGAGAGAGAGACGTCTTCCGCAGCGTGTGATCGGCGCCTTTTACCTCGTTACTTTTCGCCTGTAACGCGCCCCGATTCACGCTGCAGTGCGGCCGGACTGCTTCTCTTTCATTTCGTTGTTGTTATTGTTGTTGCCTTTGATGCTGTTTTTGTTGTTGCTTTTGCTGCCGCAGACGCATCCAGCTACACTCGAGCACGCAGTACTCCAGGCGCGACGTTGCACTTTTCCGTGAAATTTCTCATTAATTGTCACGACTTTTTAGTAGATAATACATTATATTAAATATAAAAATATCCTTTATTTTGCTGTGTTAAGAGAAGAAATAGCAGGGAAACCACACCGTCCTTGGTTAAACATGCAACGCAACTAAGAAATATATTTTCTTTAAGAAATAAAACGTTTGATCAATTTTTTTTTAATTTTTAGAGTGAGGAAAACGAAATAAGACGGCTCGAGTGTATCCAATTTACGGTTGGAAATCTGTCTTGCCGGTGGTGTGCCGTGCACGGCGTGTTGCTGCAGCTCGCAAGGCGTATCCTCAAGCCGATTAGAATTCATAAAACACCCTCGCTCCTTTCCTCTTTCGGCGTGGAATCACTTCCGGGCCAACGGAGGCCGACGGCGGCCTCGGAGCGTGACCAACACACCAAAAACTGCTCCACATAATGCCGGTTTTGTGCGGCAGCCCAGCCACCCGATAAGACAGCAGCCTGGGCCACCTCCTCCTGCACTGTAATCCAAATAGCACCACAAACACCCACAACGCACAGTGTGGCGGCGGTCAAAACCCCGGACGCGTTTCGAGCTCCAAAATCGCTAAATGGGGCTCGAACCGCACCTGCGACGCCGCCAATGGATTGCTCTCCGAAGGAGAAATCCATTGGTGGAGTCACTCGCTCGGTTCGAGCCCCGTTTAGCGACTCTGGAGCTCATTACACGTTTCGAGTTTTGGCCGGTGGCGCCGGTCCTCTGGCCCACTGTGCAACGCCTCCAAATAATTCCAACTCCTCACACAGCGCGCCGGTTTCGCGTCTCAGCCCGGCCCGAAATCACGACGCACAGCATAGCCGTACCTACACTTGGCCACCTCCTGCACTGTAATCCAAATTGCAGCAGCACAATCACACACACACTCACGTCGTTGGAAGCAGCACGCGGTAACGCACGTGCACACGCGAGGCGAGCAGCGATTCACTGGCCTTGGCCGAGAGCCGCGCGCTTTTATCCTTTCTGGTGGCGAGCCTTCCTGGCCGGAGAAATGCCCTGCCGGCCCGCCCGGCCCGCCCGGCCCGCCAGGTGGGAGGGGAGGGGGAGTCCCCCCTTCCCCCTCCTCTCCCTCTTTCTCCGGCGCGGCGCGGGGGAGGGGGAGTGAGTGTGTGTACTTCCCTCGGCGCCAAACATCCTCTCGACAGGCGTTCCGCGGAGAAGCGCTTCGTCAAACAGGAGCGGCATGCTTTCCTGCCCGCAAAATGGATAAACGACTTTGGAGTGCAGGACCGCCCCGCCCCGCGCTGCATCCTTCTTCATTGACAGCAAAATGCTCGCCATCGCCGCCTCAACAGCGAGGCGTGGCGGGGCGGGGCGGGGGGCGGGGCGGGGCGGGGCGGGGCGGGGCGGGGCGGGGCGGGGCCACTCGGCTGTCAAGAAGCCTCCCCAAAAGGCGCCTCATTTTAACGAGCTGACCCGAACTTCGCCTTTGAATGCGAGCGCGGGGTGGGGTTCTCGAATCGATTCTGAAAAGACGGTCCGAGGAAAGTCTCGCCTACGGTCGGCAGCGTGAGGCAGCGTGAGCGGTGCTGTATGTTTGTCGAAAGCAAGTTACTCTACGGCAGTTCGGCACTAGTTGCAATGGGGCCTCCCCGGGCCTGCCCGCGACCGCGTTCGGACCATCCTCGTGTACCCTCGGTGTCCTCGGTTTGGCCTCTGAGGACTGATTCCGAACAGGGCCTCGTCTCTCTCGCTCCGGCGCGCTCTGGGGGGCGTCCCGTACAGGTGCGAGAGAGACAGAGCGACGGCGACTGCGACGCCCCAGTGCCCCGCGGCGAGGCAAGGCGGCAGGAGAGGGAGAGGGACAGGCGTATGACTCGGACTCGTTGTTGGCGACCACCGTTGTGTTTACCCGTTTGCCCTCGGCACCCCGTTTGCCGTCCACACGCTACAGTGGCTCGTCTGCGACTTTGGCCGCTAGCCCAAACTGAGGTTCATAGACCCGGCGCAGAGTGGGCCAGGAGACGTACCGGAGGAGGCGAGAAGGCGGCCAAAACTCTAGACGCGTTTTGAGCTCCAGAGTCGCTAAATGGGACTCGAACCGAACGTGTGACCCCACCATGGATCATTCGTGCGGAGAGCAATCCATTGGTGGGTTCAGACGTTCGGTTCGAGTCCCGTTTAGCGACTCTGGAGCTCAAAAAACGCGTTCGGGATTTTGATCGCCTCCACCGGTCTCCTGGCCCACTGTGCGATGGTGTGCCAGTCAGGGCCCAACCCCAGTGCGAAGTGAGTAAACCGAGTCGACGAAAATCTTGAAACCCAATGCGGATTCTTGCGGCTCCTCGCGGTCGGTGGTCGGTCACCCGTTCGCGGGTCGCGGGTCGCGGCGTGGGGGCGCGGGCCGCGTGGGTCGGCAGACTGCGGGGAGAAAACGCCGCCCGCCCCGCCCTGCCCCGCTTTGCCTTGCCCTGTCCTGTGACGTGCGCGCCGAGCGACCTCGGGAGAAAGGGGAAGTGTCTCGCCGATGAGTCAATCCGAATCTCATTTCAGTTCCGCAGCCCAGCGTTTTTGCGCGCCTATTGTCAAAGTGAAAATCCGGATGCCCGCATGTGCAGGAAGAATCAAGTTTTGTTTTTGTTTTCGTTTTCTTCAACAGCACAACACTTGTGTTTTCCTTTTCGAACTCCAGGACTGTTTCGAGGCGTGTCCTGACTGCTCCAGACCCGCGGGCCCACACACCAGACCCTCTGCCTCTAGCCTAGAACATGAGGCCTGCCTGCCGGGCAGTAGAGTTATATTCCGAGAGTCTTTTTCGTCGCTCTGTCTCTCTCGCTCTCGTGGGGTGTTCCGTAAGGTGTGAGAGAGACAGAGCGACGGAGACGCCTCTCGGAATCAGTCCACTGCCAGGCTGCGGAGGCACAAGAACGAGGGGTGAATCACTCGGCGTTCTGGTGTACACATGAGTAAACGAGTACACCTAAAAAAACTCATAAATTTCACATTTTGAAACGTTTCAAGGGTTTACTTAGTGTTTCAGACTATACGCAACACCAAATCTCACCAAAAACTAGCGAATTTTGCTATTTTTTAACTTGTGAGGTACACTGAGAACGGGCCAATTGGTACACATAGGCACACACACCAATAATTCACCCCTCGCACAAGAAGCAGAAACCGACAAGAGGCCTCAGCCTCGGAGACTCATGGCGTCCGTTTCACTGGCATCGCCATCCATATTCACGCCTTGCTTCGACTTGGCTTATCGCAAGGCGCAGGGCTCGGGCAAAAAGCGACTGGCTGCACCCCGTCAACGAGCAAGTGTCAAGCAGGGCGGCAGGGCAGGCAGCAGACGGATTCCGAGAGTCCTTTAGTTCGCTCTGTCTCTCTCGCACACATACGGGACGCCCCATGTGTGCGAGAGAGACGGGGCGACGAAAACGACTCTCGGAATCAGTCGGCAGGGCACGCTGAGCTTTCACTCATTAGAGGACACCGCCTATGCTGTCCGTCACTGTGTCCCCTGCCGAGGAATGCAGTGTGCACACTGTAAAGCACCTTGCATGACGTCACACCAAAAAATCCCCCCTTTCCCTCATCATGAAAATGTATAGAAAGGACATATTATGGAAGAAATTGATGAAAAGTTTCTGCTCCGTGTCACATTGTCCAGGTGTTCGTTCAGGGATGTCTGTCCTGTCCGCCCACCCCAGACATTCCACAGTGGGCCAGAACAGAAGACCGCTGGAGGCGTCCAAAATTCTAGACGCGTTTTGAGCTCCAGGACTCGAACCGACGTGTGACCCTTTGTGTGACCCTATACCAATGGATTGCTCTCCGAACGAGGAATCCGATGGTGGGGCCACACGATTGGTTCGAGTCCCGCCTAGCGACTCTGGAGCTCAAAACGCGTCTAGAATTGGACGCCTCCACCGGTCATCTGGCCCACTGTGCGCTCGTGACACTCGGACGCAGCCCGGCCTGGCTTCGCGTGGCTTCCTCGGAACGAAGAACGAGACGAAAGCGGGCGGCGGACTCACGGCGGACACCTCCCAGCCCCGCCCCGCCCCGCCCCGCCCCGCCCCGCCCCCGTCTTGCCAAAAATTCGGGGGATAATCATAATGCAAAGAAAGCTGGTGAGCCTCGGCAGTCTTGGCCTTGGCCCCCACACTGCGGTGCTGACCCACTAGGACCCGCGCGGGTGTGGCCGTGTGGCCCTCTGCCTGCCTTTCTGTCTGTCTGTCTGTCTGTCTGCCTGCTTTATTTCCCGACGCATCCTCTCCTCACTCGCAGAATCCAGAGGGCCCCCCGAAAGGGGGTCGAAGGGCGACTCGAGGAAAATGATTGGGGCGCAGCGAACAACGCTCTCGAAAAGTGGAAGTGCCCCGCGGGTCCTCTCTGGGTGCCCCCTCCCTTTCCCAGCTTGTCTCGCGTGTCGTCCGTTGTCGAGGCAGTAAATGAAACAGCGTGAAGAGGACACGCGGTCCTTTCGTCTACTTAGCACCTGCCGAGCCTCGGCCGAGCGATTCCGAAGAATCGCTTCGTCGCTCTGTCTCTCTCGCACACGCGCCGTGGGTGTGACAGAGAGGGCGGAAAGAATGACCGCACCTAAACGTAGGGTGCTACTTCACGCTAGCTACCGGCAGCTACCGCCAGTGACCCCTCCCAGATCTCTCGCCCTGTCTACAGAACGCGTGGCCCTCACGCGCGTGCTTTGGTACACTGCAAAGACTAGTCCGGTCGGGGACTTTCATTTTCTCCAAACTTCTCCCTCTCTTTTTCGGTTTTCCTCGCAGCCTCTTGCTGCGCTCTTCTGGGTCCCTCGCGTGCACCCGTTTCTCCCCAACGGCCCATCCTTGACAGCGAAAGTCCCGCCCCAACTGTGTCATCGGCCCGTATTCAAAAATCGTGGTGCGAAATCGGACGGACGGGCGGACGGATGGACGGACAGACATTGTCCGCAAAGCAACACACGCTATGGTCATTGTGCCCCGTCAGGGGTCAGGAAATGCTGAGGCTGGGACTTGACTTCTCGAGGAAAGTCATGACTATTCCGATTTCCGCGCGATGCGGCCGTGGCCGTGCCGCACATCGCTTTGTGCTCGCAGTAAAAGTTAAAGGTCAGGGAGCCTGGTCCCGGTCTATCCAGAGCACCCCCCCCCCCCAATTTTCGTCTCAGTCATGCAGTGGGTTGGGTTAGGTTAGCAATGCTATCCTACTGAGAGTAAACGCTCCCCACACCGCAAAAAAACCGCATTCTTAACAAAAAAATACAAGGATAAGTCCGCGCCTTCCAGCCAAGCGCATTCATAATCCTGTGTTCGGTCACTGCGACAAACTTTGACATTGACAAGTGCTGATTTTTGTTTGTTTGACCCACTGATTTAATTCAATCGCTTCTCCATTTGTCACCCACTCATTCGAGTTTCGTGACGAGCAATGATGCATTTTGCTGTTGCCTGAGTGTTTGTCTAGCATCTAGCTCGATTCGAATTCGTTGGGCAAACCGGCAACGACTATTGGCAGTACCCTGCCTGCAAATAGCGGAGATGTCCTTTTCTTCGTGTTCTTGTTCTTCTTTTCTGGTTTGTTTGTTTGTTTGCACTGTGACAGTTGATTTTGTTTTGGTGTGCATCAGGTGGAGGGATTTTTCGTTTGTTTGTGCTGATGGTTTAAAGGCACCTCCTCGAAATGGTGAGGTATTTGTGTGTGAAGGCTCCATTTATTCAGCCATTGTCCATGTGAAGCAACGAAACGGGTCTTTGGTTGTTGGCACAGGGGATGCAGGGCTGCTGGCGTCCAGTGGCCGCAAGCGCAACCGCAGCCGCGACCGCGGATCAGACAGACTACCCTCCAAGGCCCATGCAAGTCAAATGTTATCACTTCATCTGGTCAGGCCTGGCGATCGTATTTCACTTTGTCGACCTCGGCACAGATGTCAACGTTATCACGCACTACTTTAGGAACGATGAGAGAGGCTACGCCTATGCGACTATTGTCATCATTCTGGTACCCTCTTTCATTATTTCGTGTGTCAGCTACCAAATGTAAGGACATCTTCTGATTTATATTTTGTAGTAAATTGTAGTCTGGAGTTAAAGTTTCGAAGTCACATATTCTTATTTGTCATCGAACCACTATGTTTCATTTCCAGTGTTGTAATGATTGTAGGACTGTTCTTTCAGGTTCGATCTGGACAGAAATCGAGAAGGTTCGCACAAGTGGAACAGAAAGCTCAAGCTAAGAATTGCCATGCATGTGATTCCGCTAGCACTGTTGCTCCGGTAAGGAACATTTTACAAGATGCGATCAGGCCTTGCAGTTTCTTCTCACCCTCGATCATAAGTATATTCTTTTTTTTTTGTTTTGCTGTAGGTGTATTGATTCATTGAAATATGCCTGGAAATCATGGAGGACTGGGAGGCAAAGAAACACAGGACTCCAAGAGAAGTACTACAAATTAATGCTGAAGGAAGATGCAGACTGTGCATTACTGCAAGTCTTAAAATGTTTCTTAGAATCTGCCCCCCAGCTAGTGCTTCAAGTGAGCTACATTTTTAAGTGGGTTAATTCAGAAAAGCCGTTGGAGCCAGGTAGGTGATACCTTATTTATTAATTGCAATTTTTCTTCATATTTTAGCTCTTAAAATTAAATAAAGCTTGCGTATTTTTCAGGTTGGACGGGCTATGACCCCTTAATCTCAGCAGTATCTTCTTTTTTGGGAATGGCATGGTGCCTGAGGACTTTCAAGAATAGTATTCGTTATGTTCAAGAAGGCAAGGATAACATAGGGAGTCTAGGGAATTTATTCATTTTCTTGTGGCATTTCTTCATTGCAAGTAAGAGAGTGTCTGATTTTGAAATACTTTTTGCTGGTAGTTTCTTGTTTTATCCTAAGCTATGGTTTTATCTTGCTCTTCTAGTTTCAAGAATCTCGATGCTGAGTGCAATGCTCTATATTTCATGGGCGTACACTTTGATAGCAATGGCTATTCACTGGATTATTATGACAGTTTCCCTATTACGAATAGAGAATCATGTGTTCTGCACCAGTGACACATCTGTCGTTTCAAGAACCGTCACTTTCTTAGAAAAACTTAGTAATAATTTTTTGACAACTGTCTTTGCAGTAGTGTCCATTTTTACCTACATCCCACTCGGTAGGATTAAATCACTTTTTCGTTTTTTACCTGAGAGTTTTGGCATTCTTTCATTCTTTTAATCAAAAAATTGTTTGCTTTTAGATGAAGGTGACACATGTATCCGATATACATGCTACTACAGCCTTTGCTTTCTTGAAAACCTACTTGGCGCAAGCATTTGGTACTGGATTGAGGGCAGGTATTGGTTCAAAGTATTAATTACAGTTTTGTGCATTCTACCATTCATTCTTGGTTGCTCTTGCATGGTTGTGTATTATCACTGGTTCCATCCTAAGGAACACAGGATTTCAAATGGTAATGTTATTGTTGAGAAAGGTCAAGTGGAGAATGGTTTTGTCAATGTTGTTGGTCAAGGGGAGAATGGTGTTGTCAATGTTGTTGGTCAAGGGGAGAATGGTCAAGGGGACGATGGGAGTGAGATGCAAGAAATTTGTCTGAGTGAAAAGTTATGATGCTCATAAAACGACTAGATTGTCAAAGAACTCAATGGACGATTTGTTTACCAGTTCATTATAATTTATATTTTGATTTCTTGTGATAATGCATTGTATATTAACTTGTAGTCTCAACTCTGCGATTAAAAAAATGAATGTATCAATGTATTTATGTATGTCTGAGGATTGGCAATGTCTAAACTCTAAAGAATGACTTAATGAGAGGCTTTGCATATTTATGGTCTGTATAGAGTGAGCATGTGTTTGTGTGTGTGTGTGTGTGTGTGTGTGTGTGTGTGTGACTTTTCTCCTCCCTCTGTGTGTCTCTCTTTTTAGATGAAAAGTTTTTGTTCTGATTCCTCATGTTCTATCTTGATTGCTCTCTTAACTCATGGTTTGTTTCATCTCAATGAATCAGCCACGACCTCAGTACTTCATAAGGCATAAACATCAGAAAAAATTCTTCTGTTAAAGACTTTCTGTACACCACCTTTAATAATAATAATTTAGTCATAGTTACAAATTATTTTGGACTAAGAGCCTTTGTGATAAATTCTTTCACAGTTTCTCTCTTAGCCAAGTATAAATAAGTACCCATGTGTTCAATGTGTTGTGAGACTGAACCAAGTTCCTACTGGTATATTTGTACCTTTGTATTTACCGTGCTTTACAATGTGCTTAATAATCAATTATACAAATACAATTTTTTTTTGTAACTTGTGTTATATTATTTTGTTGAGTAACACTTATCACTTGTGGATTATGCTCTGGGGATGTGTACAAGCACATGATCCGACACAATGTCGCGTTATTGAGACAGCTGTGACCAATGTGAGTGATGTTTATTGCACCGGAGAGGGCGAGGCGTTATCAGCAAGTTTTCAGGAAAGAACACCTTGCGCTCCCCCGCCCCGCCCCCTTTTCCATCCCAAGGATTTTGTATTTTCCCTCCTCGATTCGAAGGACCGGAAACGATTACTGGCAGTTCCCTTTCTGCGAATAGCGAAGGTTGGCGTTGTTGCATCAGGGCTTTTTCCGCTTTTTCGTTTGTTCGTGCTGCCGGTTTAAAGGCCCCTGCTCGAAATGGTACAGTATTTCTTTGTTAAGGGCCGATTTGATCAAACATTTTGCTACTGAATGGCTTTTTGGAACAGGGAGCGCAGGGTTTCTGCCTATGTTGCTGGCAGGAGATCAGTTTCTGTCAAGTGGCCCCCGATCAGACAGTGAGATTTTATCACATCTTAGGGTACGGAATAGCAATTCTATACCTCATTGTCGACTTAGGCATTGACATCAGTACCGTCGTGCACTACTTTGTGGATGAGCAAGATGCCTATGCCTCTGCAACTATTGTCATCATCCTTGTATCTTCATATGTCATTTCATGTGTCAGCTACCGCATGTAAGTACATTGTTTGATTGATTGCCTACAAAGGTAAATGTTGTGGCATCCGTACATAACAGCGTACCTACCGTGGGATTTCCCTATGAAGATACGTTGTTCTGTCAGATCATTACTCCATTGTGGTCCAGAGTTAAAAGTGTTGGTGTCACACCATCTTATTTGTTTTTGTTGTACCGCTATGTAGTAACGGTTATTTTTCTAATGTGGCACTGTTCTTCCAGGTTTAAGGTGGATAGAAAACGAGAACGTTCACATATGTGGAACAAAAATCTTAAGCTAAGAATTGCAATGCATGTGCTTCCGCTAGCACTGCTTCTTCGGTAAGTACTACCTGTTAAGATTCCATTAGGTCTTGCTGTTTTGTCTCATTATTCAGCTACATGTTTATTTTCTGAAGTTGTATAGATTCATTTAAATATGCACTCAAATCCTGGTGGGCTGGGTGGCAAAGAAATTCAAGCCTCCGAGAGCATTACTACCAATTGATGCTGAAAGAGAATGTGGACTGTGCTTTGCTGCAACTATTCGAATGTTTCTTAGAATCTGCTCCGCAGCAGGTGCTTCAAGTCAGCTACATGTTAGGGTGGGTTAGCGGTGAAAATACAATGAGGACAGGTAGGTGACACCTCAGTTATCAAATGCACCCTTCTCCATGTTTAAGTTAATAGAATTATAAAAGGTAATGTATCTTCCAGGTTTAAGCGGATATTACCCCTTGTTTTCGGCAACATTATCATTTTTGGGAATGGCATGGTGCCTAAAAACTTACAAGAATATCATTCGTAAGGTTCAAGAGGACAAGGCTAATATTGGTCGCTCAGGGGATTGTTTCATTTTCCTGTGGCAATTATTCATCACAAGTAAGAAAGCATATAATTTTATAATAATTTCTCCAGTTACTTCTCGTCTTATCCTTTGTAATGATAATGCCTTTCACTTCTAGTTTCAAGAATATCGATGTTGAGCGCAATGCTCTATCTGTCATGGTACACATTGGTTGCAATGGCCATTCACATTTTAATCATGACAGTTTCAATGTTACGAACAGAGAATCATATGTTCTGCAACAGTGATAAATCCTTTGATTTAGGAACAGCCAGTTTCCTAGAAAAACTAGGCAATAATCTGTTCACAACAATTTTTGCAGTTGTGTCCATTTTTACTTACATCCCTCTTAATGGTAAGAATAAATCACTTTCTAGACTTTTAACTCAGAGTTATTGTATTCATGCCTCCTTTTAATTAAAAAATTGTTTTCTATTAGATGAACGTGGCACACGTATGCGATATACCTGCTACTACACTCTTTGCTTTCTTGAAAACTTACTCGGTGCTGGCATTTGGGTCTGGATTGAGGGCACATATTGGTTATTAATGGTAGTCTTGTGTCTTGTACCATTTTCTTTTGGTATTTGTTTTATGGTTGTATATTATCATGGGTATCATCCAATGGGCCACAGTATTCGTAACAGTAATGATCTCTTTGAAAATGTGCAAGAGGAGAATGGAATTGGCGATGGTGTTGGTCGCGGCCGGGAGAATGGAATGAGAGGGATTGAGATGCAGGAAGTTTCAACTTAGTGGAAAGAAGTGATGCTCATCCAGCCACTCAAAATTGTCGCGGATGCAGAAAGGGGGCGGGGGGCTGTCCTCCGCTCCGCCATGGCACCTAGATAGCCTAGATAGCAGCGTGAAGGGTAGGCAAAAAGCTATACTTTGCCCCTGCAACTTTGCTCCGCCCTCCCCGGCCGCCACTGCAAGACACGGACTCAAAAGTGAATTTGTTTACCACATATACTTTAAAATTTATGTGATGTCTTGTAATAATGTATTGTGTGTTTACTTTTAGTTTCAATTCTTTTATTAGAAGAGTGTGTGAATGTATATGTGTATATGCATTTATCTTAGGATTAGCAATGCTGTAGCAATTTTTATTATTCACCACTGACTTTATCAAATATTGTGTAGTTATGGTCTCTGTTCATTAATAGGAGGTCAGCTACAAGCTCTTTTTGCTACATCTTTTGTACAGAGCTGTATTGTATTTGTGTATGTTGTGTGTTTTTTTAAAACAATTTCTTTTTTTGTTAAAAATGTTAAATTTTGCGTACAAATTTGGAAAGCTTTGCCTTGATTGCTCTCAGTAATACTCATCTTCTTAAGACTTCATGTATACCGTATACTACCTGTATTTTGTAGAATTTAGTCATAACTAGAAATTATTTTGGACTGAATCTGTACTCTCTGGGCCAAGTACAAAAAAGTACACATCTGCTCAAAATGTTAAGACTGAGCCAAGGTCTTCTTAGTACATTTTTTCCTTTGTACTTACAGCATTAACAATGATCTTTGTAATCAATGTTACCATTTTTTTTGTAACATTTTGTCAATTTTATTAATTTATTTTTTTGTGGAAAATGTATTGTGGGCTAGCTCCTAATCATGCTCGATGAGACGAATGCTCACGTCGAGGAGGTAGCCGTAGCCGACTAATATTTTTACTATGCCGGATGTGGGAGTTGGGTGGGGTAGGCTATTGCAGTGTAGCGTTTTCCATCATAAAATAAATGATTTTTGAAAATACCGCTTTTAGAGGGAGTGTCCTGCCATAACCAACCACCAACCTTCCTAGCCACTATTCGCACTACTTTGTCGCAGTGACGTCAAGAGAGCTGTCACGGCCAAAGGAGTGCAGACGACGCATGCACACGTCAGTCATTGCGTCACTGAAGTTGTGACTTCTGACTCGCAGTGTTTTCAGTGACAGTTCCACAGCAGTCTTGACACAGGCTACTTGTCGCGTTCATCTCTCTGACTTTCCCGACGTGAAAATGGCCTTCTCTTCTCAAATGCCATCCAGAGAGTTTCTGTGGGATGTATTCAACAGGTAGCCTATTCCAATTCTTGCAGCCTTACACTTCATTAAATGACTGTTATATTGGTTTATTTGGTGACATACTCTAACTATTTGTCACTGTTCATTCATGTTTTCCTGTTGCGTCAACTTCATGCACGTCTCTGAAGGATCTGGGCTTGTATTCTTTCAGGGTCGACCGAGACCGAAGTGGATATATTTCTGCTGAAGAACTTCAAGTTGCGCTTTCGAATGGTACATGGACTCCGTTCAACCCTGAAACTGTACGGCTAATGATAGGTTAGTGCTGTACATGTTACTGCCTCATTGATTTAACTGAGTTGGTTGTTTTCATATTCTAACCCTGTCATTGAATTCCATTGCGTTACAGGAATGTTTGACAAGCAAAATAGAGGACAAGTTAATTTTGATGATTTTGGAGCTTTGTGGAAATATGTAACTGACTGGCAAAATTGTTTCCGCTCCTTTGATAGAGATAATTCTGGAAATATTGACAGAAATGAACTTAAAACAGCTCTTGTCACTTTTGGTTATCGATTGAGTGACGGCATCCTTGATCTTCTTCTGAGAAAATATGACCGTAGTGGGAGAGGTGTTATTTTCTTTGATGACTTCATTCAATGCTGTATTGTGTTATATGTAAGTATCTTCCCATTCAGATTAGTTCTGACACCTTGTGTTATAGTTGCATGTTTTAAATCTTTTGTTTGAATTAATTTTCAGACCCTGACATCATCTTTTCGCCAATACGATACTGATCAAGATGGTGTTATCACTATCCACTATGAGCAATTCCTCAGTATGGTCTTCAGTTTAAAAGTCTGAGCAACGTTCAGTCATGCATTTTCTAGGTATTCCATGACCATACCCTGTGAAAAATAAGACACAAACTTTTTCAGCTGATGTTGTGATTATTTCTCACCGGAGTATGGACACACACACTTTTTATCTTTGACTTTATATTAGTATTACTTCATAATCTCACTTTGTACCATTTCTCGAGTTGTACAACCATGCGGTTTATCCTTACTCAAGGTCTGACGCATGTCTGTGCACCACATTTTTGTCATCTTGCAATAAGTGCCTTACAGCAGAGTAATTTTAACCAAGAATTAGAAAATGTGCCAACCCATAGGCTGATTTCTTTAATTGCAAGCAAATGTTTATCTTAAATGTGTTTTTGTTTTATACTTGTATATTATATATTAGTCAGTTCGAACAAATAAAATTATGCATTTCTTTAGCCACAATCCTTCTTTTCGTGTTTCCCGCCTCTGACTACGTTTTTCATAGTTCGGGTGGACTTATACTTTTTGCTAAATTTCTCATACCAGCACAACAAAAAAAAACAAACACTGTCAGCAGCAAGCAGACGGCAACAAGAATGCTTCTCTAGAACTAGATGACCTCCGGCTAGCGTCCGGTAGTTTTAATCATAAGTAGAGTAGTAAACTTCAGTCTATTTTGTCGGACATAACGTGATTACGTACAGGCCATTGACACCGATATTAAAATGAGGACTATCGAAGGGAAAATAGTTGTCCTGGGATCACAAGGTATGGTTATTTCAACTGGTGAGCTCTAACAGTTATGTAATCACACAATATACGTTTCACGTTTTCAGCATATTTGATGATGACTATGTCATTGCATTGGTTGGGCATTTTCAAAATAAAGTCTTTTTCATTGCCCATATTTGAAGGGGGTGGTTTCTCCCAGATATATTACATTTTCAATCTCATTGCTTCAAAACCTACCTCATCACCGTTAACATGAAAGAGTCTTCTAATATCTTTGTTGCCCGAAATTCGAGCAAATTTTCCAATAATTTCATTACACATATGAGAATGGCTTTTTTTGTTTCACATACAGGTGTAGGAAAGACCAGTATGGTGGTTCGTTACATTGGGAAAATGTTCAGCCACCACATCAGTCCGACAATTGGTGCATCTTTCTTTACTTGTAAAATAAATATTGACGAAACAAGAGTGAAGCTCCAGGTTTGTTTCTTTAATAACATGCAAGCAATTAAATGTTTGAAAAAATTAAATAAGATTTGCATTTATGACTGTGCTCTTTTAATTTTATTTTAGGTATGGGATACAGCTGGCCAAGAGAGATTCAGGTCTATGGCGCCCATGTATTATCGCAATGCAAATGCAGCATTGCTTGTCTTTGACATCACCCAATACCATACATTCACTGCCATAAAAAACTGGGTCAAAGGTTTGTATGCATTTGGAATGTAATTGCTCCTGTACTATTACATTGAGATTTTCAAACTCATAAGGGTGCCCCTACAATGGCCGAAATCCAACCATCAGTCATGCGTCAGTCACACCTTTACACTTGTTTTATCCAGTTGTATCCATCCAAACTTTTCAATCCTGGACTTTTAATGAAAAAGGTGTTATTTCAGTTGATCATCATGTCAAATATCGGACGTGGGAAGCTAAAACAAGTGACTGACTGACTGACGGTCGGATTCTGGCCATTGTGGGGCCACCTTAAAGTATTTTATTATCTCTTTTTTACTTTCAGAATTACAAAGAAATGTTGAAGAACCTATGGTCCTTGCGCTTGTTGGGAACAAAACTGATCTTGTAAATCAGCGTAAAGTTCTGCGAGAGGAGGCCCATCAGTATGCTGTTTCTATTGGTGGAACATACTTTGAAACATCAGCATTGCAAGATGAAGGTAAGCAGTCCTACAGTTACCACTGACTGTAAAGTGCACCCTTGTGACACATTGGTCTTAAAAATTAAACTGAATTTTCTTTGACAGGTATTGAAGAGGTTTTCCTTAACTCTGCCATTGGCATGATAAAGTTAAGTGAAGACAGCCAGTGCACTAGCTTGCGAGTGTATGATTCCTCAGATACCAGCAGCCCTACAGCCATACTGCAGCCTCCCCCTCCTTTGACTTCGGCAGTGCAGCTTGATAAAGGACCAACGCAAGGAGAGCAAGAGAGAGTGCTGGCCTGCTGCTGAATGTATTCCCGCCATCACTGAAGGACCGCCCAAAAGACATTCATTCTTGAAATTTGAAAAGAGAAATATGAGGAATCATGTGAAATGGTAATGACAATGTTTTTAATGTCTCTTCCCTGCTTTATATTTAAGGTTCATATGTATTGCACCTTAGATCTGATATGTCTGAGGTTTTCAGCCTATATTTTTTTGAGATTACCAGCAAGCTTTCTAGAAAGAAAACTCAAATCAGTATTCTTAGGTCACAAATTTGATGGTGATTATTTTCTCATGTGTTTTGGACCTGTGTTATCATTAGGGTTTGTTTTTATTTTGACTCAACATATCTGAAATGATAAATTAGTTGGATGTTCCATATTACAAGAATATGATGAGTGGACCAAAATTAGTACTTATTAAGATGTTTTATCATTATTAATCAATGATTTCTATTCAAGTTAGAGTAAAACTTTTGAGCTTTATATCAAATGTAACCGCAATTTATCTCTGTTAGTCATGATTTAATTTTATTCATGTATATTTTATAGTATGTGTACTAGGGTTTTTTGTGCCATTTTGAAAGTGTGGTGGTGTGTGTTAAGACTGACAAATTTTATTCATGAGGAGTTGCGAACGCCCCAAGAACATGGAATTAAAAAGGTGCCAAATGTGTCTTACTCTGACATACCTGTCGGTCTATGGGACATATGATAAGATTCAAAGAATGTTTTTGAGCAGTGTTGTTGCATTCAGTAGAACAAAATATTAATTTTGAGTGCCTTAAAATGATAAGTTCTTGGTAGAATGAGGAATATGGATTGTGTGGTAACATTTTTATTGAGGAGAAAAATTGGGCCCAATATTACTGACGTCACATGTTTCTTGCCAATTGTTTTTATTATTATTTTTAATTTGTCTTGTCGTAACTTTGTGAAACTTACAAGTAGTTCATAATTTCCATCTTTTAACATTCCATTTTGTGTTACTGCTGCTAGGCTTTTTCTGCTGTTGTTCCACTTCCATTTTAATGTTTTATAGTCAGTATTGAATGTGCCAATGTGCTTTTACTTTATTCTTTCCCGTCCTTGTTCGATTTTCACTTTAACCCAACCCTTTGTGATACTGTGTCCTTACCTGTCTGAAATAAAGTGAGCTTTAAAACACAACCTTCCATCTCCTCTGTTAATTCTTAAATGTTAAAACAGACTTCGCGGTGCTTCGCGGGTGAATTACAATTGCGCAAAGAAGCGGAAGTGTGGAAGTCCAATGGCGAGGAAAGGAGCAGGAGGAGTGGGGAAAGGGGGGCGTCTGCGGCTTAGTGCGGTTTGTTATCAGTCCTGCGGCCGAAACGAAACCGTGACTGCACTGCTCATTCCTCGCTTTTAACGATGTAGAAAGTCACGCTTATTTCACAGCAGGTGCGGTTTGACGCTCGGTCACGAGGGTTGGGCCGCCCGACGCATGCGAGTCAACATTGTCAACATGCACCCATTCCACGCTTCGGAGAAATCTTAGCAGAAGTACTGGCAGGAGGATTACTCGGACTCTGTTGACAAATTTCACTATCCTAGTGGTGACAGCACTTTTGACTCGGCTGCGCATTGGTAGCTCTACAATCTGGTCCAGTCTGCATTTGTGTGGAAAGCGTTGCTAGGCTAGATTTTAATGCAATAGTAAAGGAGCCTAACCTCTCTCACAATGTTGTCACAAATTAAATGGGCGGAGTTATTCCCTAACAAGTCCAGCATAGTCATCTTTGCTGCCTATGTTGGTTTCTTTACGAATCAAGGCAAGTACCGTCATTCAAAGAGAATTTATGAAGTGATTTTGACTGTAGAATGCAGCTCTATTTTCTTTATGCCCTAGGGATTTTGGTAAGGTGGACGCAGTCAGCAGATAACAGCTATCCATACAATACTGTCACTGCGGTCTTGTTGACAGATTTTATCAAACTGATCATCACTTCTGCATTATTCTGCAGAGAGTAAGTTCTTCGTATTTTAAGAAACTTTCTGTTAAAATGATGGTTGAAAAAATGCTTTAAAAATTTGTTTACATTCTACCAGTTATTATCTGAATTTTTGAAAAATGTCAGTTTTTGTACTAACAATGTTTTTTCTATGGCTTGTAGCCATCCTGTTAAAGCTCTATTAACAGAAGTCATCAGGAATTCTAGAGGTAAGCTGTATGAGAGCTTATATCATGAGCTATTATATCAACCACCTAACTTATTTAGTGGTGTCTCTTTTGCAGTCTGCTCGCTGTACCTGATACCGGCATTTTTGTACAGTTTGTACAATAACATAGCATTCCTAAGCCTCTCGGCCTTTGATCCCACCACTTATTATTTATTGCTGCAATTGCGGGTAGCATTAACGGGAGTAGTGTATCAGGTAAACTTCGACATGAAATACTGCAATGCTATTTGTATCAGTGGTATTGTATTCTTTTTTCATCTCTCATGTTTTTCTTGACAGGTGATTTTTAAGAAAAGGCTCAGTGGAACTCAATGGATGTCACTGTTGCTTTTGACTGTTGGCTGCATGATAAAAGAAATGGATTTCAGCAATTTGAGTAATTTGTTTGGGGGTTTGGAAGGAAAGAAATGGAGCTTTCTTCTTCTTCTCTTCCAGGTTACCGATTTTCTCTTAGTACTTCATTGAAAATTTGTTTTGCTCTAGTTGGCACATTACTGTTATTTTTCTATTTCCAGATGTCATGCTCATGTTTGGCTGGTGTGTACAATGAGTACCTGTTGAAGAAAGAATCCCCATCAGCAAATATATTCATCCAAAATGTTTTCATGTACCTAAACTCAATAGTGTGCAATATGGTGATGGTCATGCTGCATGAGCCTCTTAGCCAGACATTTTCAAGTGAGTCACTGTCAGCAGTGCTAGTGCCAAGTGTCATCATCTTAATGCTCAACAATGCCGGTGGTGGCATTACAACCAGCTTCTTTCTGCGGAACCTTAACTCTATTATGAAAACATTTACTGGTGCCATAGAACTTACATGCTCTGCTATATTATGCTACATCTTATTTGGTATTCCAATTTACTTGAATACAGTCATTTCAATAGTCACAGTGTCATATGCAACAATTTTGTATTCCTCAAATCCTGTCTCTAAGGAAGAGGACAATGTTAAAGAGAAGTATGATGTTGAAATGTTGCATCCATTGATGGACCGCGAATCCAAAGTCACAGTAGTTTAGTGTCTCATTTTTACCAATATCCTATTTTAAGTAATGGGAAACACTGGTCTAGCAGAGGGTAAATGTTTTGTTCCCCACTTTGACTTTTCTAGTTCTCTCTTCCTGTGGTGTGATCTGAGTGGATGCAATCGACCCAGAAGTGAATTTTTCCTGAACATAACTATGATTTCTCTTTGCTGCAAAAACCAGCTTTGAGAAAGTCAAACATGCTGCCATCTGTGATGTTTATATCATATTGTGCCTTTTGAGAAAACAATCATGTGACTTGATGAGGACACATTCATTTATACATGGTTCTGATTATCTTAGGAACTGCTTTTCTCTAGAAAAAAAAAAAATTCAAGTGCATAGTCCGAGCACCTTTTATGCTAGCTCTTGAAATTTTGCCATCGTCTATTCTTGTCGATTGTAATAATTTTATTGCCATATACATGAATCGAAGAGTAGATATCTGCCTTCGGGCAAAGAATTTTTTTAAAAATCGTGGCTGTGATTGCTGTAGGTCTTTGGAACCTCACGAATTAGCATTCTTTGTTTGCACTAAGATATTATCTGTGCTGAATATATACAGATTTCAATTTGCTTTCAACTGTACCATGAGCTTTAACTAGGTATAAGATAACATCCTTTTATTCTTTTGATTTTGCTTTTATTCTCATTTAGTCTTGAAATGCCTTGTCACTAGGCAGCAGTGTTTTTGTGCGTGCCCTGTTATACTGTTAATTGTTCAAGTATTCTCGTTCATAGACTATGCATTGTGTGGTTTGGATTGTTAATGTGAACCAGTGTTTTAATGTGACATTAAATTCAAATTCATGTCAACCTACGTATCTATCAAATATTAAACATACTCTAGATTGAATAACTCATGCAAACCATTAGACTGTATTTACTGCAGTTTAAATGATTCGTGAATTGTGAAGCCCAGTTGGTGGAACAGGTAAGTAAGTAAATTTAGAAATTATTGATAATATTTATTGTCAGAATTGAAAAATCTACATTTTCCACATCACTTTGCATGCACATTTAAGAGAAATGCTTAAGATAGCTTGGAATAAAACCAGAAGTAATACGTTCTTCACCCGACCCTATCCTAGACAAATCAAAGTTCCTAAACTGAGTAGTAACCCACTATTAGTATTAAAAAAGAATATATATAAAAAAAAAAAATCTACAGAGCCAATTATGCAATTAAGCTAATTTAATGCATAATGCATGCCAATAACTTAAAACAAGTCCCTGCATCAGTGGTATTTCAATTACTTACCTCAACATCAGCACAGGTACATCACGCAAATGATCCTCAGAAGGAAGGGAGAAAAGAAAAGAATATCCACAGCAACAGCACAAAGCAAAGATGTAGAACTTGAAAATTTGGCTACGAAGTTATTTGAATGCTGAGAACTCACAGTTCAAAACTACATGTCATCACCACCAATTTCTGAAGTCTTAAGTGTAGAGTGCTGTCAAAAAATAAGCAATGCTTGCAAATGAATCCTAGATGACCACAGGCTAGTTCAAACCAATTACAAAACACTGACAGTACCCTGATGAGACATTTACTTAAATTACAGTGACTCACTAACCCTGGGTAGAGCGCGCATGAAAGGACAGACACAGAAATTACCATCAGCTGCTGAGTTAGGTTAGGTGGGGCAGAACCAAAGAAAAAGGGGAAAAAAGGGACAACAGTTGCAAATCTGCAGACACTGAAATAATCAAATAATTCTACTCAACTAAAAGGCAATAGCTGATGGACGGACGCACGTCTCTTAAGAAGGGAATACAAAGCCAAGGAGAATAGACATTGCAAATCCTTCAATTCAAATCGATTTCAATCAAGGAAAAGGGTCCCTGAATTTTTCTGAAAACAAAAGAAATATTTTCTCCAAGTGAGAGAACATAGGGTAGTGAACTACATTTAAACTACAGCCAAACTATTAGTGTGCATCAAAAACTCTAGAGTTAACGCATCACGTTACCTAGATCCTCAGACTAGAAATAAATGGAGATCATCGTTTGAGGCACAGCCAACCATAATGAATGGAGAGAACTGACATTTTAAAATCTACGTCTAGACTGCTGTTTGACTTTAAGAAAAGTGCAGAGTATTGCCAAAACCAACAGATTTGGAAAATCATGACAAAAGTTCCGCCCATGAATGAAATTAACCATGGTTTCAATTTTCATAACACAGATAAAATTCAGCTCAACGAACATGTACACAAAATGAGTATTGCATACAATGCCAGAATGTTAAGATCTTGCAGCAGTGATTTAAAACCTGGCTAAAACAACAAGCACATCTGAATGTAAAGCGGAAGTGATGCCAGACATTTTCAACAAGTAAAATCCAACATAAAATCAAAAATCTCCACAAAAAAACAAAACCCCATTGCTTCAAATAAAGAGAAACAAACAACTTTACCCAGCAGTGATAATTGTGGGCTCACTTGATGGGAAACATGCAAGTATTATAAAATCAAAACAGCAAACAGTTTGCAAAAAGAAAATGTTGAAAACAATAACTCTTTCACAATGATAGTGTTATTTCACTGAGCTGAAGCAAAGCTAGGCCGAAATAACACTGTCACTGAAATAAATGCTGCGTAAGATACTGAAATTACTTGTTTGAGCCCTGCCACTTTGTGGAATCTTTTCACATGGGTGGATGAAGAGAACCTTGCTACAGCTCAGTAAAAACTACTTGCAATCCACACCACTTTGAGATTCAGGAAAGCTACAGGGTAACCTGCGCCACAATTTCCTGCATCACCTGCGAGCATACATGCAGTGAGAAAGCCGAACAAATACGATTCACACAAGATGAAGGTAGACACTATAAACGGAAGCATTGAAAAGACAAAATGATGTCAGCCAAAGGCTAGGTACCTGAGCACTGGAAAGGAGCTGTAGTACAACTACCATACCAACACAGTCCCCAGATCAGATGGACATTAATTATGCCATTAGGTTAATTGACATTCTGCTAATAGAAAAGAGCTAGGCAAAGCATAACAAACAAATGGGGTGCACATTAACTAGCGGGGTTGGAACAGGCCATCAGGCAAGCAATGTTAAAAAGATGAACAAGACCACATTGAAGTCAACAATTGTTCAATAGATGCAGCCACTCCTACAGCAGCTGGACACACATTGAATGACACATCTAGCACAATGCCAGTCACACAATTACATCATACCGCCACAAAAAGACAGAACGGAAGGAGGGTCATCAGATGGCACCTAGCCAACTGATATCAGTGATATCTACAAAAATGATTAACAGACTGATGACATCAAGCATATTTCATTCAATTTAATGATTGCTATTTTCCTAACTTAAAGCATGCAAGGAAGGCAAGGGAAACAGTGCACAAGGCTACCAGTTCGGTAATTGTACAAACAGTACTCTGATCTGATTCACCATATGGGACGTGGAAGAATAGAAGCTTGTGACCAACTAAAATAGTAAAGAAATACTCACCTTGAATGGTTGATGATGAAACAAAACTCCTAGCAGTACAAGACACTAAGTTTTGCAGGGAATAGGGAATGTGATACCAGCCACAAGCTTCCCCAACAAAAGACACCACAAACAAGGAGACAACTGTAACCTGTCATCAAAATTGAAACCCAAAAATTCTGCCTTTCATCACCATATGACACGTTATCACAAGAAATTGAACTAAAGGTAAATCATGCCTGTGGAACCAAAAAAATGGGAAGGGAAACATAGGGGCACCCTAAAGGATGGCAGGAAAAGGTAAATAAGAATTCCAAAACATTCGAGGGGATAATTAAAGCGGCAATAGCTCAGTTTGACCAGTGGAAGAACCACAAAAAATTGTGATACAGAAAATATCATGAGGCTTGCATCGCATCAGCATGAGCAACTTGAACTGGGTCTCACCAGCACAAAGCACAGTCAAGTCCAATTCAATGAGCAATCAAACAAATTTCAACACAACAGCTTGCAGTGTGGGCTATGTGAGCTTGATGGTCACGTTTGCAGCTGAGCTAGCACCTATTCCACAACAGAGGCAAGCAAAGGAGACATTCCTACCCAATGAGTGTCAATCGAAACTGTCACTAAAATTTTAACGAACATATGATTGGAACAGGGCATGGGCAAGAGACTATATCAAAGTAAAGAGCACTAGAAGAGAACAAAGAAGCCATGGTTTCAAGCAATCTGTCATGGAATCCAAATAGAAATACCCACAAATATACCAAACTTCAATTCACATAGTACTTTCATTAACTTCCGAAATAGATAACCCCATCAAAAATCTCATTGAATATATAATGTATGCAGTCAGTGAAAACAAGTGCTTCAATTTAAAAAAAAAAAAAACTAGACCACAATATTTATGAGGGAACAAGACGAAAAGTGTAATAAAAATGAGAACGCGCACTTATCCAAACTCCCTAGAATGATTTGTTTTCCTGATGTGGACTTTGGAAACATTTATGTAGGGACCCTACCAACTATGCCACAGCAATTTAAATGCGTTTCAAATCATTTCGGTGTGGACCCAAAACAATTTACAGCAGTGTCTCCAATGTAAGGAAAGATTTCTTGTGTGAAACAGGTTCTAGGTTTTGACGTCTATTGAACCAAAGGAATCAGTTCCCCCCGTACCATTACCCTAAGAAAATTCATTATCTCTTGATTCAGGTCACAAGTTAACATTGCAGTAGAAAACCCTTTTGTTTAAAAAAATTGTTTATTCTGATTTAATGTGCTTGCTAAGTGTGGCTCCAACAGGAAAACACCTAGGCCCAACAAAATTCGAATTTTGGTCATTCATACAGGAAAACATTCCAATGGTAGATTTAACAACACGGTTGCTTTCTCGGTTAGTCAAAAGCCTGACATAACTGAATGCAATGTAATAATACAAGCTATCAGTTGAATCAAAGCAGTGAAAAAATGTAATCCGCTTTTGGAAAAAAAAAAAAAAAAAACATGTCTGATAAATATTTGAAACTTCCCAGTCATTGCTATAGCTACAAGATAAGAAAAACTGACAAGGACGAAAAATATGTACCAACACTTCATATTCAGCACATAGCAATGAAAGGGCACAAAGTTGAGAAACTTTTATCTCTTGGCAACACAATCATAGGAGAGGGTCGCCCGAAAATCTCCTGGAGTCGTCTGTCGTTTGCAGACCTGTCCACAGACCTGAGGGTTGAGGAATAACAAGGCAACATACACCATACAGTTCAGGGACATTTAATATTTAAAAACAATGCAAGAGGAAAGAATGGTAAGACATGTTACAAGTAATACCCTAATACAATGAACATAAGACATTTTAACTTCAGATAACAAATTGAGCTACATTATCTTATTTTACCTCACCACAAACGATGAGCGCAGGGCTCAGAGATCACGTGCTTCTTGATGATTGATGAACACGTCCTTGGGTGCCCTTGACATCAAGGGGAGGGAAAATATTTTTTTTCAATTTGGAAGAAGAAAAAGAAATCTCTTTGCAGTCAAATCTTAATATAAATAATGGACTCAATGATCAAAACGTCATTTGGGGGAAAAAAATGATTACTTAATGTAGGGAAAACGCTTTGCAATACTTTCACACCTTATCACATACATCCAATATACACAAGGGCAAAATGATCAACATAATAATCTGAACATCAAGCAAGTCAGGACCACTGAGCATCATCCTTGTCAGATGAAAGTGATAAGCCAAGACCAGGTGAAGGAACTATCATAAAAAAAAAGAAAAATGTTACAAAATATTTCAACTGTTAGCATATGCACAACAAAACATGACTCTCCAAAGACCCCCCCACAAAATTCATTCACAAGGGATGCATATAAGTGTTTTATATTGATATATATATAGAATATAAATCTGATAAACGCTGGTATAGATTCTCAATATGGTGCAGTACACTAGGAATAACAGTGATCTGGTTGCAGAACACGCAGACATAGCAACAGCAGGCCAATCTGTAAACACACAGAACAAGGCATGTTTTGTCACAATACAACATGGCACCCCCTCGCCTAATCCCATTTGTTTAAATCTCATTTTAAGAACGCAAATTTAGGCCGCAGGTAAATGTATTGGGGTATGATGCAAATTGAATTCAGCTAAATAAGCTATGAGGGAGCAGTAGCAGAGGCCATATGATGAACAGCAAGTTGCTACTTTAAAACCATGCAGAGGCAAAAAAATTCAAATGAAACAAAAAGCAACAACTTATAAAACAATGTTGTCCGTTATAAATTTGTATGAAGCCAAATGAACCAGACCAACCATAGCAAACTAGGGGATCAATTTAAACAAATCGCAAAAGAAATAAATAAAAAAGATGACTACATGGCCCTTCTGAACAAAGCCAAAAGGAACAAAAGAAAAGAAAATGGTGGTCGAGATGTCACCAACTAAAATAAGCAAAAGGATGTGAAGTTATACAATTTGTAGGATAAAATTGTAGGCACTACCCCATCATTAAATTAAAGAAAAGGGCCTTCCAGAACAACCCTCCCCATTGTTTTGAGGACATGGTACAATAACTGAACGTCAACATGGACAACAACAAATGCCACACTATACTCCGACAGCCCCGCCACAGCAAACCTGCAAACGCGAGCCCGACCCTTGCTCTACAGACAACTCTCCAGCCACTTGTCACTTCACCTGTGCTTAGGACAACTTACAGTTTCAGCAGATCAGTTCTCCGGTCCGCCGGGCTGGCCTCCATAGCCACCATAGCCAGGGTAACCATACTGAGGTTGCTGTCCAGGTTGCTGGGGAGGTTGTGGTCCACCGGGAGCACCATAGCTGTAGCCGGGTGCGGGCTGGATGAGGAAACAAAAGTAGTGAGTACAATGCCATACAAGATGATGAGAACACGAGACCATATGTACACACACTGACCTGGTAACCGTAGGGCTGGCCATAGCCAGCCTGCTGAACGGGTGCAGCTTGCCCAGGGACCTGGGGGGCAGCTCCCTGCTGAGGTTGGGGTTGCACCTGGGCAGCCTTGGAAGCTTTCATTTGAGCCTCAATGGCATCAGCCTCCTTGATCTTGCCAACTGATCTGTAGTACTCAGCCCACTGCGCACTGTAGTCTGGCTGCCCATTCTGGGCCGCTCCCGCCACGGCAGGCTGTGGCTGAGGCTGGGCAGCAGGTTGTGGCTGAGCAGCTGCCTGTGGTTGGGGTTGTTGTGCCTGCAAATCGTTAAAAATTGCAAGTTACGAAGCAAAATAGAAGTCACTGAAAAACAACTCCGAAGAAGCCAAAGGGAGAAAACAATAACCTTGTTCGTCTTGGCCTGCTGTTCAATCATGTCTGCTTCGCGGTGCATTCCAAGAGAGCGGTAATACTCAGCCCACTGAATGGAGTAGTCTGGCTGGCCGGTCTGAGGGTTCACCTGCACGGCGTTGGGTTGGTTAGGGTCGCTGGGGTGTCCCTGCCCCTGCTGCCACTGTGGGTACTGGCCGCCCCAGCCCTGCGCGGCGCCGTAGTGCTGCGGCGGGCCTCCAGGGCCTCCCGGACCACCAGGGCCGCCAGGAGGGCCACCGGGGCCGCCAGGACCACCGGGGCCGCCTCCCATCGGGTATTGGCTGGGGGGACCGCCGTTCGGATTTCCTAGGGGCTACAAAACCAGAAAGCAAAACAATAAACACACACGAAGAAAGCTAGCACAACAAGAAAAGTCCCATGACAACCTACCATTCCAAGTTTGTCTTGAATTAATCTCTTGGCCGCTTCAATCTGCTCAGGGGACCCTCGGATCAGGATGATCTTTTCTGTGGGGTTATTGTTTGGCCTTCTATCCATCTCGCAGTGAGCACCGGACTGAGAATTTATCTGCTTAATTGTTTCACCTCCGCGACCTATCACAACGCCACACTTGGTGGCAGGTATCGTGAAAGCCATTTCTTGCTTGTCCCCCATGGGTCCGCCGACACGCCCGCCGCCTCGGTCCCAACCGGCCCTCTCGTCTCTGCCGAACTCTCCTCGGCCTCCCATGCCATCGAAAGGTCGGCCTCCAGGGCCACCTGGTCCCCGTCGCCCGCGACCCATCTCATTGTCTCTCCTCTGCAAGATTTAATCAAGTCAACGTAACATCTTGATAGCAGTGCACCCAAGAAAAAGGTAAAAAAATTCCTACGAACCAAAACACTATCAATTAGTTCTTCAATGCGCATCCTTGCTTCCTGAACCTGCCCTGGCTTGCCGGTCAGCAAACATTTTCTCTCTCCAGGACCATCATCACGACCCTGTTGGAACTGGACACGAGCTCCAGTCTCACTTTGAATCTTCTTAATCATATCACCGCCTTTTCCTATAACCACTCCAACAGCTGCTTGTGGCACCAAAACCTTAACAAAACAAGACAAAACAAATCGACTCAAACTCAGATCGGTCACACACACAATATGGATACCTGGAAAAAAGAAAAATAGCACGCAAGGAATACTAAGACTGAAGAACCTGTCAAGAAACAAGAACCACCTACCAATAATAGAAACAAAGTGGGGCTGGGGCAATAAAAAAAGACAAACAATGTGGCTTTCTAGAGAAGGGGTGTGGCTTTGCAAGTCGTGATGAACCCTAGAGGAAACTTACCTCCATAGATTCTCCATTGCCCCCGATGCTTCCAGCACCAGCACCACCACCACCCATATCATTGAAGTGGCTATCCCTGCGGCCACTGCCGCCGCCGCCGCCGCGGCCTCCAAACGCGTTCTAAATCAGATCAAAGGAACAGTCACACTCCCTCCAGACTATAACCAAGCAAATAGCAGTGGCCAACATGCCATTCATGCCGCTTACCTGCATTTCCTTTTCAGCAATTAATTCATACACCAGAGCTTTAGCATGCTGGAACAAAAACGGTCGGTCAAAGCTACCCCCACAACAAGCCCACAGAGTAAGATATACCCCTAGACAGTAGCACTGATAACAGCCCAACATTCAGTGCAAGAATATATTGCACCCATCTTTAACATGGGTGAACATGAAAATTAAAATTGTGAACAGATTATGAAACCAAATGGATCACTGACTACAATATTAAACTGGATATGCACCAAATGTGGAATCAGAGTGAGCATCCAGCAAAAGGTAATTCTAGCATGACCGACTCGGTTTGTTCAGCATGACAAATAGAGGAGATAAGTTAACCAAAAGCCTCCTATTTTCCTGCTATCAGTGCCTTGCCTAAAGAGGTTGAAAGCAATTAATGGAATGCAGACAGTCAATACCTCAACACTCTGAGGATCCCCACTAATCCTGAGAGGCTTCTCTTGGTCCTGATTCATAGACCCATCCTGGATGACAGTCATGCGAGCTCCAGACTTGTCTTGGAGCTGTTTGATAGTTTCACCACCCTTGCCGATGATCAGACCAACTTTTGGCCCCGGGACCATGATCTCCACCTGGAGGACAATAATACTTCCTCCATTTCACAACAGCTACATGACCAGATTCACAAAGCCAACAAGCACAGAAAGCCCACAGTGTGTTCGAGTTCATCGTGGACAATGACACAGTGTCTGAGAGACCTTCTGTACCCATTACCACCAAGAAAACCCCGTACAAAGCATGCATAAAATAGAAAAAAAACAGATGGACTCACCTTTAAAAAGGAGGACGTGTGCCTTGCTTCTAATGAGGCAACATGCATTTCTAAACAATATTCAACAAACCAAATTTTGCAGACCTTGCAAGCCACACCACTTCTAGTGTTCCTCTCCAGCCCACCCAAGTACACTCCTAGGATTGCTGTAAACCCTAACAACATCTTCAAATGGCCACCAGGTATGCTAACTCACGACTTGCAGAGCTCCTTAGTAACGGACAACACACCCTAACTTCAGTGAAAGCCACACCCACATTGGGTACCTAGCTAATCCATGTTGAAGAGATTCAAAAGTATGTTCGGTCGAGACAATGTCTTACCTGTGTCGAGTTCATGCCCATGTCGCCCAGGCCGCCGCCAGACATGCCACCGCCGTTGCCTCCGCCTCCCCCGCCGCCGCCGCCTCCTCCTCCCCCGCCGCCGTTCCCTCCTCCTTCAGTTCTGCTGCGTTGTTGCACAATTGATGATATTAAATCTTTTGCACGCCTGCAACACAGAAAATATTTGTCACAAAACTGATCACATGTTACTGAAAGGAGAAAGACAAGATCAAGAGGATCAAAAAAGGAATTTACCCAATAGCTTCTCTCGACCCCGACAGGGTGCAAACTCTGTCTGGTTGGCCGCCACTGTCAGGAGCCATTTGAATCTTGCATCCAGATTCATTTTGCAACCTGCTGATCTGTTCTCCGCCTCGACCAATTACTGTGAACAAATGGGCATGGAAATCATTCGTTTCATACACTTGTAGGTTCCAACAGGGATAAAATAAAAAATATGGCAGAAGGCAAGGCTTTGAAACAGAGGCCTAACAGCAAAGAAGCTTTCTACTCTACAACAGCAACAGGATTCTCAATTATGTACACGGTGAAAATAGTTAAAGAAGACATGATTTAGAAAAGCTATTTTCCCAGTCATGGACTTTAAAATAATCTTCACCTTGTAGTCATTAGGCACAGATCACATTAGTAACTACAGTTGCAGGTTTGAGGTCAAAAATATATAATTGTGACTCAGCCCAAATATTTAAAATAAAAAATTGAAAGAGCACAGCTTCTACAAATAATAAGCATGCTTGCTAAAGAAAACCCCAAAAATTTAACAGCTAATATTGCACAAAATAAATTTAAATGATACAGGTACTTTCACGGACATGCACAGAGACAAAGAACAACCGCAAATTAGCGGATTTGGGGAGATGCTGACCAATTCTTTACTTAATATTCATTTTTCCTATATTCTCACTGATAAGTATTGCCATAAATGTACCCATTTCAGCAAAAAGGAGCACATAGTGAAACTAGCTTCTCCATAGCCTAAAACTCAATGTTTGCGAGAGACTTAATCCTGAATCATGCAAATGTAATGTACAAAGTTTCTTTAAAGTCGGCTCAATACTACTTTGCTGCAAAAACTACTATCAACAGCAAAGCATTAAAAACAGAGCCAAAAAGAGGAACTGTTTAGCTTCCGGCCCTATCCTTCCCCTACACCACACTTACGGTGCCCAACCATCCGGTCCGGAACCATTATCTCTTCTGTGGTGATGGCGCCAAAACCCAATTGTGGGCCGCCACCATCTGGAACCACACACAGTCATCACATCGTGCCATGACCCGCATATAGTCATCACCATGAAATTGCATATTTTGTCAAAGAGAGCAGCAGCATAACAGTAGGAACAGGGATGGATATTGGACATAAGGGAGGGGAGAAAATATGGCAAAAACATAAGCATAAAACCAGAAAATAAACTTAAAATACATAGGACATAAAGGGAAAATGTTATTTATCCACAATAAGCTGAACGCCTCAGGATTCTCATGCTGAACAAAACAAAACAGTTCAGTTTAGTAACAGAACACCATGACTAGGGGTTGTCTGCAAACGCTGAAAAGGCAAAACAAGAAGAAACCCCAAACCAAAATTAAATTACCATACCCATGGAATGAAAACTCAATACATAACCAGAAATGAAAGACCAAAAACAAAATAAAAAAATCAATAAAAAATAAAACAAAAAAAAAGAAATGGGTCATAGAACCCAATCAGGGAGTCCAATAGGCAGAGTATCACAAGGACAAAACTTTGAAGGGCAGGTCAGGTTAGTTTGAAAGCTGCAAAATACACAATTCCATTGTGAATCTGACTGCTAGTCATGACAAGTGACATGCGCAACCTCTCTGATTCAAGCATATGATCACTGTTCTGAGACTTTAAGAAATTAAGTCTGGTAATACTGAGGGAAGGGGCAAAAGAATGTCAGACTACATTATGGAACATACTAAGCTTGCCAGGAATCGATCGAATGCAGAATTTATCAGCTAAATGTACCAATGAACTTTTCACTGGATAAGAATATGTACAGGGTTACCAAGGAATTTGTATGTCTCTTAAATTTAGGAATAGTTCAAATCTAATAACTCATCTGCAATAATGTACAATGAACCGATGTCAAAAAGCCAAGAGAACTATCACCCTTACAATTTGAAAAAGGAAAAAAAAACAAAAAAAAAAACAAAAACAACCCATGCTCACTCACAAAATTTTCACAATACTCAAATAAGTCCACACAAAGCATGCAAAAGTAGGCCGACGACCGTCTACCCCATTGAATATTTTGACTAAATTTTATCTGATCAAGCTAAACTAAAATTTCCCATCCCAACCAAATGCATCCATAGAACAAGATCAAAAAGGAATCAGGATGTTAGAATCAGCACAAGAAGAATAAGCATGATGACAATCTCAGCAGCATAAGTAAATTGGTCTGCAAACATGAAATGAACTAAACAAAACTGTTATGGCATATTCAGAACAAAGCTGTTTAGTTACATAATAAACCGTCTTATGGGAATGAGGAACCAAAGTGGCAATGTTAACAAATGTTTACAACATTAAAAACGGTATTATTTAAGTTAAAGGAGGGTTTCCCATGAAGCCACAAAATTTTAATAACTGTTACAAAAGCTAATACAAAGCCATAGCATTCCGCAATCCAGCAGCACCACAAGATTGACATTTGAAGAACTACTAGAAGAGTAACTTGAAAACAGTTCATTTCAATATGGAAATACTGTAACATAAACCTAACAGCTCCAAACAGAAATCATACACCCACTTTGCCTGACAAAAATACAGTCTCAGAACTATTTTGCTACAATGGACACAAGTTCCAAACAATTAGGAAATTAAAACAGACTAGCTGAACCCATACACTGTTGGCAACAAGCACCAATTAAATATGACAGACAAAATTAATAAATTAAAAAATTAATTACATCACATACGCCACCAAACCTTTAGAAGGGATAGGGACACAAGAAGAAGGATCTCTTTCTTAATCAGCGATAAGTAGTTCGACTTACTCAGGCCGACCATCTTGTCAGGGACCCTGATGTCTTCGTTCAAGATGCCGCCGCCGCCGCCAAGGCCACCAAGGCCCAGGCCGCTTGCGGCTGCCGCAGCCGCCACCCTGGCTGCTACTGCTGCCGCCTGTGCCGCAGCCGCTGCGGCTGCAGAAGATGCGCCACCCCCTGTACCCACAAGACCCGAGAAGTCAGCAATAAGGCACTAAAAACAAACCTTGTTGAAAAAAAAAAAAAAAAAAAAGGAGATGTGGGAAGCTTACCCGAGCCAGATGTTTGTTGAGATCTAATCGCACTTAGCTGGGCTGAAGCCACGGGGTCGTTGGTAACCCCGGCCACTTTTTTAGCTTCTGGTTCTGTAATATTGCGTCATAAGACATAAAACAAATCAGTACCAGAAAAGTGAGAAGATTACAAGAATGAATGAAGAGCTTTACCTGATCCGTCTTCAAGAGGTCGTTTTCCACCACCACCTTCAGCAGCACCACCTGGGTTGATTTTTGCTGCAATCTAGAAACAAAAACAAGAAGAATGATGTTAGGATAAAAGGCAAGGTATAGACCTTCAATTTTTTTAACCCAATAGAAATCAAATATTATGACTGACTCTGAAATAAAAAAAATAAAAAATGAGAGAACTTTCATTAAAGCTGAGAGCGGAGGGCCAAAAAATAAAATTTCAGAGCATCCCTCAGGACTCCTCAGCAAATGACCGGCTGCTTTGACAGCATTGCTCACAGTAGGTTATTGGACCAAGACGCCATATTGATCGATCTTACGATAAGGAATTCCAAAACTAGCGACCATTGAGCCTGAAGGCCCCATGCACCGCACTGAAGGCACGGCTTGCTTCAGGCCCACAAAATAATGCAGCCATGTAAGGAAAGGCGCAAGAAAGCGAGAGACCAGCGAAGGCTAGGAGAGCCTAGGCAATGCGTCGGGCGCTTAACCAAGGCAGGACTGGCTCAGGTCAAGTCCAGTTCAGAAGTCCATTCGATGATTGAAATGGAGCAAACCTTAAACGGGAAAACGAGGGGAATGCGGAAGAGCCGAAAGCGAAAGGGGGAAACGAATCACACCGGGACGAGAGGCCAAAGTGAACAGGGCCCGAGCCGTTGGACACTTGGCATGTAAACAGAAGCGGTGCGTCCGTAACCAAGAGAACTAGCATTATTTGACGGGTAGTTGTGAGTACCTGACGGGCGCGTTGTAGAGCTGAAGCGAAGGCAGCACTTTGAGTGAAATTCTGAGGCGGCGCAACCGCTGAATAATCACTCATTGTGAATCATGAAGCAGGAGGATAAAATGGCGTCTTCACTAATGGCGGAAAGAGAAACGAGGAGGTCGGAGACGCTCGAGGTTTCAGTCGGAAACGACACGACGGATTCGCGATCGAGAAAGCCGTGAATGGGGGGCTAGTGCGATGCGGCAACCGAAAGAGAGCGCCACTGTACGCCCCGCTAAAACCTGCAAAAACCCGTGACAGTCAGGCCTTAGTGCGATGTTGGAAAAGGACGAGTCAAAAGAAGTTTGTGACAAGTTAAAAGGCATGTTTTGATACGCTTCTAACTGCGCAGTGAACACAAGAGGACTTCCTGAAGCAGTTGCACGCTGAAGGTGTGTTCAAATTTCGCGCCCCAGTAACAAATGAACTCCAGTGGTTGTTGCTTCGCAGAAGTTAAGAAAAGAATTGTGTTTCTAAATCGGCTTTACGAAGAAGAAATACCTGGTGATTGAAGTGATCGCAAAACAGAAAGACGGCTTGGGGCGTGGATGCATTGCTTCTGCATCAACGTTTATCGCGTTTCCCATCTCAAGGGCCGTGCCTGCCGTCACAAAACAAAATCTGAAACGGACGCTGATTGGTTCTCCGGAATTTGGGCGGCCAATCAGAAAGGGGCTTGCACCGAGGTCAGGCATTGCGCGGCCATCTTGTTATTTTGATGAGAGAAAGATATTTAGGTTGGAATCAGTACATTTTGATTGAGTACTATGTTTGCCGTTAGTTTGTTGTGAAAGACCACTTCTCTTGGTATCCGGCGTGAGTAGGCCCTTGTTAACTTAAACTACTGAAATGTTTGTGAGGTTTTTGCCCTAAATGCGCCCCGTCCTCGTGCCGAAGTGATGCGAAGCGGCGGTACGGGATGCGCAGGAACTTGGGAACGCATATACGCGGGAAGAATGTGGCCCCCAGTAAACAGTTAACTTGTGTCATTGTCACATCGAGGAGCAGAACTAGTTTTTGATCGAGGCATTAGACCTTTGACATACCGTGAGCAGGGCTTGCATGTGTTTGGGTATGTCCTTTTGTTGATGTTGCCCTGTGGTTCGCGTCGTATAGGGTGGGCTGCCCAGGCACCAGGCAGCGAAGGCCTATCCTGTTTGGTCCAGGGGGTTAACGGCCCTACCATTCCGCCTCAATTTAGCCGACTGAGAAACTACTAGAGCAGTGTATCTTTGATTGCACGTTGCTGTGAATCGAAATGCCCTCCGTCTGTGCCTTCTGCTGGAGCATTTCGATATTAGAATTGATAAGCCCTGTGTCTGGAAGACCAGAAAACGCTCGGCCCGGGCGCTGACTTTTTGGTTAAAATTTTGAACTAAATTTTTGTTTAGCCAATCTATGGGTTGTTTAAGAGTCCGTGTCGTTAGGGAATTGTCTCCACACTGCTTTAAGGAATGTTGCATCTTGAGTTCCCAATTTGTAAGCCTCTCTTACCAATATGTTACTAGTAATGGGATTGTGCCTGTTTCCCTTGACAGTGTCCTTACATGATTCAGTTCGTTATTTTTTTAGATTTATTCAGCTATTTGATTTTATTCTTCTAATCCTTTTTCACTATTGATTACCTTCTGTATTATATTCTTGCAACTACATTTGGTTGCTATTCTTTACACACGGTAATTCATTATGGTGCCCCGTACTTTTCTACATTTGCACCTTTTTAACTACTCAAAGTAGCTTTTGGTTTTAGTTTCTTGTTTTTCCACTGGAGGAGCTTCAGATGGTGCTGATACAAAACCTTATATGTGACATGGCTGCGGCACTGCCTTTCGCAAACAGTGGGCTCTCTTATATTTTTGATCGGGGCAATGGGATGTATGTTAGATTGAATGTGGCTTTATGAATGTTTCCAATGTATGATTTATTCAGAGAGCTGTGCAGAATGAAGCGAGAGTCAGTGTTACCTGTGATTGTGTAGCATGTCCAAGAGAGAATCATCAACAAGTAACAATGTCGTGTGAATGTGTGGGTGCGTGTTGCAGTTCCTGGAAAGGTATTAATAATTCAGTAATCTCAAAAAGGGGAGGGAATGTTTTAGAAATTTTATTCAAAAGCCAACTTGTCATTGAGCTACATTTGTGTTGTTAGCTTTTGTTTGTTTTTTCTCTTTATGAACATTCTGTCGGGGTCTCATAGTCTTATTCACAATGATTCACATTGTGCAGCAACTCCAGGGACTGTCTAGTGGGTTTCACTTAATATAAGATGATGCAACTAATGGTTTTGTTAAGTTAATTGTCAAGAAGGCACATAAAAGGCTTTCATTTGGTGATGCAAGCGGTTCTTGTTTTTTTTTTGTTTTTTTTGTTTTTATTGGATACCAAGAGAAGTTAGAATGTGAATGGAACTTCTATGTGTTAAGTCATCTCAAATGGTTTTTATTTTATCTTAATTGTTGTAATTTCATCTTTCAGGTATGAGCAGATGAATGATCTTGTGTGCAGAGAGGTGTGCTGTGGTGTTTTGACTGTGGAGACAGCTTTCTTGGCTAATGTGTGATTGATTTACCTATTTTTATTGTACATGTAAGTGTGAGAATGTGCCTAAGTGTTGGTTATTCTATCTTATTCTATTTGTAGGAGATTTCTTGTTCTTCATTTTCTTGCTTCATGCACATTTGCCAGTATTAATTCAGTCATAATGAGCACTTTTCTATTACTCAATTAGTCAAACCCAACCTTTTTAAAGTTAAATGTTGAGATTTTTTTTTTTTTTTTTTCGTTCTTACTGGGAAGTATTCAAAAGTATTCAAGTGCACATGTGTCTGAGTGAGAGAGAAGAATCATTTGTTTCCTGATTTTAGTTTGAAGAATAATTTTTGTTTTCAGAATTGTAAGTGAAAATGGCAGCCTTGTCGGAACAAGCTTCCAAGCTTCTGGATTTCAGCCAGAAGCTGGATATTAATCTCCTTGATAACATTGTTGGAGTCATGTATACAGGAAATGGAGACCAGGTCAGTATAAATTGTTTGTTTGTTCACAATTAAATCTCTGTTTTTACTTACTTAATTACATTCTGTTTCTATGTGTGTTATTTCAGCAAAGAGTGGCACAAGAAGTCCTTACAACATTAAAAGAGCACCCAGATGCATGGACTCGTGTGGATGCTATCCTTGAGTTTTCCAGTAATCAACAAACTAAATATTATGCTCTTCAGATTTTAGAACAAGTCATTAAAACGAGATGGCGTGTCTTACCTAGAAACCAGTGTGAGGGTAAGTATTATCTACACAACTGTAAATTTCTTTGGAGATTGTTTATCCACTCAAGATTAATTTTTGCATCTTGTCCCTTCAGGCATTAAGAAGTACATCGTAGGCCTCATTATTAAAACCTCGTCAGATCCAGAAACTATGGAAAGAGAGAAATTATACCTACTTAAGCTGAATTTGATCCTTGTTCAGGTAATCCTATATCTCATTGTCTTGAAATGTTGTTTGTCATACTGCTTCAAAATTGTCAACTAATTGGTTTTCTCTCTCCTCCTTTTTTTTTTTTTTTTTTTTTTTTTTTTGTGCGACTGTGTGCATTATTGTTTTTCAGGTTTTGAAACGAGAGTGGCCCAAAAACTGGGAGTCTTTCATTCCTGATATTGTGGGTGCTAGCAAGACAAACGAAAGCCTTTGTCAAAACAATATGGAAATCCTAAAGCTGTTGAGTGAAGAAGTATTTGATTACTCCAGTGGCCAGATGACCCAAACTAAAGCCAAGCACCTCAAGGATACCATGTGTTCTGAATTTTCTCAAATATTTCAACTTTGTCAATATGTTATGGAAAATTCACAGAATGCTCCCTTGGTCGGCGCTACTCTAGAAACTCTCCTAAGGTTTCTAAATTGGATACCTCTGGGATACATATTTGAAACAAAATTAATTAGTACCTTGATCTATAAGGTACCATAGCTCTCTTTGGTTAATTAATGCTGATATGTGCTCTGTAACCAAACACACTCTTCACCCTTGCTTTTTCATGTTTCAGTTCCTCAATGTTCCAATGTTTCGTAATGTAACTTTGAAGTGCTTAAACGAAGTAGCGGGTGTATCAGGAGCAAATTATGACGACATGTTTATTGCTTTGTACACTCAAACCATGGGCCAATTAGAAGCGGTAAGTCGCTGTGACATTCAGTGTGTCTATGGTGTCCAGCTCCTTTTCGTGACTTGTGAACATAGATGAGTAAAATGCAAATTTCATTTTGTAGATGCTGCCTGTCAACACGAACATCAAAGAGGCCTATGCATGTGGCCAAGATCAGGAGCAAAATTTTATCCAGAACCTTGCCATGTTCTTGTGCACATTCCTCAAAGAACGAGGTCAGCTGATAGAAAAGAAGGGCCTCAGTCAAGAATTGCTCAAGGTAAATTTCTTTCCCTCTTAAACTTAACTTCATGTCCCAATTCTTCTTTTTGTGCTATGTTGAACTTTTGGTTTCTTCCTAGGCTTTGCATTATCTTGTACTCATATCTGAAGTAGAAGAGGTGGAAATTTTCAAAATATGTTTGGAGTACTGGAATTATTTGGCATCCTCCTTATATGGTGAAAGTCCATTTCACCCTGCGCCCACCCTCACCTTCAAGCCGCATTCTCTGACAAGGCGAGAATTCTACTCCCGTGTTCTTACAAAGGTATTGACACTCGGTCTTCTTGGTTCAATGTATTACTAACCACCTATAATATCCTATCAAATAACCTGCTTATTTATTTTTTTCAAGGTCCGGTATATTATGATCAGCCGCATGGCTAAGCCAGAAGAGGTTTTGGTGGTTGAAAACGAAAATGGAGAGGTCATTCGAGAATTCATGAAAGACACTGACTCTATTAATTTGTACAAAAATATGCGTGAAACATTAGTTTATCTAACCCACCTTGACTGCACTGATACTGAAGTAGTCATGACTGAGAAACTACACCTCCAGGTGAATGGGAGAGAGTGGTCATGGAAGAACCTCAACACTGTAAGTTGATACTTGCAATATGTTTTTGTTATTGTTCAAAGAACCCTCTCTTCCATGTTTGTAACTCCATGGTTTGTTTTGTTTTCGTGCGTGTGCAGCTGTGCTGGGCTATAGGAAGTATTTCAGGTGCAATGCAAGAAGAAGATGAAAAACGTTTCCTGGTTACTGTCATTAAAGATCTGCTGGGCTTATGTGAGCAAAAGAAGGGAAAAGATAACAAAGCTATCATAGCCTCGAACATCATGTATGTTGTTGGACAATACCCTCGATTCCTCCGAGCACATTGGAAATTTTTAAAGACTGTTGTTAATAAATTATTTGAATTTATGCATGGTGAGTATTTCCACTGTCTGAAACCGTATACTGCCTAATAATTTGGTGCATCAAGTCATTCTAATGACTAATTTCATCTTTTGCAGAAACTCATGAGGGTGTTCAGGACATGGCATGTGACACTTTCATTAAGATAGCTATTAAATGCAGGCGACATTTTGTCACTACTCAAGTTGGTGAGGTCATGCCATTCATTGAAGAGATTCTCAGCACTATAAGCACCATCATATGTGATTTGCAAGCACAACAGGTGAATTTCCTCTCATATACATGCTGAGCAATTTAACTCACTTGTTGTGTGTATTTTTATTGTTTCAAACGTATCCATCTATCTATTTTTTTTAGGTTCACACGTTTTATGAGGCTGTGGGCTACATGATCAGTGCCCAGGTAGATACTATGGCTCAGGATGTTTTGATAGAGAAATACATGATGCTCCCTAATCAAGTGTGGGATGACATAATCAGTCAGGCCTCTAAAGTAAGTTTTTTTTTCTTTAAATAATAAGATTCACAAAATCATACTTGTTGAGTTAGGCTTTTATAATGTTTTTTTTCTTCGTTTGCTAGAATGTTGATGTCCTCAAGGATCCAGATGCAGTGAAACAATTAGCAAGCATTCTTAAAACTAATGTCAGAGCTTGCAAAGCTTTAGGTCACCCATATGTTATTCAGGTAATCCTATAATTCAAATCATTTTTATTGATATTGGAGACATTCTTCTAGAAATGTTACGTATTTTTCTAGCTGGGACGCATATATTTGGATATGCTGAATGTGTATAAAGTTATGAGTACAAACATTAGTGCTGCAATTGCTTTGAATGGTGAGGCTGTCACCAAACAGCCCTTGATCAAAAGTATGAGAGTTGTGAAAAAGGAAACAATCAAACTTATTGCTGATTGGATTTCTCGTTCAATGGACCATGCAATGGTAGGTGGAGCTTACCTTAAAAGATTTTCTTGAGTCTCGTTGCTTTGTATCGATGTTAATTTTGTGAATCATGTGTTTCTTCAGGTTCTAGAAAATTTCATTCCGCCCCTTTTGGACGCTGTTCTTCTGGACTACCAGAGGACAAATGTTCCATCTGCCAGAGAGCCTGAAGTCCTGAGTGCAATGGCAATGATTGTTAACAAGCTTGAAGCTCATATTACACCTGAAATTCCAAAGATATTTGATGCAGTCTTTGAATGCACTCTGGATATGATAAACAAAGACTTTGAAGAACACCCCGAACATAGAACGAACTTCTTCCTTTTATTGCAGGTGTGTGGTTATTGCTTTCCTCTCCAGTAATACTTCTCCTAAAGATAAAACCTTAAATTTGTTGTGACCTTTTCCCCACAGGCTGTAAACAACCATTGCTTCCCAGCCTTCCTCAACATCCCTCCGGCACAGTTCAAGCTTGTTCTGGACTCTATCATTTGGGCTTTCAAACATACAATGCGAAATGTAGCTGACACAGGATTGCAGATACTGTATCAAATGATCCAGAACGTAGAACAACACGAAGCAGCTGCTCAAAGCTTTTATCAGACATACTTCACAGATATTTTGCAACACATTTTTTCAGTTGTCACAGATACCTCTCATACTGCTGGTAAGTGACTGTAAAATGTGCTTCAAGTTTCTTCCTTTGTTACCATGTATTAAGATTGCTGGTTTTGTTTATCACTAATGCTATTTTTTCATTTCTAGGTCTTACCATGCACGCTACAATTTTGGCCTATATGTTCTCTAGAGTTGAACAGAATAGGATAAAGGTAGCATTGGGTCCCACCCCTGACAATGTAGCCTACATCCAAGAGTTTGTGGCCTCATTACTACGTGCTGCATTCCCCCATCTGACAGACAACCAAATAAAGATCACTGTGCAGGGACTGTTCAACTTGGACCAGGATATTCCTGCATTCAAAGAGCATCTACGTGATTTCCTTGTTCAAATTCGAGTATGTATTGTTTGCTATTTTCTGTCATATGTTGTTGCAGTATTTTAAGACATGCCCTTATTATTTTCACACAGGAATACACTGGTGATGACGACTCCGACCTGTATCTTGAAGAGCGTGAACATGAACTTCAGTTAATGCAAGAGGAAAAGAGACGCATTCAAATGGCTGTACCCGGAATCCTCAATCCACATGAAATCCCAGAGGATATGCAGGATTAGCGGCTGTGATGTGTGCTTGTGTGTGTTATCCACCCTGAACTGTGGTGTTGAACTGTAAAAAGTGGTGTAATTGTTCTGTTACTGTGAGTGAGAAAGATGAGGTAGATTAGGTTGTGTTGATGGTATGTGCAAGCACGTGCAATTTGATGATCGTGACCGCCCAGTTTCACCCACCCAAACTTTATTGTTATCACTATGGGATGCTTTACTCTATCAAGTCACACCATTTTCTAGTAACAAAATTCGGCAATGCTGTTCTGAATACCACTGTATGCATCACTTGGGGTTGTGTCCTCATTTTCCATTTTCATTTGCCCTCTTAAAATTAATCAACATCAGAGTTGCGTTCATTTATCAGCCTTACTCTGACTTATTGTACTACCTAAGTGATACATCAAAATATATTTTTCTTAACATAATTTCGGTTTTGGCAGTGTTGCTAATTGCGTAGGTGTTTGTTGAAACAAAGAGTGAGAATCCTGTTTTTGTTACTATTTGACATCATTTTTTATATCAGTTTTACTTTTTTTTTTGTTTGGTTTCATTTTTATTGTTAACACAAATGCAAGGTGGTCTTATCCAGTAGGGTGGTGTGGCTTTGTATCCTCTGTTTATCTTTGAATGTACTACTAAGACTGTGTGAGAAATTGTGGAACATAAAAGTGCACCCATTTAGAGCTTCCTGAATATTTTTAAAGTTTTCCTTTTTTATTTAAAATTAAAAAACAAAAACAATCAAAAAAAAAAAAAAAAGAAAAGAAACGTGTTTAACATGTACCAGTGGGTCTCTTTGATCAGTCCTCTTTTTTCTAAAAGGTTATGGTGATTTGGAAATGTTTGCACCATTTGTGCCACTCTTTTGTTGGTACTTCATCCTTTTTTTGAAGGAGTCATTATTCCCACATCAAACATACTCTGCATTCTATGATAAAAACCATCTGTTTCTTTAAACATTGATACTATTCATACAAAGTGTACCAGTAGCATTGGGGATCCTAGTGAAACTTGCGCAAAGTTGCTTTAATTTCGTACGGTGACATTTTTGTTTCTTTTTTTCCACATCCTTTTTTGAAACCACTCCATTGCATACAGTAACACAGAAACAATACTGTTCCTGTAATTATGGACTGACTAGTGCCAGGAGCTCTAGTCTGCATTTATACTGAAAGCTTCTCTGGGTACTGCAATCGAGGGAATCTATTATGTATATTTATTAAATTATTTGTAATAATTGTAGTGTAAGTTCCAAACTTGATAAAAATGTTATCGGATGTCATTTGCTTTTTGATACATACTGCTGATTGTAACCTGCCTTTGTGCAGTACAAGGCTGGCTTAGTTTAGAGTGGTGGGGCAGTATTTGTACTTTTTATATTCTGCTTGAAGCAAATGACTCAATCTCAGTGAAAGTGCAGCACTTTCTTTTTATACATATTTTTGCATTTGTGAGGCAGGATGAAATGTGGGATGAATGTCCCTATCACTTCACCATGTCTTGTGTAATTGCGTCACTTAATGATTATCTTTTCTGTGTCTGTAATACTATTTCTGGTTTTTATTGGAAAATGGTTTGAAGAATTACCCTGGTACCTGAAATTATCATTAGTGTTGACTTAAAACAGTTCAATGATAATAAATGTGTGTTTGAGTGAATTAGCCAGTGAGCTGGAAGACCATTCAAGGTTTCCTGAAGTAGATGCCGTTTTTCAGTTGAGGAGTTCTGCTTTCTCTATAGCCTGCATCTCCACTCAGCAGGGTGTGTGGCACACTGTGGCACACTGAGTGGCAGATGCCTAGAATGAGGGCGCGCATGTGAAAGAGTGAAATGAGGTTGACAATATCTGTCAACATGCTGCCTCGCCGTGGCCTTCTCGTCTTGTTGGAATAGCTCTGAGCGTGGATGTGTTTGAACTGATGTATGATGACCTGAATGTTGAATGGATGTGCTTCTGGTTGAATGAGATTGCATGTGTGTGATTCTTGTTATACATTCATTCAACCTGCTTAAGTACTACAGTTGGAGAAAAAAAATTATTTTGCATTTTCTAATGGTTTTGTTTTCCTTCACTTGTTGAAGAAAAGAAGTTCTCAAGGTTGTCTTTGTTACTGGTTTTTTTTCTTTTGTGCAGGTGTGCTGGCCTTAATCCCTAAAGGTGTTTTGTTGTAAAATTTTATTTGCACCAAGTAGCAATTACTGTTGTCCTATCAATGAATTTGTCTTCTGTCCCTTCAATTACTGAAGGCACTAGGAGAGGGTTGGTACAATGGTCAAATTGTAATGAGAGCCTACTGCCAGCAGAGTCAGTTACATGTAATCTGGACTCTTGCATCTTAGGTAATTCATTAGAACCCTTCTCCCGTCAAGATTTCATTATTTTTAATTGTTTGTCCTTGCCTTATTATTGTTCCCCTACTGTTCATTTCTTTAAATGTGGGGGAATGGTATGGTGAGGACCCCTCTCTCTTTCCTCTCCTCACATGTACATTAGCGTGTTGTGTATTTGTGTGAAGTGTTAGACTTTTGCTAAACTGTAAGTAATTCTTAGTGATCATTAATATAATTAATTATCTTTATTATATTTTTGACAGATTTGTTATTACACCCTCCAGTCCTATGGTAGAAGCCATTATGAAACGATGCAAGGTGGAAACATGCTTTCTCAACTGAGAAGTTCATATCATATCGAAGTCATCCAAGATAATCTTAGCCACTCCAAAATTCCTTCATGAATTTCATTTGAAAGATTTTAATACACCGTGTTGGTGACAGAAAATTGATTATATGAATTGGCTAATAACCTACACATAAATTACATTCGTTCACGGTATCAATAAAGTAGAATTTAAAAAATTGACAATACCTAATAAATAAGTACACAATAAACTCAATCATAAATCTTACATTTTAAGAACAGAAGAACTACTTAAAAGACGGACACTAAATTGTTCTCTGGCAATTGCAGTGGGTGTCTAGGTGCTATGATTTGAGTTGTGGACTACAGAATACAGCACGAAGTATTACAAGCACAGTGTTATCACATTGCTTATCAATAATATGCAATTTGTGTCACACGACAGTGAAAAGTTGACCAAGAAAAGTGGCAACATTTTACATAAAGCTATATTTAAAAAAAAAAAAAACAATTGTTCTTTAAGAAAGGTAAGAAAAACCATAAAAATTTCAATAAATTTAAACAAAATAATACCACAAAAAGGGGCTGAGCAGTGTCATTCTCCATTCATTATTTGACCATTGATAGGCAGCTTAAGCTGAGATTAGAGAGTAAATCATCCTGTAATTAAAGGTTTCAAGTTAATAAACACTTCACATCGTATACATTTTAGGCACCTGCACGACGAGATAACTAACCCATAAAGATAGTAGAAGAAGGATAACAGGTAGAAGGACAATTTGATCCACCCTTCCCTCTGGCATTTTCCCAGGACATCTGCATTCATTATTGTAGTAGCATCGTACAATCCATGTTCACTCATGTATTGAGGTCTGTGAAGATACCTGAAAACGAAATAAATATAAAAAGATTGATTTATGAAGTTGATTTAGTAGGGAGTGAATAAAGAAAAGTTACTAAAATTTAACATACCTGTTAATATGGTAGGCGATGAGTGGCAAGTTTAGACAGAGAGAGAAGAATTCACCAGCAAACAGAAACAACACATTGAAAGCAATGTGGAGAATATACTCTGGGAGAACCAACTGCAAGTTTAACATTCACGAGTCAGATCAATGAAAATCAACTAGTCATTTTAATCCATTTTTAGGCATGTTACATAGACTTACAGGATTTAAGCTATTGCACTGGTCTATGGGACTCTTGTAATCCGTTTTTAGCTCGTCGATTGCAATCACCTGAAAGCAGAGTTATTAGATGTTTCTTCTGATAAACAGGAAACTTAAGGACAGGGGAAAAAGAAAGTTCTTGAAAACTTGGTACAGGTTAATGGCAAGACGCCGAAAGACTTACGTGAAAAATAGCTAAAAATATAAGAAAGGCATCCGCAATCAATGCAATGATGTAAGAAAAGGCTGCTAAGCTGAACGCCATAATGTCAAAATGTACAATACAGAAGACTGTTTAAATTAGTGTTATTATTTTGTTAAACAAAGGTAAAGTTATGTCGGTGTTTACAGATTTTACGGGTTCGGCCCGGGTTCATCGAGAGTGCATCGAGATCGAGATGAGTCGAGAACGAGATATCGGTCATTGACTTTCGAGAGCCTCGAAATCGACTTCGTCGGTGGTCCAGGAAACAACAAAAAGAAAAACAAAGTTAAGTTGTCGGTGCGGACGACGGGACGGACAGCACGACTCGGCTTCGGCTTGTGCTAAGTTTTAGCCAGTGTTGTGGGGAAGAATATCTATTTGATCTCAAGACTACACCAATAGAGCACCTGATTCTGATTTTTGTTCACGGAAGTGATCTGAGTGATCGAGAAGCAAGGAGATCCACGCTCAACGCTCCGAAGCCTAGGAGCGGACTAGGCCCTCCGCCATCGTCTATCTTGTCGGCTCCATGGCATGGTGTTCTGTTTATGACTCTTATCTCCGCGGGGCATTGTTTTAAATTTTGTGGTTTAAGTTCTGTGACCGCTTCACAATGCAAGGTACCATTGTGGAGAACTTGAGTGGCAGAAAGCTGTCGGTTCTTGTAGCATTGCTGCTGCTTGCCCAGGTTGTTTGCTTCTTGATCGGGGGGCTGATTGCTCCAACCCCTTCTAGCGCCTACAATGTCCTGGGCACGAATTGTGTCGACAGAGGAAACAATACACCGAAATGGTTCTATAACAGAGGCAAGAAGGGCATGTGCACTAACTACGACTTAACCAGCTACATGGATGAAGAATCAAAACTTGAGATGGCCAATCGCATTGTGTTTGTTTTTCAAATTCCTCTACCGAGAGAAAATGTCTCTCTGGACTATTCCCGCTGGCAGCAGAATTTGATTGGAGTGCTGCAGTTTGATGTTGCTTATCACTCTGAAAACGAGATGGATCCAAGAACCATTATCACTATAGATGCAAAGCTTGGCTATCGAAACAAGGGAGATCCTGATGATGAATGGAAACCATACGCTTCTGCTGTGGAAGAACGATCACTAGATTGTGTGATTGATAACAAAAAGATTGGCTATTACTATAATTGTTCTATAGTGCCTCTGTTTGAGCTGGGATCCTTGCACCATGATTTCTATCTTCTGAATATTCGTCTTCCTGTTGATCATTTCAAGCACATCAATGAAAAGTTGGGGCAGCTAGAAAATATGTGGCTGATTACAATTAATCAGAATGGAGGCTTCACCAAAGTGTGGGTTTCCCTCAAGACCATATTCTTCCCTTTCATTGTAGGCATCATGATTTGGTTCTGGAAGCGTGTTCATCAACTTGCAAGACCTCCTGCATTGCTTGAGTACATGCTTATCTTCCTTGGGGGAGCTCTCACCCTGTTGAATGCGCCATTGGAATATCTTACGCTCTACTTTGACATGCCTTTCATGCTGCTACTTGGCGACATTAAGCAGGGAGTGTTTTATTCTGCGCTCCTTTCCTTTTGGCTTGTTTTTGCTGGAGAACACATGATGGTTCAAGAAGACAACCGCCACAACCACTTGCGTGTTTACTGGAAGCATTTGAGCGCTGTTGGTGTGGGATGCCTCTCCCTCTTTATATTTGACATGTGTGAGCGTGGAATTCAGTTGAGGAATCCCTTTTATTCCATTTGGGTCACAGACATTGGCACCAATCTTGCCCTGACATTCATCATCCTTGCTGGAATTTCTGCAGGCGTCTACTTCCTCTTCCTGTCCTACATGATATGGAAGGTACATGTTGTTTATTTCCACTTAAACTGCTTCAAAGTTTATTATTTCTTTTTTGACTGTTGTCATGGTTTCTATTTTTTTTCACTCAATTTGGCTCTTTTTACTGATTTGCAGGTTTTCCAGAACATAAGTGCCAAGAGATCAGTTCTGCCGGGAATGTCTTCAGTGCGCCGCCTGCACTACGAAGGAGTCATCTACCGTTTTAAGTTTCTTATGCTCGCGACCCTTCTGTGTGCTGCCATGACAGTTGTTGGATTTATCCTTGGTCAGGTTGCAGAAGGCAGGTGGAAGTGGGATGAGTCTCTTGAAATTGAGTACACTTCTGCATTTTTCACAGGAGTCTATGGCATGTGGAATATTTACATTTTTGCCCTTTTGTGTTTGTATGCACCATCACACAAAAAGTGGCCTGTCGAGTCAGAGTCTCATAGCAACAGTGTAAGTGAGGAGATAGAGTTCAGCCGTTTGCCCACTGAGCCTTCTGAAATCTCTTCTCTTGCATCCTTTGCTCGCAAGGCAGCATTGGATTAATACATTTCAATATCATCCTGTATTTTTATCCTATCATAATACAGTTATCCTGATACATTTAATTGTGATTTTAAGTCTGACTCCATAGTAGGTTTTATTCCCAGTGTTACCAGCCATATTTATAGATTGGCTCAAAATACCAGTGTTCCAATTAACTTTCTGTAGTTACTTTTTATATAGGCTTCTTTTTATTGTATTCTGACCTAGTGATCTCTCAATTGTACTTAACCAGTGTCTACTTTTGAATCTAATAATTGAGCTGTGTTAAAATGATTCTGAATAGATTTTTTTTCTCTCTGAATCTTCAGCTTAATAATGAACTTTGAATGTGCTTTTGTGATGAGACAGTCTTTGTCTACATCATGCTTCTTATTTATTGTAATTAATAGCATGTGTATTTATCTCTTGCTTAAACTTTCTTTCAATTTATTTATATCATTGTATTTGTAAATTACCGACATTCAGTTAATGGCAAATGTGTCCTATCTGTACCTGATAATCTTCATCTCAATCATGTTGTATTTCATCTGTATATTCACTTTCTTTTTTAGAGTCTCAGTCATATTCTTTTTTACTATCCTTGTTCAAATCATCGTATAATTTATGGATGATTTTTTTTTTTTTTTTTGCATTTTTGTGGGGTTGTGTTAAATCTACACAAATTTAAGGCATCACGGTTTCTTCTCTTCAAGCCATATCAATTAATGTATGCCTATGTAGTTGATAAAACATTTTAATGAACTAATTGTGATGTAGGGACAGTATTCTCTTTTTTTAAAAAACATCTTGCAGGTTACAGTGCAGTATTCTTTTGTACATGTCCTGTTAACTGTATTCCATTTTTCTAGAGATTTAGAGAATGTAGAGAGTCTTTGTTATTAAAAGTTATGAGTAGTCTTTTTCCATTCTACTTTGTATCAACCCAGTATTTGACAAATTTTAATCAAAAGTTCTTGTAAGACTTATCTCTTTATTTTGTAATCAGACACCAGGCAAGTGTTGGTGTTTGTGTCTTTTTTGAAGCAAAGAAAGAGGAAGAGTGCTTCTGTTAACATCTTCAGTATTGTTGGTAGTGATTTTCTTCTTTGCCATAATAAACTATGATTAGCTTTGACCTGTTTGATATTTCTTTTTAACACTAGAAGACTCCAACATAACATTTTGATACTTCTAGCATCTTGAATTTGCTGTGAAGCCTACGATAAGTTTTTGTTCAATTTAAGGCTTTTTTTACTTTGTCTAACTTCGACTTTTGGTCCTCAACATTTTTGCTAGGTATGGGTGACCACCAAGGTCGGGGTAGGGATCTGTTGAGAGGATGGACACTGAATTGAAAAATTGAAAGTTACAAGAATTATACTAACTTTACCTCACTCTGAGCCTCACATACAGCTGTATACACACAGACTTGATGAAAGCAAGGCCTTGAAGGCCAAGTTCGTAGAAGGCAATTAAAATAGGCTTTTGTTTTAAAGGTTCAATTGGAGTATGTTGTGCGGGAGCACTCCCCGATGACTCCCGAAACTTTCAAGGACCATTTCGACCCTAAACAGTCTTTCTCGAGCGAAACAATTAATTTGAGCATGCGCCGGAAAGTTGGGCAACCCGTCATCCACAGCCTCTTCACGGCACCAGAGCTCAACTAGCGTCATGGGAGAAGTCATTTTCTCACCAAACAGATTGTGTCAAAGACCATTGCGCACCGGGTATCTCTTTCTCAGACGCATAGCAACGTTACATATCAATTTCAGACAAATTTGAAGAGGTCGACCATTTTCGTTGATCATGGTTTTTTACCGTTTTCAGCCAAAAATTTAAAATGGCCCAAACTGGAGTATGTTGTGCTGGAGCACTTCCTCATGACTCCTGACACTATTTCGAGGACCATGTCGGCCCTAAACAGTCTTTTTCTAGCGAAACTCTGGAATTAGTTGAGTATGCGCTGCAAAGGAAGGCAACCCGTCGCGTCGTCGACCGCGCCACGAACGTATACCACCCTTTTGGCGTCAGTGGGAAAACATGCAAAAAAGACACCAGAAAATAGGCACGCCTGGGAGTCGAACCCTTATCATTTTTCACGGTGGCCGCTCTCTCTGCGCTCGGAGCCACTTTCACACACACACGCCCTGAGCTAGTCCTCTCAATTTTTGCCGCCTGTTCAGAGCACGGCGCCGTGAGGGTAGACTCAGGTAGACCGCCGCGCTGCCTCGGCTTGCTGAGCACATGAAAGGCTGAGCCGAGTTGAAAGGGAGTTTCTAACGGTGGCGGGTGGGTCGGCCCTTGTAATGACTATTGTGGAGGGATACCGAGAGGGAATTACTAAAATAAGATAGGAAAGAAATAGGGATGAAAAAGCAAAATTTATTCAAAAATTAAAAGAAGCATATGAAAATTAAATAAGTAGATAATACAGTTCCATAATAATAATACTTAGCAACTAGATCGTAGTCCTCCTGTACATACAATAATTTACATGATACACAACTCAAGTTATAAGAAATTTATGTGTTTCCTCACATCATCACTTCATTCCAGTGGAGACTACCATGCACTCTGGTGTTAGAAGTATTTCGTTTGCTACCAAACTTTACATAAATCCATTGTTTCTATACAAGGGTGTATAATATATATTTATATATGTATATATAGCATTGTCATACAACTACCACAGACCTTCATTAAACAGGCATCAACCAAAGTTTGATTCGGGAATATATAGAATGTGACAATATCAGAAAGAAAACTTAACCATAGCTCTAAGTTCAAACATAACAAACAAAAAAAAAAAAAAAGGATTTACACTAGACTTTGATTCAGCTAAATAGGGCAAGTTTTGACATCATCAAGAGGAACAAGTCGGATTGAGAAATGTCAGTAAATCAGTCTAATCACTTTTGCAAAAGATCCACTGTTAACAATTAGTTGTACCCCTCTTAAATTTTGAAATTTCACAACCTGTGACTAATTTTTTTTTAACAAAAGGGCCAAACAATAATTTTCTACACCTAATAGGAGAGAGAACTTCCTCAGGCATGGGAAGAGATTCCATTTCTCAAGTAGTTGTTCAAAAAAAAAAAGGGGTAGACTGAAAGAAATTAAGTGCAGAGACATTTGCTGAAATACCAGTCTGTAATTATGTCCATTTGAAGCAAATTATCAGCACTTTCTACATGGACCCTGAAGGTTTTAAATGGATTGCTGAACAAAAATTGTCATTAGAATTAATATGTAAATAAGTTCACTTTGAGGCCAGGTTTTATGTCTCTGTGAAATGGTAGATAAGGGTATAAATTTAAAATAAAGACTTAAGGGTAACTCTAAAAATTATTATTCCCTTACAGATTACATCATATCAGTTTGAATTGTAGGTGGTACACTGTTACACCCACCAATGCCACACAGAGATGCATTCAATACATGTGATATGACAGTAAGTTACCTTACCAACCTTATTTAAGTGCCATCTGAAGATCAATATTCAAAGAAACCAAATGCCTCATAAGAGCAAATGATAACTATATATGCAATATTAATCCATTTTAATTTTTTTTGTGATTTTCAAATAGTGCATCATGCATAAGTTAACATTACTCATAACTAATAGTTTGGGGGAAGTATGGCACAACATTTAGAAAAGAAGAGAACAGGAAGATACACTATTTAAAAATACCTGCTGTCTTTTCTACAGTGACTGATTTTCATGATTGGTCAGCAAACTGCTAGCTTTCGGGAAACAGTTTTATGGTATATTTGTATCAAAGAGTTTAGCAACATTGTTTAAAGGTCACAGCATATGTTTGTGTCAGTCAGAAATAAAATAAGCACAAAATGTTCTCAAATAATATATAGTTATAAGGGTAATGGAATTGTCCATAACTGGGAGATTCCAGCAAATTGATTTTGGTAAATGCAGAGGTTACTATTCTTTATGCCACTGAAGGCAAAGTAAGCTCGACTGAAATTTAAAACAAGAAATGTTCGCTGACTAGACAATTTGGTAGACCACTTTCTCACAGCACTCGTGAATTTCAGGTTTGAGACACTGATAATAAAGCTTCACCCTTGGGCCAAAGGAAATGGGTACTTCTATTTCATTAAATGCAAACAAAATCACCAAGAACTTGAGTGAAGCACACATTAGCCTGAATCGAAATCAATGATAAAGGATACCTAAAGCTTCGATTAATGGTTTTCTTACCATAAATTTTAAGGTATTCTCGGAACTGTCAAACCATTTACTCAATATTTCTCTCTCTAATCTATAACATTGCTGATTTATTAGGGATGTAAGAATGCCCTGGATACAATACAACACACACAAGATACAAAAACAATAAAAATTAAAAAATGGGAGGGGCAAGGGAGGTGGGGAGGAAATTACAATATCATCCAGAAGCAAGTCTATGAAATTACAGTTTGTAAAAAGAATCAGGGTTGCGTCTGGAGACATCAACTGACAGTCGACATTAGTGAAAATGTCTCAGGAACCTAAGGAGTAAATTATTCAGTAAAGTCCCATAAAGGAAAAGTGTTATATTAAAGTATTGCATTCACTTCAAAATTCAAGATCAATCTAACATTTTGTATAACAAAGAGTTGCAAACATAATTTAAATGGGCCTCTCATGTAGGGGGAACAAGAAGGGAAAATTGGACAGGTTCATTGCAGAACATATAGAAAATCAAAAAATGAGTGAGGACAGGGTGGGATTCTAAAACGCTGAACCCCGCCACCACTGCAGCACGCCACCACCAAACAGTACCACTTTCCAATTGACAGATACTTTCATACTCAGTCAAAAACTTGCCCAGACCCATATTTACATAAAGATTTAAGTTGTAGTGGTATGACTAGCCATGTATAATACCTTAGGTATGCTTGTAATTGTCTTTATCATAAGCTGAGGTGTTAAAAACTGATGAAACAACCAGTTAAGTAATTAGACAGCTTCAAAGAAACAATTGATTCCCTAGGAAATATAGGCATGCATAACAGACAACTCATGACTTCCATGCATTGAATTCAGCTTGAAGAAGTGATTGACGCATTTAACCCAATAGTCTGTGATTAGAAGGGGTCCATTAAGATTCCTCCGACAAGGATAATTTTATTGTTATTATTTCAGTACAGCTAATGATTTAAAAAAAATTACAGTCCACACCTTTACCCTATCATCAAACAGGGTGAAATCTATTCAAAGAAACATGAAAACCCATTGTCACACTATTTAACAAGCAAAAAAAATCATCACAATTCAAAATAAAGATCTGAGAGCATGTGCTTCCAAATAGGCTGATTTCAGTTTTGAGCAAAAAGACCTAAAAGTTCATTGTAATATTATTTAGGCCCCTTGGCATCTCAGAGTCTCTGAAATGTTTCCCACCAAGGAAATCTAAATAGGAAAATAACTACACTTTTACTTTAAAAATATCTAAACAGCTGTTCCTTCAGTTTATATTAAAAGAATCGTAGGTACATCTCAATATTAAACACCTCACAGCTTGACTAGTTTTGGAGTGGCGGGGTCCTGGCGCATTTGAACATAAGTTTTAGATGCAAATGGATTGAGACAAACATCCATAAGCAACAAAACTGCAAACTCATTTTGTGCAGGCGAACCTTTTTAATTTTATTATCTATTACCAGCTCACCCAAACACTTTAGCAAGGGCATCAGATCCCGCACTTGCTATGTATGGTCGAGATGGATGGAAGGCTACATCCAGAATACTTTCATCAAACTTCTTCCTGTGAGCAGTTATCTCTTGTACACAAGTTTTGTTATCAACATTCCAAAGTCTGATACTACAGTCATGACCTACAAATAATTTAAAAAAGGATTAGTAACAGAGAATTTGGTTTGAAATAACTAAGAAGATAATTCAGAGACAAAAAAAAACACATACTTCCAGATAGAAGGTATAGACCATTGGGATCGACTGCCAGGCTGGTAACAGCATCTAGATGAGCAACCATAGAATGGACAAGCTTCCCTGAAGTGTTGTCATAGAATCGAATATGGCGGTCATCATGTGCAGTGATTGTCAGAGGCAGAGTGGGATGTGCCACCACCCGATTAATTTGTCTCCCGACAACATTGTTGAGAACCTCCTACAAATTACAAAAGTATAAAAATCCAAGCACAATTACAAAAGTTTGAGCAATCTATTGATGCAGAATTGAATCTAATAGTAATAAATCTGAACAACTGATTTAATAGACTTACCTGACTGGATTCAAGCCGTACAACAGGTTTGGCAGTTTCTAGGTCATAAATAACACAGTGGGATGATGAGAAAGCTGCAACCATTCGATTAGGCTCATCTCGAACAAAATCAACAGATGTTGGAATACCATCTGTAAAGAAAGAATGTTGTAACGTTTAGTCAGGTAAACAGAATGCCCATCCATATCATAAAAGATACAAAATGTGAAAAATTTACCTTGTTCAGACGAATACGTAGAAAGAAGGGGGATTTTGCTTTGAGGCGACCACAATTTAACAGTGCCATCGGCTGAACATGACAAAAGCTGTGGTCTTTGCTTGTGTATACTAAGCCCCCAAACCGCATCTGTATGGTCCTCCAAGTTGCACATTAAAACATTGGGATCTGGAAAAAAAAAATTTTTTTAAGGAAATGAGAACATTGCTTTATAAACACTAGTTAAATTTATAAAACACTAGTTAAATGAAAGATTGCATTAAACGCGATTTTACCAAAACTATCATAGGGATCAATGTTAGGATTAGGAAGGTTCCAGCAGAAGATATTTCCATCTACTCCACCACTGTAGCACTGTTCTCCTGTTGAGCTCATGGCTAAACAAAGAACTGGGCCAGTATGGCATCGGAACGTATAGAGGGGTTCAACATCTAATGATGCAGATCTGGAAAAAGAAAAGAAAAAGTAAATTAGAGAAACATTGTCAAACATTAAATGAGGAGAGAACAAGTACAAAGTAGCCTTGATATATTAAAATAACCTGAGAGTAAGGATTGTTTTATACATTGTTAAGACATTAATGTAACGGAATTCCAATTCCAACACTCAATGCTATACATCACTCCATTTTAAAAGACATTTGTTTTTCTCTCTTTCAACGTTCTTTTTTTCCCCCTTGCAAGATTTGACTTTCAACATTGATGAGAAGAAACCTACTTCTTTGCAGGAACAGTCTTCAGAAGGTTCCACAATTTCAAGGTATTGTCTTCACTGGCAGTAATCAATACAGGCTCCACAGGATGAAATGCTAAGGCTCTGACACTGTCGAAATGACTGCGGAGAGTGTATTTGGCATCCCATTGCTTCCGAAACTCCTTTGTTGATGCTAAGGGCTGCAAAACAAGAGGATACAATGACTGAAAAGAGTTTCTAAAGAGCAAAATATTTTAACCAAAGACGATAGAAGTCTCTCACACTTACCCCAAATTGCTCAGCTTCATTGCTAACAGTTAGTTGTGCTAATTCTCCTAGGCCCAGGGTTGAATCAGGGGCTTCTTCGTCCGTGATGAACCCCATCTGCCTTCGGGGACCACCTCCAGACTGAAATCCCATTCCTGATCCTACGGGAAAATACACACATTAATGATAAATATGATTTCGGACTGATTCAGTTGTATTCACCTATTTCTGAATCAACTATAGACCTTACCCCATTCAGCAGATTCCGATTGATGGCGTCCATCAGTATTATCTTCTGTCTCCGTAAGATGTATGAGTTCATTCAACACTATTTGAGCCTCAGCATCAACATCATCACCAAGACCATCATTGCCCTAGGAAGGAAAAAGTAAATAAGTCACACGTCTTAAACAAAAACCATTGCAAATAATGCACATCAATATACCTTTCCTTTCCGTCTCGCTGTTTTGACATCATCTTGATCATCATCACCTTGATCATCTAGATCATCACTCATATCTTCATCATCATCAAGATCTACATCAGCTTGGGCTAGGAATTCAAAGTTTGCCATAACCGCTGCCTCAGTGTCCAAGATCATAGCTTCTGTCAGTGAAGAATGTTGCTGGGAAAGAGAAAAGAAAAACACAAAGTTACTTTAACAGTTACAGCTCGGCACAACATGTTCAAATGATTCCTTATCTCTTAAATGATACAGTACCTGTGATTTTTTGCCTGTTTTAGCTGGTTCATTTCCATTGAGAGTAGTTGAGACGGGTTGGGCATTATTCAGGTTTTCTTCAGCTTCTGCATTGTTGTTCAATCCAAGAAGAGAACGGACACGATTTGACCGTACATCAATAATTGTGTCAGTGTAGCCAATTTCCTGTAAGTATCTACAGGCCAAATAAATGTTACTACCATAAAATCTCAAAAGAAATTCACAGACACTACACAAATAAACAACACGTACTGCCTTAATAGTTGTCGTCCCTGACGCCAACTAATGTTACTGACAGATGTGAAAGGTGACTCTCCATCTACTGGCATTTCTGCCACACCAGGTTCATCAAACACTGGAGGCTTCATGTCACCCTGCTGTAGTTCCGTGCCATACTTCAGTTTGTGGAATTTGGCTCTGAAACAGGTTTTCCAGTTAAATATAGCTGTCTTAAAATTAATGGAGAAACATAACTTATCAATAACCTACCTTTCTTGCTTGAGGACATATTCCAACATCTTGATTCGGCGTACCAGATCATTTTTAAGATTTTCTTGTCCCTTTCGTTCCCCTTGTAAAAATGCTATCCTTGCCTGATAAGGACAGAAAAAATAATTTGAGTTATATAAATATTGAGTATTAAGCATCATACATTGAAGAGTTTGGAAAATTCTGATGGCAAACACGTGCTAACAATGAAAATGTGCATCTAATGCACATGTTGTCCATGCTTTCTTGAGAAAGACTAAGAAATTATTTCTTTCTCTCCAGAAAACGGACTTTAAGGCACATTTGGACAACGACAGTTCCTATCTCCTTCCTTTACTGCACATGACTTGATGGGGGTGCACTGTGTCAACAATCAAAAATTCAAAATCCTTTAAAGATAATAACATTAGAATCCCCTCATAAAGAATATGAGAAGAGTCTGAGTAAAAAAATTAAAACCACTTTTGAAAATCAAGAAAATGACAACAGTAAAACTGCTAATATAAAATATTACGGAGGAACTAAAGCAAAGTATTTACAATAAGTAGCAGTAAGCACTGAGAATAAATTTTGAAAGGATGACAAGTGGCACGAAATGAAGGAAATTACGGACAACAAAATTGAAGGACGGGTGAAGGCCTGACAGGCACTAATCAAGAACAGGGTCTTTGTTGATGTCGGTATAGGTTATCATAGTTTAGACTCAACTAATACAGAACAGAAACGGTACAATACAAGTTTCTTAACCAAAGTAGATTTCAAAGGGACACAAAGAGCCAAATTTACTGCATTCTGTGACGTCAAACATTCAAAAAAAGATCAAAACCAAGTCTGAAAATTTGACTTAAGCCTACATTGAACACCCGATAAGTGGGGCAACCAGAGCCATGGAGCTTGCAGGAAAAGCTTGAAAGAGTTTAAAATGAACCCAAGACCACGCAAGGGTGAAAAACTGTGAAAATTTAAGAGGATTATTGGTATGTTTACCTGTAATTCAGCTCGATCCACCTCCCACTGCGACCGTTCCATCTCGAAGCGAGCCCATTCATGTTGAATAAAATGGAGTATACCGGGTATTGAATACTGAATTCTTTGGTTCCCTTCGTCACTCTGTTTATTCTCAGCGCAAAAGCCACCAGCAGAAGGACCCAGCTGCCCGTTATGGTTTTGTGACGAAGGATCTTCCATTGTAACACCGCTCTGTCCTGGAACCTTCATGACATGTCCGCCATTACTGTGAAACTTTTCGAGCCTAATGTATAACTGAGGACAACAAAGCGACACGTTTTTGCTAAATTATGGGCAACGCGATAAAGAACCAACAGTGTTGTTCCATTAATTAATAATGTATTTTTTAAGAGATGCTGCGACGGTGCTGAAGCAATTTCAAAGAGTATTCTGTTTCGGGATGTGCGGTTCGGACTCCCCTTTGACTCGCGTCGGCCATTCACGACCAATGACGTGTGGTTTAGCAGCGACCCCCAGGAGGAATTCCAGTGGACCCCCATTGGTCAAACCATCAAATGAACAACAGAAACTGTTCGGCTTATGTGGCAGACGGCAGACCTAAAGCCCATTAGTAATCGGCTCAAGTGGTTCTATGCCTGGGCGTTAGTGTGGAGAGGACTGAGAATTAATTCAGTTAAAAACTCAATTTGCTTCACAGTGCCCACTTGTCTCTTTAAATCACATTTCGAGTGTTCACTGATTTCCCACGTCAGAGAAACCGAAACTAAATTAATATGGATTTAATTACAACACTTCATTAAAAATCTTAAAAGAAATTTATTATTGAAAATGACACTGTTGGCATTAACAGAATACATACATATCAGCTCAGCACAACTCAACTAGACATTAATTATTTATAAGTTATATACTATGTGGGCATCATATAACGTTATGGTCAGTGTTCTCAAAGATAGCAGTAGTACATATAAAAAGGCACATCACAGAAAATAAGCACAATAATGTTTAAAGAAAGAAAATAATTCATCTTGGAAATACGTTTTGGATCTGATGCTATTTGAAAAAAAAATTTACAAAAACTCTTCACACCATTCAGAAAGGCATTGGAAACAATCTGACGATTGTTTGGAATTTGCTTGACATGCTTCTTTCATCCAATCTTGGAACAGCTCGCGGTTTTTCTTCAGAACTAAGAATTGTCCAAGGACAACATAGGCCTGAAATCAAAACAAAATATTTAATTGATTTGTTTGAAGACGAACTGTATGAGGTGTATTCAATACATCAGAAGCATCTCACCTTGTCAAAGCCTTGCGCCTCGAGCCGCTTCCCAAGAACTTCACCGACACCTGCCAAGTCTGTGACAGGCTTGTCCCCCATGGGCTCAGATGTGAAGTTTTTGAGTTTCTGTGATGTCGACGACATGATGATGTATGCTGAAACAACATGACGCATAACATTAAAGTCTTGCAGTGACATTTTACTCCCAAGTATGAATGGACTCCACATAAACAGACGCAAAATGGCAGCGAATTTTTCTCATGGAACATTTAATTTGACCAATTACTATTTGGCAGTATAACAATGCCTGACCATTGCCATTACCTAGCACAATGTGACCGATAACCTCAACTACCAAAACCACAGTAGCACAAATGGCTTTTTTTTCAGGTGGGCAAAAGTTTCAAAGACACCGAACAAGTTGCAGATACACAAAGGAACTGACATTAAAACAATTATCAAAAGAGTTGGCTAGAAAAATACGCGTAGAAATACGACAATGGCCTGGAAGCCCAAACGGCCACTGATCCGAAGATAGACGCACAGCGTGACAAGTACAACCGGTACGCGAAATCGCAAATCGCTGGTTAACTCACAGAAAAGCTAAAAGCCGTCAGTGGCGTCAAATCAAGGGGACTGAGTGCAGATTGCGCAATCCAGGAGGAAACGCAGACCACTTGACGTTCGTGCGGGGCGACGGCGACGACAAACACCAACACCAACAACAAAATCCTTTTTTGGCGGGCTAATCGAATCGAACGGATGCTGGTCGAGACGATACTATCGAAACAATTGACTTCGGAAGGAAAGGCGGGACAAACGAACAGAGAACCCAACGGGGAAGTACCTGCCGCCCCTGCCGGACCTCTGACCATGGAGTCACACTCCATGCTCTGACCGAAACCTTTTGCCGGTAAGGCGGGCGTAGTAAATCGAAACCTGGTTCGGGTTTCGCAAGGATTATTCAAATTTGTCACACTGACTCCATGATCCACGTGAAACCACGCAGGCGCGGATCCAGGTCACAGACCCGGAAATACAAAAATATTTTTCTTCCTCTCCTCTCGACTTGTTGCGCCTTGGTGACTGTATCTGTAACTTACGCGTTCCGTTGCAGGGGTGGTATTAAGGAAAAATGCCAAAGCACGGTGACTGTAATCTAGAGGCATGGCTTAGGCCAGGTAGCAACGAATGCAGTTATTGTGAGGGAAATTAATCAATCACTTCATGATAAGTCCGTGACAGAGGCACTCTTGTTCAAACCGGAACAGGCTTTCGTTGTTTTGTCGCACCTCGCTCACACCTGGAGCCAAAAAGCAGTTCGACTGCATGACTGATTGCAGAGCACCTATCAATGGTCCCACAGGTGGCGAGTCCTTTCCTTCATGCCGTCCAGCCCTAGCAGACAGCGTGGCGCTCGGCGTGGCGCGTAGCTCTCGAACTACTCGAACCAAGTCCACAACCAGCAGCGGCTTTCGGTCGGCACGCAGACACGCCGGCTGGACCCAAGTCCGAAAGTCGGTCATCGCCTTTTGGCCAAGTGGCGCAAACCAGACGTCGTCTGATTCCGAAGAATAGTCTCGTCGCTTGTCTCTCTCGTACTCATGGGGGCGCCCCGTAAGTGCGAGACAAAGCGACGAAACGAGCTATCGGATCCATCCGTCTAGACAGACGGCAGCGAAAACCGGAACCACGCTAAATGACTCACGACATCCCTTTTTAAATAACGCCAAATATTGCCGGAAAGGACCGTCCGAGGGCTTGGCGCTTATCCAAGGTGGAGGCTAAAAATAATGGTTTGAAAGGAAATATAATTTTGCAAGGCAGCCCCTGCAAAATGGGTGACTTGCGACATTGCATCATCCCAGGGCCGAACAGGGAGTGACCCATGCCGACCCATGTGCCCTCCGACCGAGGGGGTAACGACTGGTAAATTTCATGTCAGCTGGATTACGGATTACCCCCGGGTTACCTCCGGATTACAACAAAAAAAATCCTGGATTACCTTTCCATTACGCAGGTTTACCCCGCCCGGATTACCTCAAAATTTTTCCAGATTACCCAAAATTAGCTCAAAATTTCGGGTCATTCGGATTACGGATTACCAATTTGCTGTCAGCCAGGTTACCGAAGTCGTTACCCCCTCGCCTCCGACTAACCCTCACCCCTGAGCGCTCCACCAGTGTGACATGCCCTCCCGCTGGACAGTGGCGTTGGATTCAGGCGGCGGGTAGATTGCGGCGTGATTGCAGCGTCGCTCAAACGTCTAGCCAGCGATGCACCTTGCGGTTTTTTTCGCGACAGTGAATCAGACATGTGGATGTGGATTACGTTGAAGTGATTCTAGGCAGACCGGCAGCCGCCCCTACCCGCCACGCGCGCGGCGCGCCGTGTCCGCGTCGGCAGTGGCCGCGACGTGACAAGTGGGAGTGGTCCCTTCCTTTGTTCCCTTGACCGCCCCGAAGGCCGAGCCTTCGGGCCTTCGGGCCTTGGGCTCTGGGGATTGGCACCACCGATAACGACACCGGCCAGGGGATTTAACCGGTTCGTTTAAATAGTCACCGTGTGTCAGCCTGGTCCAGACAGTCGGAGCCGCCTATGGTTGCGAGTCCAAGTTTCGCCATGTGCACTCTTGCGTTCTTCGCCGTCGCGGTCCTGGCCGCGGCCACCGTGGCCGCGCCCGGGCGCGCGCCCTCCGGACAGCTCGTCGGCCAGGTCGGCGACGCCCTGCTCCAGGCCGAGCTGAGGGCGTGGAAGGCCGCCGGGCAGCCGGACTTCGTGCACTTCCCCGACGACAAGGGGGAGCCCGTGCTGGCCGCCATCGTGGGGGACCAGTCCGTCAAGAGCGTCAAGGGCTTCCTTCCCACCGCGGACGACATCAAGTTCCACCTGTTCACGCAGCAGTGAGTACCGACTTAAGACCGGTGGAGGCGGCCAGAATTCTAGACGCGTTTTGAGCTCCAGAGTCGCTGCGTCGCACTCGAACCGAACGAGTGGTGACCCCACCCGAGGGGTGAATCACTAGTGTACTCATGTGTACAAATTTGCCCGTACTCAGTGTACTCACAAGTTTTACAAGGGCGAAATTGACTAGTTTTTCGACCGATTTGGCGCTAAGTGCTGTTTAAAACGCTAAATAAAACCTTCAAATGTTAACAAATGTGAAATTTATGAGTAAAGCAAGGTGTACTCACCCGTACTCATGTACTCATGTGTACACCAGAACGCAGAGTGATTCACCCCTCGACCCCACCAATGGATTGCTCTCCGCACGAGGACTCCATTGGCGGGGTCACGCGTGCACTGCACTGCGGACTGGCGGACTGCGACTCGGAATGAGGACTCGGAGCAGCAGTGCAAGCGTACCGCCGGTACCGCGACAACTGCGGCTGCGAGTGCGAAACGAGACTTTTCGATCTGCCGAGCGCGGATCCAGGGGCAGGGCCGGCAGGCGCGCTTTGCTCCCGAAAGCAGGCAACTTTTGCGACGCCCCCCGCCTCTGGACCCGCCCTTGCGACTGCAGACTGATGCCGAGAGTCGTGCTGGTCGCTCCGCCTCTCTCGCACGCGGGACGGCCCATGAGTGCGAGAGAGACAGAGCGACGACTCTCGGAATCAGTCTGCAGGTCAGGCGAAAGCGAAAACGGTGAACCCCCTCACGCACTTGGCCTAACTTGAACATGGCACCGCAGGAACGACACTGACCTCTTCGGCCAGGAGTTCGATCTGAACGTGACCAGCCTGCTGGCCGCCGGCTTCAACACCCGCCTCCCCACCAAGGTCATCACCCACGGCTTCACCAACACCATCGAGTCGCCCATCATCCAGGAGATCAAGAACGGTGAGCGCGCGGAGCGCGGGCTTGCGGTTCAAGACCACCGCCGCACAGTGGGCCAGAAGACCGGTGGAGGCGGACAAAACTCTCGACGCGTTTTGAGCTCCAGAGTCGCTAAATGGCACTCGAACTGAACGAACGGGTGACCACACCAATGGTTTGCTCTCCGAACGAGGAACCCATTGGTGGGGTCACACGTTCGTTCAGTTCGAGTCCCATTTAGCGACTCTGGAGCTCAAAACGCGTCCGGAATTGGCCCACCGGCCGTGCCGCTCTGTTGACACAGGGACGGCGGGTGTAACTCCAGAAACGCTTGGGGCAAGTGCGGATCCAGTGCTGGGAAATTAGGAGGGGGAACGATTGACCCGCCCTTGGCCCTTACAAAGCCACCTGAAGGGTAGGCAAAAAGCCTATCCCTGGGCACCTGTAAGCCAGACGTCAGTGCTACTTTGCCCCTGTAAGTAGGCCCAAAAGTGCAAGACTTTGCGCCGGCTCTGACCGCCACTCGGTCCGGGGTGCAATGTCCTCCAGGACTCGAATCGACCGCGTTGTGCCGATACTTCGGTGACAGAGTGGTGAGTTGGTCCTGCAGACTGATTCCGAGAGTTGTTTTGGTCGCTCTGTCCTGTCACCCTCGGGGCGTCCCGTGTAGGTGCGAGAGAAACAGAGCGAAGAAAACGACTCTGAGTCTGCTGACGGTGATGTGGTGGTCCCGCAGCCTACCTCGGCTCCGGCGCCTTCAACGTGATCGGCGTGGACTGGGGCGCGCTCTGCCCGGCGCCGCTCTACTTCACGTCGCGCGTGCACGTCCCCGTGGCCGGCACCCGCGTCGGCGAGATGCTCACCGTCATGGTGCAGGGCGGCATCCTGGACACGGACGACCTGCACCTCATCGGCCACAGCCTCGGCGCCCACGTGTCCGGCCTGGCCGGCAAGAAGCTGTTCCAGGACACCGGCAAGCGCCCCAAGAGGATCACAGGTAGGGAGACGTCCTCGGGGACGTCCGCTGCGAGCCGCGAGGGAAAGCCCGCCGCCCCCGCCGGCGCCGGCCTGTAGACTGCGATTCCGAGAGTCGCTTTTGTCGCTCTGTCGCTCTCGCACATATACGGCACGCCCCACGAGTGCGAGAGAGACAGTGTGACACAACGTGGTGGCGGCCAAAACTTGAGACGCGTTTGAGCTCCAGAGTCGCTTAGCAGGACTTGAACCTAGCGTGAGTGGCCCCACCAATGGATTCCTCGTTCGGGGAGCAATCCATCGGGTCACTCGGTTCGAATCCGATTTAGCTCAAAACGCGTCCGGGGTTTTGACCGCCTCCACCGGTGCTGGTGCTGCGAGGGTTACCTACCCCGGAAGGCAAGCTTCGCAAGCCAAGTGTCCGCGTGTCCGGCGTGTCCGGCGAGGGGTGAATCACTAGTGTACTCATGTGTACAAATTTGCCCGTACTCAGTGTACTTACCAGTTTAAAAAGGGCGAAATACTCTAGTTTTTCGACCGATTTAACGTTGAGTGCCGTTAAAAACGCTAAATAAAGCCTTAAAACGTTTTAAATTGTGAAATTTATGAGTTAACCAAGGTGTACTCACACGTACTCATGTACTCATGTGTACACCAGAACGCTGAGTGATTCACCCCTCGGTGTCCGGCGTGTCCGCAGGCCTCGACCCGGCCTACCCGCTCTTCATCGTGACGCCCGAGGAGAACCGCCTCTACAAGGGGGACGCCGACACCGTGGACGTGATCCACACCTGCGCCGGCTTCCTGGGCTTCTCGGACGCGCTCGGCACCAGCGACTTCTTCCCCAACGGCGGCAGCGACCAGCCCGGCTGCGGCGTGGACCTCACGGGTTGGTTTCCGGAATCTGCCACCGATGGTTGTCGTTTCCTGTTCCGGTCGTTGAGTGTCGACGAGCGCGGCTTCGTGAGATAGGACAGGAGGACACCTCTCAGACGCGTTTTGAGCTCCAGAGTAGCTACATAGGACTCGAACCGAACGTGAGACCCCAACAATGGACTGCTCTCCGAACGAGAGTCCATTGGTGGGTCACACTCTCGGTTTTGAGTCATGTTTAGCCACTTTGGAGGTCAAGGTGTCCTTCCCCCTTTCACGTTCAGGCTGGCTCGGGCTAGGCCACCGTGTCAGGTGCTAATCCAGTGGTGGAGTTTTCAGTTTCCCTGAAATGACGGCATGTGGAATAGAGGTGATGACGGTACGGGAGGGTGCGCGTGCACTTGACAACAGATTAAGACCTGATCCTAATTCATTATAAGATGACTGCCCGTCCGTCTGGGGCTAATCATAAACCCTCCGGCTTGTCCGAGCTACCGTACGTCAGGTTGAGATACTGACAGCTAATCCTTTCCCCCCTGATTGCTTCAAAAGCGGAGGTGCACAACATTGAGCTTTAAGTATTAAGTAAACCTACGCGTGCGCACTTCGGCCGATGACGCACTGAAAACTTAAGTGTGTACTAAGTGCACTCACAGAGCACTTTGAGAGTGTACTGACTTTTTCAGAGAGGTTTGTTTCTTTTTCCAGGTGTTTGCTCACACGCTAGGTCGTATAAATACTTCGCGGAGTCGATAGTCGAAGGCAAGGGCTATCAGGCAGTCTACTGCGAGTCTGATAAGGATGCCTGGAATGGAGCATGCACAACTCAAGAAGACGGATGCATGGGTGAAAAAGTCTATTTCAAGTAAGTTGTCAACTTTTTTTTTGGGAAAAAGTATTAGCTAAGCATTGATCAAAATCATGACTTCATGCTCTTCACTCAACAGGGAAACAGGATCTTACTATTTGACTACTTCTGAAAATGCTGGACCAACACTGGAATGCCAACTGTCACAGTAGACAGAATAGAAGAGATAAAATGAATGATCTTAGGTCAGAATGAAATTTAATTTCACCTTGGAATAAAGTTTTCTTAACTAATGATCTGATTATAGCCCCATATAATCCTAGTCCAACTAAACTTAAAATAAAATTCAAATACATGTGAGCTGAGATGACATGTATAGTGTGTTGTTTATTAATTAAAATAGTTTTTGTACATTTGCTTGTTTAAAGATACTTAAATAAAGGTGAAAGTTTCACAGTCAATTGGTAGAGTTACGCTGTTTCAATTAAAAAACAGCATCAGTAAACTCACAAATTGAATATGCTACATAGGTGTTACATACAAATTTTGTACAGTGAAGAAAAACTACATCAAAAGCATTCATTCACACGAAAAAAAATTTTTGTTTTACATACACTGCCGCTCAAAAATTAGCGACCACTTTTTCTCGCGCAGTTCGCATTTTCCATGTTTCTGAGCTAGGATGCTGAAATTTGGCCGGTGGGTGCCCCAACTGCTCACTGCTCTTCGAGTCCTGCCAAGTATGGGGCCGTTCAAGGGTGGCCTCGGACGAAGAGACACAGCTGAACCATCCCTGAAATTCTCGAGTCGATCCGGTTGCATCGTTCACCCTCAGGAAAAAGCTGTCGAAACCAGAGGAAACATTCCCTAAGTTCCTAAATAAATTCATCCCTCATGAACACCGAACTTAGCACGGGAGGGGGGGGGGACACCCATCTCGACAGAATCCTTCTCTGCAAGCCCCCAAACTTTCAGCCCGTTGCGGTGACGTGCGCGCCGTCGCGACAGCGCCTTGCGCCGATGAGCTAGGCAACCCATCAGCCAGGCAGCGTACGTTCGGGCACGTCCACGTCTGCGTTTGGTTTGCGGCGCTACTGGACGGGCCCCGGTGACAAGCGCCAACCTGACGCGCGCGCACGCCTCGAGTACGTTGGCACACCTGCGCGGCCTACCTCACAGGGTTGCCTACCTCACCGGCGCACGGCGCTGTGAAGGCGAGGAGCACGGAGTGCATCACTGCCTTCGCGTCGTTCTCAAGGGCGCGGGCGTTTGCCGCCGCGGGCCTGAAGTTTGGGGGCTTGCAGAAGGGTTGTGTCGAGATGGGACGCTTGGAGTTTGGCCGCTACCCTATCTCAGTTCGGCGTTCACGAGAAATGAACTTGGGGGATGCTTTCTCAGTTTTCAACGTTTCTTTTCGTCCTGGAGGATTTGAGTCTCATTTAGTGACTCTGGAGCTCAAAACCCGTCCGGAATTTTGACCACCTCCACCGGTCTTCAGGCCCACTGTGCAGTGAAGTGCCAGATAGTGACGGGCTTGCGCAATCACTGCCAGCCGCTGCCCTCGGCGTCTCGAAAGGCTGAAAGCTCGGATCGACTTCGCACTTTGAAGTGGCTGAGCCTGGCCTAAAGGCCTGGCTAGGACGCGCGGGCCAGTCGCCGCACAGTGAGCCAGAAGACCGGTGGAGGCATCTAAATTCTAGACGCGTTTATAGCTCCAGAGTCGCTAAATTGTACTCGAACAGAACTTGTGACCCCATCAATGGATTGCTCTCCGAACAAGGAATCCATTGGTGGGGTCACACATTCGCTTCGAGTCCCTTTTAGCGACTCTGGAGCCCAAAACGCGTCTAGAGTTTTGCCCGCATCCACCGGTCTTCTGGCCCACTGTGCGCCGCCTCCGCACGGCGGGAGCAAACTGCAGAGGATGCCCGGCTCGTCGCTCGCGAGTCGCCTCCTCGGCGACCACAGCGTCCCCCCCCCCCGGTACACGCACAAACACACGCTCTCATACACAGGCGCACACCTTACTCCCGCCCAGCCACGCTTCGACTCGCGGCGCCATCAGTCCGAGTCGAGCTTCGGCAGGGTCTCTCTGTCTGATTTGGCCTTATCAAGAGAGACGCCAGTCACAGCGCGCCGAGATGAGTGAGTCAGTATTCGTTGACGGTATGCTCAGGTCTGCGGGTCGCGGGGCTTGGGACGGGGAAGGGTATGTGTGAACCCGCGAAAAAGCACAACCCGTTTCGGGCTGGGGGAGGGGGGCGAGGACGAATCCTGAAACTTGTCGGCTCAGTCAGGTAAGGTACAAAGTGTCTGTTTTGTGGGGCTTCCCCCTCCACTCAACGCCGCTCCGCGCCGCTCCACGAGGTTCCAAGTCCAGTCCAAAACCTCTCGGCGCTCATCCCTCGATGCCTTACATTCGCGAGACGTTTTGTGAGGGAAGGTGTGCGTTTCTATACCCTTCCGATGCACAGTGGGCCAGAAGACCAGTGGAGGTGGCCAAAATTCTAGACGCGTTTTGAGCTCCAGAGTCCCTAATTGGGACTCGAACCGAACGTGTGAACCCACAAATGGATTCCTCGTTCAGAGAGCAATTGATTGGCAGGGTCATATCGAGAGATCTGTTTCACACCAGGAACCTTGCGGTCATATCGAGAGATCTGTTTCACACCAGGAACCTTGCGAAGAATGTGTTCGTGTTTCAATCTTTTCGGTATTTGCAGCTTGCAACACGTTTGGCTTGATTGTTTTATGATTTTGTGGTTCGCAATTTTGCACACAATGTGTTTGCAAGGGTTCGTAACAGGTTGTTCGCAAGTTGCGAACTGGTTGCAGTTCGGATGTGTTCTTTGAATTATGAACAAGTCATATTCTTCGCAAGCTTACCAGCACATCGGTTCGTAAGGTGGGACGGGCGGCGGATGATTTTGACCAATGTTTTCTTTCCTGACGTGAAACGAGATCTCTAAGTGTGTCAAGAGGCTCTTGCCACTGTGCGCCGGTCTGATTTCTTTATCGTAACCGAACGCCGCAAACTTTTGCGACTGTAAACAGTGGAAAGTACAGCGGACTGGGTGACCTTGCATCCCGACGAGGAAAATTATGCCGAACGCGGCTAGTGCGGATGCCGGCGGATGCAGTAGAAATAGGTGGATGCGGCTGCACTAGAAATAGGTGGATGCGGCTGCACTAGAAATAGGTGGATGCACGCCAAGGCACTGCAAGGCACACCGCTTGCCTGAGGCCTGAAACGCCTGCGAGGTAGGCCACCGGCCCGTCCGGCAACACACAGCCGTGGAGACGGTGGCCTACCTCGCGCCTGTTGTCTTCACAGGGGTGAGGTAGGCCACCGTCTCCACACCGGTGTGTCGCGGGACGGGCCGGTGGCCTACCTCGCAGGCGCTAGTGAGCCAAAGACAGACTTCACACTAACAACCCTACAAAGAACTGCTCGTTGTAATACAAAGAAAAGGAAGGCTTCGCAGCCTACGAAAGAAATCGTTTGTAATACAAACAATTTTGTTTATAATACAAAGGAAATTTTTTTTTGTAGCCTACGAAGAACTTTTTTGCAGCCTGCGAAGGATTTTTTTTCTAACCGTTCAGTAGCCACAATTTCGTGGCCTCACAAGGCTTGACTTACGTACTCGCTTGCGTAGTATCAAATGGGCGTCAAATTGGCCGGTCCCAACTGTCCGCCCGTTCCTCGCTACCCTAGTAACCACAGCCCTCACTGTAAAAATTAGTTATCACTTTATGACAAAATCGTGGATGACATTTCTATCAGAGCTCATGGTCGTGACAACAAATGTTTGGATGACATCCTCGTAAGGTAAATGAGCTTTGAAACTGTCGTCAAGTGAAAAACACAAATTTTTGCGGCGGGATTGAGGAATAGTGAAACAACCAAGTGCGGCGAACTCCACACTGGTGGAATTTTCAATCTCCTCACGGCAGTACAGTTTGTAGTCTCCACGTTTGCACCTGCGGCTCCATGACACAGTGAGCTGGAAGACCGGCGGAGGTGGCCAAAACTCTAAACGCGGAATCTAAACGAGGAATGCATTGGTGGGGTCCCACGTTCGGTTCGAGTCCCAGTTAGCGACTCTGGGGCTCAAAACGCGTCTAGAGTTTTGTCCGTCTCCATCGGTCTTCTGGCCCACTGGGCATGAGCCAGACCTCCTCCAAGTGTGGAGACAAACCCTGCACGTCTGCGTGTCGAAACCGGAAACCCACCCTACAGTGTGGACAGTTACTCCGCCGCAGGAAATGTAGAGTTCTCCCACACTTGGTTCGACTGTGAAGGGACGTCAGGGATGGATGCCCGGGCTAGAACAACTAGTGGTCAAGGATGCAACCTACCAACAAGGATTTTAAAACTCCCGCCGAGGGCCCCTCTCCTGGCCGCCTACTCCTAATCTCGCAGAGAGAGAGAGAGAGAGAGAGAGAGAGAGAGAGAGAGAGAGAGAGAGAGAGAGAGAGAGAGAGAGAGAGAGAGAGAGAGAGAGAGAGAGAGAGAGACGCATCGCTGTGTGGAATCGCTCCGCCGGCTGCCGCGCGCTGCGTGTCCCCACCTCATTTGCAGTGAGGTAACCGGGCCTGGGGCCCTAGTACACTATGACACGGCCAACGGTGTACCCACCGCACACGGACAGTCCTGTTCCGCGCCTTTGGACTCTGCGGCATGCTGAGCCTGCTCTACGCGGAGGCGGAGGGAGGGGACCCAGTCGAGTCGATCCGAGCGCCTGCGTACTCGGTGTTAGGCAACCCTGTGCGGCGCGCTGCTAGGCGGGCTGGCCTACCCCGAGTACGCAGGGGTCCGCGATCCAAGTGTTTGCATGTTACGGCGCACAGTGGGCCAGAAGACCGGTGGAAGTGGCCAACAGTTAAGACGCGGTTTGAGCTCCAGAATTGTGAAATAGGACTCGAACCGACCGTGTGACCCCACCAATGGATTGCTTTCCGAACGAGGAATCGATTGGTGGGGTCACTCGTTCGGTTCGAGTCCCATTTAGGGACTGTCGAGCTCGAAACGGGTCCAGAGTTTGGGCCGCCTCCACCGGTCATCTGACCCACTGTACGGTGGATTCACTTTCTCAAATGCTCGTGGCTACGCAGTTGCCAAGAAAAGTACGTTTGACTCGATGGTATGCGTCTGCCTTTTTACTGGTAGCTTGCATTACAGGCTTATTACTTGGACGTCATCCAAAATTTCATTCGCATCAAAGGCAGGGAAGGAAAGAATATTACAGTAATGGAGAGGCATTCATGATTAGTTTGTATATTCTAGACAATGTATATGCTCGTCAAAATGAACAGTAACATAAATTGCCAAAATATTAAGGCAACTGAGGGAATAGAGGGCCAGAGTGAATGGGACAATTATGAGATACAAAATACAAAGTTTATGTATTTCCTGCTGCTCTTCAAACAGCAATTTGTTATAATTATTATTTCACATTATTTACAAACAAACATCAATTAGCTTTAGAGTGATACCCTTATCAGGTTCTGGTTGCTCCATAGGCATCTGGCATCCTTTCGATTGTGTACCTGACAAATTAAAACAAAAATGGAATGTCACATAAATTCAAACTACATTCAGTTATTTCATGAGAATGTCTCAGGATGACTTACCTATGCTGAGAGATAAACATGATGGGAACACCAGGAATCTTTCTTATTCTCCGCTTAAGGTCCTTATCACATGTAGCTACAATGTAGCATTTATGCTGCAAAAAATACAATATTAGAAATATTATTAATCTGACCTATCTTAAAAAAATTTACACAAGGAGACACTGGCAAACTCACCTGAGTAACTCTATTAACAAGACAATCGTCAGCATAGGTTCCTTTATGCATACAAGGAAGTCTTTCAAATCTTGGATCCTTGATTATTCTCAAAGCAATTTTGTACTTATTTCCCAATTTTTCTAACTCAGCTAGCACACAATCTGTTATGTAAGGAATACCTGGAAAAGGAGACAACAGCCAAATTACAAATTGAAATTAACTAAAGAAAGTGATGCTATCATCCTTTCAAAGCATCTTACATTTGGCATAGAGGCAGTCCATCATACTCTGCATGATATCAAGTTTGTTTTTGATTGAGAAGTTGACAAAATTTGTATCTATTAGAATGCGGTAAGGAGGACCCAGTTGAGTGTTGTACTGAAAGAAGAGGGCTGATGATGTCTGAGGACTAAAAAAAAAATAATTTGAAGAAATAAATTTAAAGAAACATTCAGCACAAAGAAAACCAATGGGGCAAAAACATTTTGAAATACATACGCCTCAACTATTTTTAACTTGTCGGGATCCTCTTTCTTTGCCCTTTTGGGTGTTCTCTCACTCTCTTTTCTGAAAATAAACGGTTATCAGGTACATGACGATGTCAAACCATTAACGGACTGAAAGTAGGATAAGTTTGAATGATTTTAGCTTTTCACACTTACATGCGGGAATCATTTGGATTGATCATCTTTTTCATCTGAGCAAACCTCTGCAAGACAATCTTTCTCGTTTTCTTGGTTTTACCCTGTCAAAATTTAAAGAGTTAAGAGGTTTAAAAAAACAATAAAGAGGAAATCACTACATAAGCCACCTGTGTGTAGCATAACCTAAAATGTCAACAGATGACATTGTCTATTCATGAAGGCCTCAGCATAGGCTTCAAACGACATCATGAAAATCGAGCTCCTTCATATTCACTTACCATTTTTGAAATGAAAATCGGCCAACTGAGCGAATGTCAGGAAAATTAGACGACTATTGAGTCACGTGTGTTGTCTGCAAAGTTTCCAGTTCTTAACCTAGAGGAAGAAGAAGAGAGGAGTAAGAAAATTCGAAACAAAAAGTACCACAACAACAAAACCAAAGTCGTTGGCATGAAGCGTCTTCTAGATGAAACTAGGCACCCAACAATAAAAATTGTGCTTTTCAGTCTTTCCCCTTTGTTGTTAGCATACTCAACCCTTGTTCTTTACTATGAGTAAAAGACACAAATTATTTGAATAAGCTGTGTTTTCTAGAGGGCAGGTCAGCGCCTGCTGTGACAGAACAAACACACGATCATTCTTCCGATTTGTGTCTTCTGGTTCTGAATTTCATGCATTTATTTCGCTCGTGCTGAAATCGCAAAACCATTAATTCAGTGACCATTGACTTTACCTCGAGCGATATTTCTTAATCTGATCCCTTGACTTTTCAGGTGTGTACAGCATCTTATTATCTTTCTGTTGTCTTTGTTTACTTATATGCTAACAACGTATTAGGTTGTAGCGTTTCGCATTTACAACTGTTAATCAAAGACACTTGGTTTTCTTGGCCTGTATCTATGTTTAAATGTCACTCACTTTTTCAATTTTCCCTGAAATTATAGTCACAATGGTACCGCATGGTCACTCTAGAGTGACCTGTCCACATGATTTTGGACTATTTAAAATAAATAAAATTAACATATCAGTGTCTATTGGTAAACAGTATTCTATTTTTATATTACTCACAACTTCTTTAGACTGTGGCATTTACCACTGATGTCTATGTTTCCTCTACCTTCCTCTATGTTTTCTCTACCTTACATTTTTGTCTCAAGGCCATGAAATTTAGTGCAAAGTGGTGCCCAACTAAATGAATTTTACTTGTCAACACACTGACTGAACGTAACATTTGGCGCCCCAGACTTTCTTGGCTGTTCCCAAACTAGAATTGTGTCCTGTCTATGGGAAGGTCAATGAAATCTTCTGCTTGCAGAGTTGCTGACATGGGGAACGCAGGCAGCAATGCAAGAGAGCGTCACAAGTCAGGTGACATGCATGCTCCCTCATCACCGGGTAAAGATGGTGGACAGGCTTTTACATTTGACAAGAAGCCTAACAGTAAATTAGTGTACTTATCATCAACAGAAGAAGAGGAGCAGCCATATTACACCAAATCAAATACAAATTCTTCCTCATTGGTGTGTGATACATGCCTGAAATGAAGAATATAATCTGTGTGTAAAGTGACTTTCCTAATTTGTACATTTTTCTTCTGCAGCAGAATCCCAAAGATCAAGTAGGTGATGGAGAATTCTCTATACAACCTGCAAGGCCTCGCTCTAACACTATAAGTGAAGGTAGCAAAATAGAGGAACCACCAGGAGAGAAAGTTCTGCCAACAGTTTTTAAATGGGATGGTGGTGGAAAGCAAGTGTTTATCAGTGGGACGTTTACTGAATGGAAAGTTATCCCAATGGTGAAAAGGTGAGCTTTGACTTACTTTGGAAATGGCAGTATTAAAGTCAGCAAATGACAACATTTTTATTTGTTTACTTTCCTAGCCATGGTGACTTTGTCACTATTATTGATTTACCTGAAGGAGAGCATCAGTACAAATTTATGGTTGATGGAGAATGGAAGCATGACCCAGCTGTGGTATGTTCAGTTCAACTGATTGTACTGATGGTGAAGTCTGTCTTTTTCTTACTTTACATTTCAATTTTTAATTATTTATTTTTTCAATTTCCAGAAAATAATAGAAAACGGTGTAGGCACAAAAAACAATATGGTGTCAGTGAAGGGCTCTGACTTTGAAGTGTTTCAAGCCCTTGCCAAAGACAGTGAGAGTGTCAGCCAGACCCAGCAAAGTAATTTTTTATTTTTACTTACTGCTTTTGTTGTGTTTAAGTTGCATTCACATTAAATCTTTTGTATTTTTGTTAACAGCTGAGTATTGTCAAGAAATTCCTCAAAACAAACCTTGGGAGAAAGTACCAGGGCCACCCATCTTGCCCCCTCATCTCCTTCAAGTCATTTTAAATAAAGATACGCCCTTATCCGTAAGTAATTTGGAATAAGAAGCACAGTCACTCCTAAGTTCGTTCATTATGGCTCTAAGATATATACTTTCATTTACAGTGCGAACCAACTTTACTTCCGGAGCCTAATCATGTCATGTTAAATCACCTATATGCACTTTCAATTAAGGATGGTGTTATGGTTTTATCTGCCACTCATAGATATCGTAAGAAGTATGTCACTACTCTCCTTTACAAACCTATTTGAATAGCTTTGGGATTCTTAAGCCTGCTGTGGAAAAGAATATTTATGCACTCTGTTGAACAGCCAATTGAATATCTGTTTTTGTAAAACCATTGAAAATACTATTGGGTCTAACAGTACTGGTATATCCCCAACAATGAATGTCTGAGGTTTGAGTCAAAGTAACGGGAAGGCAAACAGTGGGATCAAAATTATTGAATTTGATTTAGACTCGATTCTTGTTGTTGGTAGTTAATGTTCTACAAACACTGTTATATGGATCATTTTAAAGAGAAATGTTTTCAATTTAGTGAAGGGATTTACACTTCTAAGCCAAAATATCTTAGGCTTAATCCCAATAGCTTTTTTTCCAGTTTTCATTTGCATCGTATTGTTTAAGGTCTTTTAGTTAAATGTGCTCTTGTTATTGTTTTGTTAATTTTGTTGTCCGGCATGGCGTGATGGAAGGTCCTGTGCCATTTTCAGTATGTCATTTGCTTGTTTTGAAACTTGTTTTACAAAATGTTAAAGCTTTGTAAATTGGGATGGGCCTAACAAAAGAGGGTCATGATAAGTGGTTTATTTTTTAAATGAATTTTAGCTGCCTTCTTCATCTAGACTATTACATATGCATATATTTAGATTTATTAAATTTGGTCATTTTGAGGGTCCAAGCTGCTGGGTTTTATTCTGTATAACTGTACCTCTTAAACAACGTTAAAGTTTGTTCCTTATGCTAATTTTTTGTACAGCTATGGGTTGTTTTATTAAACAATTTAAACCCTTATCCAAAGAAAACTTAAGGAGAGGAGCCATTTTGGACAAATGTTTTTCACTGGCTCTCATTTGCATTTATTGTGAACGCCTTTCAAAAATTTTGTGAGCTTGAAGACAAGCTATTGACTATTCCACGTTACCTCCTCTTCATAACTTTTATTCATTTGGTGATTTTCATTTTAACTAATCCACTTTATCAAAACAGTCTTGAGATCTGAAGGAATATGATTACTTTGTTGTGAGAACTGTTAAAATTATTGTCAAGGACACTAATGATCTGATACAAAAGTCAATCTCTTAGATGAGGTTTGTGTTTTAAAACAATGAATGGTTCTCATGGGAAAATCTTTCTGTCTTTGTGTGCATGAGTGAGTGGAAGTTCAAGGGATAATGTCTTTCCCTAGTCATAAACTTTGTGATGTGCTGCAGTAATGTGCAAAGCTTGTCGCAAAGCTGCTTTTATAGAATTGTATTTTATTTACAATAATTGTCTTTGTTTGCCTCGTAACTGGGACCACTTTTCATTGTTAATTATCTGACTTCGGAGAATTCTAAATCTGGATATGCTTCATTAGTTTTGACTTGACATCCATTGTGCTTAGTGAGATTTTTAGTGGAAGGGGGGGGGGGGGCTTTAGAATGCATTCATGTTTTCTTAGCACATGCCTTTAAATTGAAAAAGTAAGTCAGTATTTGTGTCTCCTTTAATCATTGGCTTGGCTTGTAGCAGTGTGTTCGAATCATTTTCTGTAACTTATCATATATGAAATCAGGTATGTACCTTACCAACGTTTTATGTCCATTTAATTTTGACCTTAAAGGGGTTTTCTTCTTTGTTTTAAGTGAAGTAGGGAGGAAACAAAACACTTGCATAACTTGGGCATATTAAGTACTTACGGTATATCTGACTAGACATTGGGCAGCTCCTGAACACAAGTCTTGCATAGTCCTCCATTTCACCAAACTTAATGTATTTTGAGTGTAATGGGTAATTTTCAAGTATTCTTGCCAATTTCCCATGGAATTTCATTGTTTATATTGGTCAGCCACTTGGCAGATCAGAAAGATTTGCTTGCATGTGCTGAATGTTCAATTGTATGTGATATGTATGTAATGATCGTCATAGATGAATAAACATTTCTTTTAAGGCCAAATGAAAAGACAAGCACTTCAAATTTTAAATACAGATTTATTTCATAAATGCGAGTGAAAAACTCTTTCTAACATGGAAAGCAACAATGGAAATGATGTTAATAGTGCAGAAAAGTCACTTAAAATAATAAATTTACGAAGAATTCTAGTAAACATTTTAGGTGAGAAGCATGAATAAATATAAAGTTAACAAAACAATCAGTTGATGTTAATACTAACAGTTGAGAAGCGTCACTGGGAGGTGCCTGTGTTCCTGCAACATAATAATATTTTTGTCAGGGGTGAATTGAATAAATGAGAGGATCTGAAGTCATTCAGTATTAACTACTAGTACTTACAAATTAATTAAGTAGCCTCTAGGCACAATGGAAAATCACATTACTGGACTGTGTTAACCTACAACAAAGTTATCAGTTAAGACCAGCACTCAAATTTGAATCGCTGAACAATCTTAAAATTTGAAAAGGAATAAAGATGGTCAATACAAAGATACTTACAATATCATCAATTTTCAAGATGCTCCTAACAGTTTCAGTGGCAAAGTTGATAATGCTGGTTGTGACAAGCAGGGGCTGCACAACATTTTCTTCCAAAATGTTTGTGATGCATCCTTTTCTAACATTGATTCCAGCTGTAGTTTCACCCTCAGCATGGCGGTTCCTCAACTCTGTTACAGTTGAAATGGGGTTGAGGCCTGCATTTTCGGCTAGAGTTGCAGGGACAACCTCAAGAGCATTGGCAAAAGCCCTGGGGACAAAATTGAACATGAGGAATTAACACCCAAGAACACTACATGTGACATTGCTTTAAAAAAGGAACTAACCTGAAACAATACGCATCAACTCCAGTCACTGTTTGGGCATACTGAGTTAACTTCAGAGCAATTTCGGTTTCCGGTGCTCCTCCACCAGCAATGAGGGCCCTGTAAGAAGAAAGGAAAGCCGTTAGACGCCGCTCAAAGCTTAAAATCAATTAGAGTGCAATCTATGTTACGGCTCAGATATACTAAATAATCACAAGGCAATTCCTGAGATGCCTTCAAACGTGTTGTATGAAAAAGAGAGATTTCAACATCATAGCCTAAGTGAGATGACATTAGAAGCGGCTTACTTTTCTTTCACGAGACACCGGATGACACAAAGAGCATCATGCAGAGACCGACCAGCTTCTTCCAAAACCAGTTTGTTGGAGCCTCGGACAAGAACAGTCATGGTGCGACCCATGTTTTGAATACCAGTGATTTTGACAAACTTGCCAGTCCCTGTAAGCACCTCTTCACACAGCTCTGCATTGGCCAAGTGTTCAGGTAAAAAGTGGTCAAGACTAGCAATGGGGCGGCATCCTAAGGTCTGCAAAAAAATTAATTAAAACATAGGGAAAAATCAGAAACTATAAATGAAGACGTCAAGACTAAAAAAAAACTTGAGGCCAAATATTAAAGGCCCTATATGCATCATCAAATATATATCTTACCTTGCTCACAAATTCAACGTCTTCTCTTTCAATATCTTTAATAACCATAACTTTGATTTTATCCAAAAAGTGAAGAGCCAGATCGGATACAGCATCTCTCAAAATTGACTTTTGAATAAGCAGCACATTACAACCAGACTTTTTGATTTGTTTCACAATGTTCAAAATGTAGGCACGTTCCTCTTTTAAAACCCTGTCCATGGCAGCGTAGTCAGACACAATGACATTGTGATCCATCTGGAAATAAAAGGTGAGCTTTGTTGAAGAAATTTGGACAGAATATTGGCTTTAAAAATAAATCAGTTAATTCAACCTACATCAGTCTTGGGTGGAGAGATGCAGAACTGGATGAGACCAATCTTGGCTTTTTCCACCTTTTTCGGGCCATTGACACCAGCAGACTTCTGAGTAAACACTAATCCATCAACAAGCTCGGTGTCCTCCACTGTTCCACCAATTTTCTCAATTACTTTGATGTCCTTCAGGTCAACAGAGGTAGGCTTCTGGGGATCCACCACCTTGAGGACAGCTTCAACAGCGATAGGAGCAAGAAGACTAGACTGCTGGGACACCACCTTGGAGTTAAGAGATGTAGAGGCTGACTTGATAAGGGACTCCCTACAAAAAGAAAAGTGGTATAAATGACTGACATTTTAGATAAGAGACAAAGCATGCAAAATGAGATATCTTACTTGTCAGTCAAATTGACCGGCACAGACATTCCCCTCAAGATTTCAATAGACTTAGAAGCCGCACGTTGGAAGGCATCAGAGATTGCAGTTGGGTGAATTCCCTTTTGGAGCATTTTCTCAGCTGCCTCTAGGAGAGCTCCAGCAACTACACACACAGAGGTTGTTCCATCACCAGCCTCAATGTCTTGTGCTTTGGACAACTCAACCAGCTGCAAAACAGTACGGTATAAATACATCAGAAGGGGACATTTACACTTGTAAGGTCTGAAAGGTGAAAGAATAAATTACCATCTTAGCAGCAGGATGAACAACGTTCATCTGCTTCAAAATAGTGGCTCCATCGTTTGTAATTGTGACTTCCCCATTGGCAGATTGGATCTGAAGCAAGAATTTCAAATGAGATGCAAATATTGTTTAACATAGAACAGAAAAACATGTTGGCAATTTCTCTTACCATTTTGTCCATGCCACGAGGGCCCAAACTGGTGCGAATAGCATCAGCAACAGCTGCAAGAAATCAAAAACTAAAATTAGAAAATGATGGAAATAAAACCGGAAACCGAACCTACGAACGACAGATGTCCGCTCATAAACATTAGCAGATACCTTAACAAAGGGTCAACGTTAGAATTGTTATATGAGTCACAAAGAGAATCAGGGCATATAGAAATGCAGTATGCAGCTGAAGACAATGAGACAGGTGGGGACCGGCCCATCAATGGGAACGTCATAAATTAAGAATGCACTTGAAAGTCAAACCATCAAAACAATAAAGTGCTTCAACCTAAGCAACAGCGGCATCGCTGAGCAAGAGGTTAGGAACAAAAATTCAATGCTTGACAGGAGTAACTAAATAGGGGCTCTTTCAAAATAGAGCAAACTAGAATGGCCTGCACTCAAAATTTAAGACGCAAACAGGTCCTAGCAAAAAATGACAATGAAATAAAACGAAACAATAAAATTACCTTTCCCCGCTTGAATGTTGCTGCTGCGGATGTCGGTGGGTTTGCTTTTATCCTTGAAAGCGTTTGAAGTAACCCTTCTTCCATCTCCGGAGCCCTTGACAGCAGTCATTGTGATGTGATTTCTTAAAGTTTAACTCAGATATTTATGAAATTGGAACCAGGTGCGCGATGTCGATGGATAATCACACCCGCGATCCGGTGACCAAGCGGCGAGCGAGCAGCGAGCGAGGGAGGAAAGGGGGGGGGAGGGGGAGGGGGGAGACGACACAATGCAAACAGATGACAGACGACAGCTGAGAAACGTACCAACTCACTGAGAGAGATGTCGTCTCGAGAAAACAAGTAAAACTCTCGTGTAATGAGAGAATCTGCTCATTCAAAACAGAAATCGATATTCTAATGCGCTTTGGGGGCCTTGCTTACCCCATCTATCAATGTGTAAGAAGACTGCGTGAATTTGGGGTAAGAGGGGAACTGCTGCGTAAAGGTTGTGGCGGCTATTTTGAAAACACCGCATTTGTAGCCTTTCGGCACATTTAAGTAGCGACGATGAATTTTGGTCTTTCTTCGAAAGGTATCTAATCTTTTAAGGGTGTTGAGTTAAATGTGTATAATACCTCCATGTTTTTTTCGAAGCAAGATACGCCGGTGAGCACCTGGCTGGGTAGGCAACCCCTCCTGTACGGAAGTCCATGTGGTTGCCTGCCAGGTAGGCGGCTGTGGCGAGAGTCGCCACAGGGGATCAATCTGCCCATTCTCGCCCTGGCTTGTTCATGAATGGACTGCCAGCAGCCTAAATACCGGGCTTTCAGGCGCGACTTTCAATTTTTTCAGATCTCTTCCGGCCAGCGGATAGTTCTCTTATGCAACCCCAGGTTGACAATATTTGTTATTTTAATAATCAACTGACGAGGTATTCTCTTCATGTGTATTTTCTTTGTATCATCGCTCGTGCCTCTTCTACAAATCGAAGTGGAATATATGCCACGCACATGCTAACAGGAGCATACGCACATCCAGGGCATGAGTGATGGGAAAATGTCATCTGCTTCAGAAAACGTGTCTGGCATGACATGCCCTTGGCAGAGCGTGCTTGGCAAACATGCGCCGGCCACAGCTTTACTTGCAGGACTTTGCACTTTGCAGGAATGCTCCAGCTAGTGTACGGTACGTACACACTTCGATTTGTAGATTGTTGCTCTGTAAGCCTGTGTTTGCCGCATTGGCTTTTGTGGTGGTGGTAATCCCTAAATCTAACTTGATCCCGCAAGTGTCTGACCATGCCAAACACAGACTCAGTCCACCAGTGTCACTAGGTCCACCGGCTGCTCGCTGCTGCCATCTAGTGAGAGTTGGGAGAACTCTGTTGTCTGTGCTGTGGGTGGCGCGGCGGCGTGGCTCAGCGCACAGTGGGCCGGAAGACCGGGAGGCGGTCAAAACCATGAAGTAGGGCCTTTCTCTCATGTCAAAACTCTCGATAATTAGGACTTGAGCAGCGCATGTGAACTCACCATCGATCAGGGTGCAATCCATTGGTTGGGTTGGGTTACACGTTCGGTTTGAGTCCCATCTAGCGACTCTGACTCTGGAGCTCAAAATACGTCCCGGATTTTGACCACCGCTCCACCGGTTTTCTGGACCACTGTGCAGCGTGAGCACTGGCCCGCTTGATTCAAAGCACCGGAGCTGAGAGACTGGGAAACTATTTCCAGGGGAATGGCAGTCAATGGATTTTGAGAGGAAGTGTGAGTTGTCGCGAAACAGGGGAAATAATCAAAATCAAAGGCCCAGATTAATGCTTCTGATTTAATGAGCTGTTACTCATCACACAAGGTCCCTTTTCAAGCACGCTGGCAGGACTCGGGGATGGAGACCTTGAGGGACTTGCTGGCGACCTTCTGGGAGAAGTCGGGGCTGGCGCCCTTCTTGATCATGTCAGCCCAGTGGCGGGCGGCGCTGGAGTCGGCGATGCAGTGGAAGTCGATCTGCTTCTCGAACTTCTGGGTGGGGTTGCACTTGGCGTTGCAGGCGGGCTGGGGCTTCAGGGAGAAGCAGATCTGGCCGGCGTGCTCGACGACCTGAACGCGGCGGGTGGAGCAGTCACCGGGAGTCTGGCGGCCGCTGGCGCGCTTGCTGCTGCTGGAGTGCTTCTTGTTGGACTGCTTGTTGGAGCGGGGCTTGGCCTGGTAGCGGCCGGCCTCGGCGTCGCTGACGGCGTCGCCGATGAGGACGGCCTTGCGGAAGCAGGCGGCCTGCTGGGCCTTCTGCTGCTGCTCACGGACGGCGCCGGTGGGGTTGACGGCCCAGGTGGCGGCGAACTGCTCGGCCTTGCGCAGGATGCAGTTGGCGGGGGTGGTGAAGTCGGAGGCGGTCTCGCTGGTGAAGGTGCCGCACAGGCCGCGGACCTCACCGCGGTAGCTCTGGGAGGCGGACAGGATGACGCGGGCACCGTCGTACAGGATCTCGATCTCGTGCTCGGGGGCGAACATCTTGACGGCGTCGGGAAGGGCGTAGAACTTGGCCAGGACGTCGCCGTTCTGGCTGAGGACCTCGGTGACGTTGCGGCTGGACAGGCGGATGGTGCGGCCGTTGACCTTGACGTTGGCGCCGTTGCTGCTGCCGGAGGGGGTCATCTCGACGAGGTCGTCGCCGAGGACGATCTTGACCTCCTTCTTGTCGTGGGAGCTGGCGTCGCGGACGAGCACGCTCACGTAGTTGGTGGCGTCCTCCTGGCTAGAGCTGCTGGAGTCAGAGTCCTGGGGGACGGACTGCATCATGACGTGCCAGTTGTTGCCGAGGTTCAGGGGGTAGGTGCGGTTGTCGAAGGTGGAGGCGGCGGACTTGTCGACGGTGCAGGTAGCTGTGAGAAGAAAGAAAGTGAGCCGTTAGATTTCATTTTCTGAAATAAATGTTCCGTTCTGTTCAGACTTTGAAGAGACTGGTACTTACGGTTGTACTGGTCCTGCATGGCCTTCTGGGCGACAAGCTCGAAGGGAGTGTACATGGGGTGCAGGGCGGCGGCGCGGGCGACCCAGTAGTTGACGCGGACGTTGTCGAACTCGGCGCTCATGTTAGGGGCGTCGATGGACAGGTTGGCGGACTTCATGTTGGGGGCGAAGCGGAGCTCAAGCTGGACCTGGTTGGAGTGGGCGTTCTTGGGGTTGATGAAGTTCTCGGAGTTGTACTGCCAGCCGAAGTAGCGGGCGGCGGAGTAGGCCTTGTAGGTGGCGTTCTTGACGTAGTCGGAGACCTTCTCGAAGTGGACGTTGACCTTGAACTGGTCCAGGCGGTTGGCCTGGAGGGTGGCGTTCTGGCAGGCGGGCAGGGCGAAGTTGCCCTTCTCCATCTGCTGCTCGCACAGCTGGTTGATGGGCTGGCGGCGGACGAACTCACGACGGGCGGAGGTCTGCTTCATCTGGCCGTTGACGGCGACCTGGGCGGCGGAGGAGTCGAGCTTCTCGCCGAAGTTGAGCTGGGCCTGGAAGGCGCTGTTGGGCTCAGCCTGGAGGGCCTTCAGGTAGTTGATGACGGGCACGTTGGGCATCTTGGAGGTGGCGGCGAAGGCGAGCTGCTGCTCCTTGGCGTGGGCGGGGTCGCGGCGCAGGAAGACGAGCACACGGGACTTGTCGTCGACGGGGGAGTTGGCGACGGCGGCGGTGGCGATGAAGTGGGCCTTGGTCTGGCCGTTGAACTGGGCGGACAGGTCGACGACGGAGGCGGAGGCGCTCTTGATGCCGGCGGCGGCGCGGCGCAGGAACTGCTGCTGGCGGCTCTGGCTGTTGGCGGAGGTGCTGGAGGGGTTAGCGAGGTTCTGGCTGGCGGAGGCAGAGGTCTTCTCGAACTCGGAGATGGACTCGTTGGAGTCGCTCTCGTTGCTGTCGGAGTTGCCGTGGGAGCGCTTGGCCTTCTTGGGGGACTTGCTCTTGCGCTGCTCGTAGGAAGCGTCGTCGTACTCGGCGGAGCTCTCGTCGTCCTCGTTGTTGTCGTAGGAGGCGGTCAGGGTGACGGAGTGGGCGGTGGACTTCTGGGGCTCGTAGGACAGGGACATCTCGTAGGCCTTGATGGTCTCCTCGGCGGAGGGGACGAGCAGGGAGGCGATGACGCCGCGGTGCTGGACGTTCTGGTACATCTCGGCGAAGTCGGCGAAGTCGGACTCGGTGGCGGCGTCCACGCGGAAGGCCATGCCGGTCATGTCCTGGCCGACGGTGAAGTTGGCCTGCTGGGGCTTGCGCAGCTGGATGGGCTTCTGGTTGGCGGGGGTCAGGTCCAGGATGTTGTGCTGGGCGGTGTAGGGGCGGCTGGCGGCGAGGAAGACCTGGGCCTTCTTGTTGGCCTCGATGGGCTGCAGCTTGACGCGCACCTCAGCGTTGACGAGGTCCAAGTCCATGTTGGCGCGGATGGGCAGGTTCACCTGCAGGTCCTTGTCCAGGCCGGCGGAGTAGCTGGTGTGGTCGAAGGGGGTGATGAAGCCCATCTTGGACTGCAGCTTGGTGGAGTAGACGAACTGGATGTCGGCGGAGGCGTTGACGGTCTCGGGCATGCGGATGGCGTCCTTGGGGCCGTTGGAGAGGTCGGGCTGGGTGCGGACGCGGGCCTCGCCGCCGATGGACAGCAGGGAGGGGTTCTTGAGCTGGTACACGAAGGGCAGACCCATGGCGGTGGGGAAGCCCATGGTCACGGAGATCTTGTTGTACAGCTTGGTGTAGTTGAAGTTCTCGCCGGAGCGGAGGTTGCTGGCGGCCTTCTGGACGAACTGGGGAAGCTGCTCGACGGTGTGGTTGTCGATGGCGAAGAAGCGCTGCTGGCCGAGGAGGTTGATGAGGACGTTGGCCTCGACCTGGGCGGCCTGGTCAGGCTGGATGTTGAGGAGGTTGGCGATCTTCTCGGTGGACCACTCGTTGTTAGAGTTGGAGGCGGCGCGCTTGCCGTGGTGCTTGTGCTGGGACTGGCTGGACTGCCACTGGTTGGCGAACAGGCGGAGCAGGTCGTCGACGCTGGAGGCCATGGCACCGGCCTGGAAGGCAGCGAACAGCAAAATTAGGCGCGGATTCAAAAATACTTCCTCGTGAGATCCCAATAGACTGATTCCGAGAGTCGTTTTTGTCGCTGTCTCCATCGCAGGTGTTTCAGTGAATTTTCAAAAGGGTTCAAATTGACAAGAGAAATTGATTCGTCTCGACAAGACAATCAAAAATAATATCAGGTTCGGATAGCAAAGTTATTGAACTCCAAAATGATTGAAATGGACAAGAAGGACAATTTAGTAGTACTTTGCGGAAAGTTGTGGTGTACTTACGCTCAGGTACTTGTAGCGGAAACCGCCGAGGGAGATGCCGGAGTTGAGGAAGGCGGTGGCGGGGATGTTGGAGTCCTCGCTGCCGATGGTGGCGAGAGCGGCCTGGTAAGCCAGCTGCATGTCGCCCTGCATGTCCTCACTCCAGAACTGGGCCTTGGAGTACTGGGCGCCCCACTGGGTGGCGTTCAGCATGTCGACGGCGGCGTTGGCGTTCTCAGAGCTAAAACGAAAAACAAAAAATAAATAAATTAAAGTTTATGGTTGAAAAGACACGATGGAGGCACTGATAAAACTGGGGCGTTTAGGTTTTTTTTGGGCAGGGCACAGTGGGCCAGAAGACCGGTTGAGACGACCAAAATTGTGGACGCGTTTTGGCCTCCAGAGTCGCTAAATGGGACTCGAACCATGCGTGTGACCCCACCAAAGGATTGCTCTCATAACGAGGAATCCATTGGTGACAAGTGGAATCCATCCATTCGGTTCAAATCCCCTTTAGCGACTCTGGAGCTCAAAACGCGTCTAGAATTTTGGCCGCCTCCACCGGTCTTCTGGCCCACATGTGAGTGGTGGTTGCTATGCTTGGCTTCAAGCGTAACTGTAAGCTTGAAAAGAGCGCGAGTTTACCAGTGCGGGCTTTGCGTGGTACTCACAGCTCCTGGTTCATGTTGGCGTTGGTCTTGTAGGCGGCGGACTCGATGGCGGACTTGACGATGGAGCGGACCTCGTTGCTGGGGTCCTGGTTAGTGAACTCGGCCATGCGCTGTAGCATGCTGGCGGGGGGGTTGGTCTTCATCAGCAGGTAGACGGCGATGCAGCGGATCTCGTGGGCCTCGCCAGTGTTCTGGTAAAGGCGGAAGAGCACGGGGCGGGCAATCTTAGGGTAGACTTTGGCGAGCTTGTTGAGGGCGACCACCATGTGGAGGCGCTGGAACTCGGTCACGGTCTTCTGGCCCTCGAGGTAGGGCTCGAAGACGGAGAGGATCTTAGGGTGGGCGGTGTTGCCGAGGGCGCGGGTGTAGACCTGGATCTTGTGGCTGTCCTCGTTCTGGACGGCGCTCTTGAGCTGCTGGGCCAGGTAGGGGATGTAGTCGCGGGCGACGGCGGCAGCCTTCTTGGGGTTGAGGCGGCCGAAGGCGTGGGTGGGGTAACGGTTGTGGGCGGTGGCGTTGTCGACCTGGGCCTTGCGGACCAGGTTGGTGAAGGACAGGACGGCGGAGACGTTGAGGAACTGCTGGCGCTGGACCTCGGACTTCTTGATCAGGTCGAAGAAGGCGTCCATGTACTGCTTGGTGGGCACGCGGGCGGCGGTGGGCAGGGCGGCGATGATCTCGGCGGCCTCCTCACCCTGGACCTTGTGGTTCATGATCCAGTCCTTGATGAGCAGGAAGGCGGGGCCGGTGCCGGCCTGGGCGACGGCGTCGCGGAAGGCCTTCCAGGCGGCGACCTTCTCGGTGGCGCTCTGGCTCTGGCTGGCGCTCTTGCTGGAGGAGGAGGTGTACAGCTCGTGGGAAGCCTGCTCAAGCTGCTTGGCGTCCATGGTGCGGATCAGGCGGGCCAGGATGCTGAACTTGGCGAGGGTGGCCTTCTCGGGGATCTGGCTGGGGTTCTGGAGCTCGTGGCCGATCTGCTGGGCGAGCTTCTGGACGGCGTGGACGGCGTTGACCTGGCTGGAGGCCTGGATGGAGGAGCCCATGTAGCCGACGAAGTAGGGAAGCATGGGGTTCTTGGGGGCCTGGTTCAGCTTGGGCATGTCCTGGAACCACTCCTCGCTGGAGCTGGTGCTGGAGCTAGAGCTGGAGGAGGAGCTGTCAGAGTCGCTGCTGGAAGAGCTGGAGGAGCTGGAGGAGCTGGAAGAGCTGGAAGAGCTGGAGCTGGAAGAGCTGGAGCTGGAAGAGCTGGAGTCGTTGGTGTTGTTGCGGTTGTTGCTGCGGATCTTGCGGGGGTTGGACTCGTTGCTCTCGCTGCTGGAGCTGGAAGAGCTGGAAGAGTCGCTGCTGGAGGAAGAGCTGGAGCTGGAAGAGCTGGAGCTGGAAGAGCTGCTGGAGCTGGCGGAGTTCTTCTGGTTAGCGTCCTTCAGAGAGCGGCGGAAACGCTTGGCGGCGGCGCTCTTCATGCGGGGGCTCTCCTCGCTGGAGTCGCAGGAGCAAGAGTCGGAGCTGGAGCTGGAAGAGCTGGAAGAGCTGGAGCTGCCGGAGCCGGAGCTGGAAGAGTCAGAGTCGCAGGAGCAGGAGTTGGAGGACCTGGAGCTGGAGGAGCTGGAGCTGGAAGAGTCAGCGGCGTTGCGCTTGTGGTTGCCGTGGGCCTTGCTCTCCTCGCTGGAGGAAGAGCTGGAGGAGCTGGAGGAGCTGCTGGAGGACTCGTCGCTGAGCTCGGCGTTCTTGGAGGCGGAGAAGGGGTCGTTGTAGTCGTAGACGAGGTCCTTGACCTTGCGGGGGTTGGCGGGGGCCTCCATGTGGCTGCTGGAGGAGCTGACGGAAGCGAGGGTCAGGTTCATGCGGGACACGACCATGCCCTTCTGGGCGTTGTAGAGCATGGGGCTCATGATGATCTTGCTGGTGGTGACGGAGGACTGGATGGTGTAGCGGCTCAGGCTGCCGGAGATGACAACGCGGCTCACGGAGGAGCGGGCGAAGAAGTCCTCCATCTTGGAAGAGGCGGGCTCGACGTCGGTCTGGCCGTTGAAGCCGAAGTGGTAGCCAGGGCGCTGCTCGCAGTGGCTGAAGTTCTTGGTCTTGACGATGTCGATGAGCTGGCCGTCGCCGCGGAGCTGGGGCATGGGGGCGAGCTCGGGGCGGCTCTGCAGCTGGTACTGGGGCAGGGGGCTGATGTCGTACATCACCTCGCACTCGCCGGTGATGTCGTCCTCCATGGTCTTGAACACACCGTTGACGGAGTTGTGGGAAGGCTTGTTGTTGATGCGAGAGCTGATGAGGTTCTCGGCCTTGGTGTCGACCTGCAGCTGGCTCACGATGGACTTGATGATGTTCACCTCCCAGGTGGGCACGCTCTTGCTGATGATGAGCTCGTCGACGATGCCGTTCTTGAGCTTGATCTGGAAGGGCTTGCTGGCCACAGGCAGGGAGTGGAAACTCAGCCTGCTGTCGGGGATGGGGGTGCCCCAACCGGCGGGCATCTGCTGGTGGACCTTGGCGTACTCGGCGTTGGAGACCTTGGCGGCGAGGAGGTTGTCGGACTTGGGCTGCACGGTGAGCTGGGCGCGCATGATGACGCCAGAGTACTGGTTGGCGACCTGGTGCAGGGCGGTCAGGGTGCGGCCGCGCACCTGGTACTTGTACTCAGTGCCGGACTTCCATCCCTGCTCGGCCGAAGCCGCAGCGACTGCAACGCGAGAGAGAGACGGTCAGCACGCAGCCGAAGCACAGTGGAGAACGTCTCACCGAAGAGACGATGATTCCGAGAGTCTTTATCGTCGCTCTGTCTCTCTCGCACTCATGGAGCGTTCCGTTGAGGTGCGAGCGAGACAGAGCGATGAAGCTAGAGAGTTACTCACCGAGGAGGGCGAACAGGAGGGCCTTCCACATCATGTTGGCGGTGGGACGTCGTGTTGAACGTGCCGACTGCTGCCCCGGCCTGCGCTTTTATACCGCCAGCCCGGCCGCGGCCCGTCCCACTATCAGTGCTGATTTCGGCTCAATTTCTCCGCGCTATGCTCAAGCAGCGCCGTAATGCTAACGTCACTCTGTCTCTCTCGCACCTCCGACGGCACGCGGGCAAGCCCCACTGGTGCGAGAGAGACAGAGCGACGAGGGAACTGTTCGGAACACTGGCGTGTTCGGCAGTGGCGCAACGCGGGCCTTAGAAACAGAGATTCAGCTCTGCATCGCTCTGCATTGACCCCGCGGTCCGAGGGTTCAAAGCGCTCACCTGACGTCTTCGGCTTGTTTCCGCGCGCAGACTCAAGCGGGCTCAAGCTTCAACGGAAACCTGCCATTCCTCCCGTACAGACACGCTTTAAACCTTGCCAAGTATTTCGAGGACAAGTAAGGCACAATCCTTTTCAGTTATGAGTAGAACTATAATACTGTAGATAATATAATACTGAAGATTTAATTCGTAAGTCACAAAATTTTCTTTTGCAAAGCTAACGCCAAAAAACCGGAAATACACAAAACAAAAGCAGTCGATGTAAACAACATAAGAAAATAAAAATTATATGGTTGATTGTCTATGATATGTGAACCAAAAAGTCGCCTTGACAACCTGTACTAAGGTACGATGTACGGCGATAAAAGAAAACGCTGGAATGATAATGAGAATATTTTTAGTAGACTGATCAGCTGTAATTTTTTTTTAAAAGTTGTGCGTTGGTAGCGTTGATTGTCTTTTTTGTTGGAAATGTTTCTTGTGCGATTTCACGTGTGCTTCTTGACTCGTAAATATTGTGTTTTGACTGTTGCGCGCCAACTTATATAGGCAGATAGAAAAACTGACGGATAGATAGATAGATAGATAGATAGATAGATAGATAGATAGATAGATAGATAGATAGATAGATAGATAGATAGATAGATAGATAGATAGATAGCAGATAGAAAGACTGACAGACAGATAGACACACAGACAAACAGACAGAAAGACTGACAGACTGACTGTCAGACAGACAGACAGTCCGACAGACAGACGGACAGACAAACAATGTGACACGCTCATCATCCCTTGCGTGACGGCTCGAGAAGCCCTAACGAGGGTGCGGCGTGACTACTTGAGAGGCCTGTCCGTCACGCTTCAAGGGGAAGGGGAGGGGGTGACGGCGAAAATTAGGGTGGGCCCTCGCGGGGAGGTGGCGCGTCGCGGGGGCGTGGCCTGGAGCCCCGGCCGCGGGCCCCGGCTTAATTCCACTATTTTACTGGTGATGGCGGCGAGGCAGCGCGGGGCCAAAATGGAGGCGGTGGTAGAGGGGGTGCGAATTCGTGGCAAACGGCGGAACAGTGAACATAGACGCTGGCGAGGCTTATAGCTTTGCTAACCAGGCAGGTCATTTTATTTTCAACGAAGGCACGTTTTTTTTTTTTTAAAGTGGTTGTTAAAAAATGTCTTTATGTATTTTGCGCGGTATTGTACGGGGTGCTTCCCCGCTAATTGAAGCAGCGACTTTGGAGCGCTTCGCTCACTGACAGTGGAGGTTCCGCGCCCCACCCCACCCCACCCCACTCTGACGTCCCCCGACGGCGACCGAGCGCCCCAGCCGCGCCGCAGACACCACCGCCTCGTCTCCTCAAACGAAGCAAATATGGCTCTAAATTATTCATGACCGCAAACTGCTGCGCGATTCCGGCGGTCGCCCCGTCTCTCTCGCACCCGTTCGGTACCCTTGGATCGCCCCGTGAGTGCGAGAGAGACGGGACGGGCGGGCTGGCGGTGCTGGCGGTGCTGGCGGTGCTGGCGGGGGTTGACGCTGGGTGGCGAGGCGGGGAGGCTTCGCGCCCGGCTGCAGCCACCAAAGCGCCCAAATCACCAAATCGTCGCTTTATGCCGAGAAAATCGATTTCATCCCCGCATTCATTGATTTCCGCGCCGACGACTTGATCCAGGAGGATCGAGAGCGCTCAAACTTTCTCAGTGAATTTCGCAACAGTGTTCAAAGTAATTTAAGCAAATATAATACTGACAAATTTTTTTTAAATGTTTTTCTCGCTCTTCTTCGTAAGGTAAAAGCAAAATGCTTTGGAAAGGAAAAAAAAGATTCAAAAAGGTGTCTGCACAAAATTCTTCGTGCCAAGAAATGGTGTTCGTTTTCTTCGTAAGACTTTTAGAGTGCAGCAAGTTGTCGGCCAGCGCCTGCACTTCCCATCTGGGTTTAAGTATTTTCAACCTCTACATTCTTTACGTTTGTGTTCAGTATCTCTTCATAAAAGTTTGAGTTTGTTTTGCAAGTGAAGCGCCTGTGAATTGTAGGATAGGCCGTCCCGTCACACCCGCCTGTGGAGCGGGCTGCCTACCTGGCCACCTCGCAGGCGCTGTCGGAAAGCTCTGCGAAGAATCGCTTCCAAGAAAGCGAAGGCATTGTAAAATCTACGAAGAAATGCTTCGTATTATGAAGCAAAATCCGTAGCAATACGAAGCATTCCTTCATATTACGAATCAATTTTCCAATGCCTTCACTTTCTTCGCAGTTATGAAGCCAATGCTTCGTTGCCTTTTTTTGGTGCGCATACTTTATTATTTTTTGATCTTTTTGCGACAAATTTGTCGATGATAATATCATTGTATTGTCAGCTATGACATTTTCATTGCTTTTATACCTGTTTTCATGACATTTTGAATGGAAAATGAGCCTTGAAATTGAAATCAGGTGATAACCAGAATTTTCACAGTGCGTCGGACCAACGGGTGGCCACGTTTCCGGCTCAGCGCCGTCACCGCGCTGTCCCTCTCGTGCTCACGCGGCGTTCCGTAGGGGTGCGAGCGAGAGGGACGGATGCGCGAATGCGTCGTTTGGGATCGGCCCGCTATAAATGCCACCGGGTGGAAATTATTTAAGCGGCCACAGAGGTTCTGATTCTGGTGTGTTATTCGCTGACAGCACTGCACAGCGGGGCCTCGCGGTGGTGAGAGAGAGAGAGAGAGAGGCGATCACAGAGGGCTCAGGAGTGCGAATTACCATAACGAAGATTAAATTAAAATCTATTCGAACGAAAGGCATACCATTTGCATGACAGCAAAACGCCATTCTGTACATGTGGGCCCCCTTCCCCCCTCCCCCCCTTTCCCTCCGGTGGGTGGCGACGGCGTGTTGCACGCGTGTCTCATCACCGACGGGGGAAACGTGTGGCGGGACGCAAGAAGCATCGCAGCATCGCAAATGGAAAATGGAGGTATGGAATATTACAATCAGATTATAGACTTCCCGTCTCGTCTCCTCCCCTTTCCGATGGAAAACAAACAAATTCGTCCGTTCATAAAAGGCTGGACGTTTATAAAAGGCTGGCCGACTGGTCGAGATAACCCCCGACACTGGACGACGCAACGTGCGTCCAAATTTCAGCGATATTGTTTTCTTGTGTGAATGCATTTGTACAATTTTGTACGAGGTGTTAGTCAATTTCGAGCTGTTGAAACTTCTTATTTATTTATTTGTGCACTGAGCCGTTAACTTCATGCGACGTTTATTACGAAAATAATGCAAGTGCAAAACTGTGTAAGACTTGGTGCAAAAATTTGTACATATACAAATTTAGTGCGGCTTGTTCAGTGTAACCATGACAACACAAGACAGTTAGTCTCGCTCGTTGGAGCGGCGCCTTTTATCCGGCGTCTGGAGGGGAAAAGCCTCTATGACTGCGTGGAGCGGCATGAACTACGCGACTCACACACTCACTCACTCACACATACATTCTGACTCACTCACTCACCCCTCCCCCCCCCCCCGTCTCTCTCTCTCTCTCTCTCTCTCTCACACACAAGCACCTATACATACCTACCCCCCCACACACACACACACCACACACACACACACACACACACACACGCGTTAACACCGTCGGTGATGTTTGGTGATTCCTGGAACGGGCGCTCTGTGGCTCGCCGCGCGAGACGGCGGCGCCTCGAAGCGGAATAATGATAATCCCGCGGGCCCGATTATGATTCCAGCGCGGCGCCTCTGGAGTCCCTGGAGTCCCTGGAGTCCCTGGAGTCTCTGAGGTGGAGTCTCTGAAGTCTCTGGAATTTCTGGTGTATCTGGTGCCTCTGCTGTCTCTGGAGCGTCTCTGTCTCTGAAGTCTCTGGAGTGTCTCTGAAATCTCTGAAGTGGAGTCTTTGGACTCTGTGGAGTCTCTGGAGTCTTTGGGGTCTCTGGAGTCTCTGGAGTCTTTGGGGTCTCTGGAGTCTCTGAAGTGGAGTCTCTGGAGCCTCCAGACTGGGGGCGCCGCGGCCCAGCGACACCTTGCGCATTAATCCAGTGGCGAACGGCCAGGACGAATGCATCGCAGTTTACCGTTTGCCATGTACACTGTGCGAAGGTATACAGTAGTTTGGCCCACGCGCGCATCCGCCATTCCGTTGGTTCCTCATTTCGATTGGGTGTGCACTCCCAAAGTTCCCACCGAGTCTTCTTGCGATATTAACAATGAGCTGACTGTGTTGTCTTCTGTGCATTGCTTCGCACGAAATTGAGCAGACGTTTTAAAATGCACGAATTGGTGCGTATCGATACGGGGGCGAATGAAGATGTGCATTTGTACCGTACTTACATCACGGCTCAGCACGGCTCAGCGTAGAGAAACTTGAACATGTCATGTGTAATTCATTAATTTAAAAATCCCACGCAATTGAAATAGTAAACATTAACGAAACAATGATGCTTGTGGTGTGGTGGGCGTCGCTAATTTGTCCAGAACCCAGCTGGACTTATAATTTACTGTCCATTGCCATCCCCGCCAAGACTCCCCCTCTCTTTCTCCAGCTCCTGGTTTCCTCTCCAGATGATTTATCGTGGCGAATGAAATAGGTCGCCACTTTGGGGCGCACGCTTGGCCTTTGGCGATGCCCCGCCCCCGCTCTCGATCTTCGCCCCCCCCCCCCCCCCACCCCCTTCACCTCCCCCGATCTGCACTAAGTCCGCCACGCGCCGCGCGTCTCCGTCCGGCGATGTATTGAGGCGA